GCTTATAACCCCTTTAAGGCCAACCTATAATAAATAATTCAAGCTTTAAGATTAAAGGTTTAAGTTATATTTACTGCAATATATAAGCACCCCTTTTATAAAGAAAAACCTTAGCTTAAAAAGGTAATATTATAAATAAGCCTTAAGGATAATTATATTACTATATAAGCTAAAAAAAAGGGCTATATAATAAGCTTAGGCTAAAAGCCTAAGCCTTATATAATATAGCTAAATAATCCAAGAAAGCTTAAATTATTACATACCTTTTAACTTAAATAATTAATTAATTACTGCTTTATAGCTTATAAAAAAAGGTATTAATTAGCCTATAGCCCCTTTAAGGCCAGCTTATAATAAATAATTTAAGCTTTAAGATTAAAGGTTTAAGTTATATTTATTATAATATATAAATACCCCTTTTATAAAGAAAAACCTTAGCTTAAAAAGGTAATATTATAAGTAAGCCTTAGGGGTAATTATACTATTATATAAGCTAAAGGAGGGGGCTATGTAATGGGCTTAAGCTGAAAGCCCAAGCCTTATATAATGTAGCTAAGTAATTTAAGGGAGCTTAAATTATTACATACCTTTTGGCTTAAATAGTTAATTAATTGCTGCTTTATAGCTTATAAGAAAAAATGCTAACCAACTTATAGCCCCTTTAAAGCCAGCCTATAATAAATAATTTAAGCTTTAGGATTAAAGGTTTAAGTTATATTTATTATAATATATAAACATTCCTTTTATAAAGAAAAACCTTAGTTTAAAAAGGTAATATTATAAGTAAGCCTTAAAGGTAATTATATTATTATATAAGCTAAAGAAGGGGGCTATATAATAAGCTTAAGCTAAAAGCTCAAGCCTTATATAATATAGCTAGGTAATCCAAAGGAGCTTGAATTATTACATACCTTTTAGCTTAAATAATTAATTAATTGCTGCTTTGCAGCTTATAGGAAAAGACGCTAGCCAGCCTGCAGCCCCTTTAGGGCTAGCCCATAACAGCTAAGTTTAATTATATAAATTTTATTATATTTATTTAAGTTATTATTATAATATAAAGCAAAAATATCTTTCTTTTTATTTTAATAAATTTAATCTTTTATAAATGCTTTTATTAAGGTTAAATAATTACATTATAATAAGAATTATTTTAATAAGTAAAAAAGGTTATTATTACTTTTTCTTATTATTTTAAGCATTAAGATAATAAAGAGATTTTCCTTAATATATTAAGCTTTATAACTTCTTTTATAAATTATAATTATATAAAATAAGAGTTGATTTTAAATAATAAAAGTAAAAGTATTTAAATTTAAGAGTTAATAAAATAATTTAATTATAATATTTTAAGTAAAATTATTTTAATATATTATTTAATTTATTCCTTGCTTTAATTTTAATTATATATAATTATAAGTCTTTTAAATAGCTTATAATAATAATTATATAACGTTATATAAATTAATATTTAATTTATAAAATTAATAATATTTTATATTTTAATAATTCTTTTTTTAATAAGAGAAAAGTATAATTTATATTCTTATTAAATAAAGGTTAATTTAATAATTTATATAATATTATAAAAGAATATTAAAATATATTAATTATTAAAGCCTTTATTATAATAAAACTTATAAAATAAAAAAAACGTTAAGAATATAAAATAAAAAAGAATTTTAAGCTATAAAAAGTTAATATAATACATTATTTAGCATTTAAAAAGGTATAAGCAAGGCTTATAAATATTTTTAATTAATATAAATTATATTAACCTTTTATTTATTTTATTATAGCTTAAAGTAAGTAATAATACTCTTATAGCTTATTTTAAATGCAATATTATTTTAATAAAAATGTTTTGATATTTAATATTTATTAATATATTAAGGTAAGTTTTAAAGATAGCTTTAAGTAAAAGTATAAAATAAAAGGAAATATAAGTTAAAGAAGTAATTATAATTAAGTTAATAAATCTTTAAAAAACTTAAAGTAAAAAAGTAATATTTTTATTTATTGCTTCTTTTTAAATAAATAATTATTTATTGCTTAGCTTTATTAATTATATATTAATGTTAATTTATTAAAAAAAGTTTATTAATTATTAAGTAATTAATTATTTATAAGCTTTATAAAGGGAGCAGGATTTTAAACTTATATAAATAAGCTTATTATTTAGTTTTAAGCCTTAATTTAATTAAATTTTAATATTAAATTTTAAATTTTACTTTTTAATATTATTTAAATTTTATTAATACTTTTAAAAAAGTATAATTTTATTAAAGATTATAATTATAAACTTTTATAAGGAAACTTTAGTAAAAACTTAATTATATAAGTACTTTTCTTTCTTTTTTTAAAAATTAATAAATATTTAAGATTTTATTATCTTTATTATAATAAAAAAAAGTATACCTTATAATATATAATAACAGCATTATATTTTAATTTAATATTATAAAGATTAATTTAAATTTAATTTAAGTTAGTTTTAATTATATAAGGGGCTTATTAAAATTTATAAAAGTTAAAAGCGTTACTTTCCTTTTTTTAATCTTTTTTCTTAAGATATTTATATAATTATATATATTATATTTATTTATTTTATTTTTTTTAATATATAGTTTTTATTTATTTATATAAAATAACTTTTTACTTAAATTTTATTATTTTAAGGATTATTTTCTTAAAGTTTAAATAAAAAATTATTTAGCTTATTATTAAGTAAAGTAAGGTATAATATAATAAGATAATAAACAAGGCTTAAAAGCTAGCTTTATTATTTAAATAATTAAGTTAAATAATAAGGTAATAATTTAATTTATATAAGTAATATAAATAAAAAAAGTTAAATATATTATAATATAATAAAAGTAATTTTAATAAAATAAATATTTTAAAGTAATAATTAATATATTAATATTATAACATTATATAATATAAGGTAATGCTTTTTTTATGCTTAATTATTAAGTTATTATTTTATAGCTTATTAAGGTAATAAAAGTTAAGAAAAAAGTAAATATAAGTAGATTTTTAAGAATTATAATAAGCATTAAAGGCTAATATATAAATTGTAAATTTTATAAATTATGGAAATAGGAAATCGTTAAATTTAATAAGTATAAAGTAATATATATGCTTAAATTTTAACTTATATTTTATTAAGGGGCTTAGCGTCTTATATAAAAGGCAGCCCTTTATATATATAATTTATTTTATTATTATTGCAAGATAAGGTTATTAATAAGGTATTTAAAGATGGGACTTAGAAAGTATGGTTACCTTTGCTTAGGCTATCCATACGGGCTACCCTTGGGTAGATCCTTAGCAGCATTTGCAAAGGGCATTAACATATCCAAGAAACGGAAAATAACTCACGGTCGGCCAGAAACGGCGCCAGTGGTTTAGCGGTAAAATCCATCGTTGCCATCGATGGGCCCCCGGTTCGACTCCGGGCTGGCGCAAACGTTTTGCTGTTTTCGTGCTTCTGCACCGTCGTTCATCCCAGGCTTTACTCTTCTTCTTTCTTTTTCTGGTGGGATGCTCTGTATATTCCGCAGGTCGTACAGAAATCCACGAGGTGACATAACTTACTTGATAGATTTAACGCCAAGTTCTAAGCCGCTGTAATTCATTTTCACGCAGGATTATCGTCCAGTTTCCAATCCCGCAGCCCTGGTTTACGCGCCGTTGGATTTGTTAGTCCAGTGTTGCGTCTATCGACACGTGCAACGGCTGATCTCGATGCCATGTGCCTGTTGGAACAACGAAGAAAGGGCAGGTATGTCCTGAAGGGGCAGTCCGATGCAACAGTCTTTTGCTCTTCGGGGCCTGTTCATCACTCTGTCTGTCCATTTTCGCTCCCCGGCCGCGTGCACGACGTTGCAGATGCCTTTGAGTGGAATATATCACCCATAAGGGTCTTACATCCAGGAATGTAGCACAAGCCCTCGGACGACCTGAACCGCCGCGCTGGAGTCCGAGATTATCTACAGTCTTAAGTGAGGGTCATCATCCAAACTGCACCTGCGTCCTAGTACATACAGGTGTAGCAGGCACCGACAATAGAGATACCGTTATTTCTCGTTGTCATTCCGTAGCTTTACAGTGGGATCGTCTTAAGCCATATCTCGATGAAGTTAAACCAAATCTTCAGCTCGCTTAAGCGACAGTCTTTAAGTTCCCAAGCAGTTCTCACTATCCGAACTAAATATGCATATCCGACATAGCACGCCTCGGATGGAGGCCATGCAAAATTTACGCCTCTCCCCTTTTCCATCAAAGGTTCGATTCAACTTTCTCATGATGAGCCACGTGGGCATGCATGCCCGTGACACTGGACCATAGGCCCTAGGCCTCCAAAACTGCAATGCTGATTATGCTCAGTTGGATTTCTAGCATGTCGCATGAGACAACTCCAAATATAGCCAGACAATTTGTGCAACGACTTAGACGATAGAAAGATGAAAAGCTTGAATAGGCTCCAATTTACCTACATCATAAGCCCAGCGCTGCAAAGCTTTTGGTTAGTTGACGCATTGGACGGCATCTGAACCACCCAGGCAAAGAAGACGCAATTCAACTCGAGGTTCCCGGGAAAAGGTGTGGTATATCATAAAACAAAGCTTCAATGCTAAAAGGATCGTGAAGAGAGAAGAAATCGAGTCAGCCCCCATGTCCCTTCACCAATCTGGCCCACTGCACCGTACGCACCCACCCATACGCCTGCCTCATCATCACATGTCCCTGACCAAATTTCCCGTGGTGGCTTGATTCCCATCATCGTCCGCAAGCTTGAAGAGGGCCTGATGCTCGGCCCAGCCTCTGGGAGGTCGTTTCCGCAGCTTTCTGGGCCGGCGAGGTTGTTGATGTTGACGGTTGTTCGAGGAGGAAGGGGGAGCGGAGTAATTGCTGTCGCTGCTGCTGTTGTTGGTTGTGGAGAAAGAAGAGGAAGAGGAGGACCCTGCAGTCAAACGAGCGAACATTTTCGGAAGTCACCACGCGTTGCGATCCCAATTCGGATCTGTAGGCCACAATGTTAGCCATGCTCTTGTAATTTCCCTCTGAACGGGCGTGCACGCGAGCAACCTCTCGTGCCCCCCCGTGGCAACCAGCTTACCTTGCACAAAGGCCGCGAGGACCTTGCTCCCTGTCTGTAGCAGCGGGTGGCCCACGACGATCTTGAGGAACTTCTCCAGCCCCGCCCTCCTGCCCTCGATCACATCATCACTGAACCGGTTCGTGAACACCTTGCCGGGCAGGGGCGGTATCGTGACGCGCGCGCTCTCGCGCTCCAGGATGTCACGGAAGTACTCAAAGTCGGAGTACCGGCGGCGCACGGTGCTCTGCCGTAGTTTGAAAGCTGGGATGTTGGTCCGGCAGACGATCTCGTAGTCAGTGTACATGGAGCGGCCGATGCCGTGTGTCCGGGGGTTGCGGACCTGGTTTGCGGCGGACACGGTCAGCGTCTTGTTTGCGTCTTGGGGTATGCGTACGACTCTCTGTGTGCGTGCTTTGCAGGCTCAGGTAGCGTAGTCACACGACATCGCATGAGGCCGAAAGCAGTCGGGCAGACTGGGGAAGGGGGCAGGCCACATACCTCGATTTCGAGGAAATTCTCGGGAGGGCCGTAGATCTCGTCAAAAGACTGCTGGCGCGTATCCGGCAGACTGGACATGGACTGCATCACAGGTTTCTGGAAGCGGGAGACGGGCCCCTTGGGGGCGGTTGCTGGGCCAGGAGAGGTGGGAGAGATGGGCGGCGCCTGGTTCGCCGGTGCCGCAGCGCCATCGGCGCGCGGGGCGTCGTCGCCGTTCGAAGCCGTTTTGACGGTATTGCAAGGGTCGTCTGGGTGTTGTTCTGCGTATTCGGCCCGCCGTCTGCCGCCTGGATGACGCGCGGGTAGCTCGTTCTGTCGCGTGGTGGGTAATGATGTGAGAAGTGGTCGGGCTTGGGGTGGACGAGACCACAGTAGCAGCCAGCTACAAAGTCAAGGTGGGGATTTGGAAGCTGCTCGTATAAGCGCGGGGCGCTGTCGAGCTTCCTCCAGTGAAGGCAATTGCTTGGCGCTGCCGCATCAGCTGCGTCACTCACTTCGCATGTGCCTCTCTACGATGCGCACGTGCATTATCACTTTGTGAGACTGGGTCTGTCGTGTTGGAGAACATTATTCTTTCTGGGTCCGGGTACAGATTGCATTCTAAAGCCCATAGAGCCAGGGCGGAAGCAGCTGGTCGCAACCGACGCTGGCCTAGTATCGCCCAAGGCCAGCGGGTACTGGATCCTTAGACACACATAGCGAGCAACTCAGCTCTGCAATTCAGGTCTCTCAACACGTGCTATGGTGTACCTAGGTAGCTGCCTCTTGACCCAATTCGCTTAATGCCCACAGGAGGGCAATCAGATCTCCGTCACATCAGACGGTGCTTACAGGAGCTCCTCGTGGAGAGAACATGTCTCCAATTCTCCTGACACAGTCTCACGGCACGATGGGGGCATTGATGCATCAACAACCTGCTCCATTTGGTTGGTATAAGCCTTGACAAACACACAAGTCGTAAGTAATTATGTCTCACCTAGCATCCTAACGCCTGTGCCCTTCCCGCAAACCATGCTACGACCGCACCTGGGGCTGCCCGGTTCGGCTGTTCTCGATATAATGACACGGCAGCCGGCATGCTGTACCTCAATGAGACCCAACAGCATTTTCATCTGACAGGTCCGCCACCTTGCCTCATCTCTTCTCCCCGGCAAACTTCTGATGAATCGCCCTAATCTGCTCCTCCACGTTGACTGACTGCAGATGGTTCATGTGGGCCTGGCTCTTCCCATCAGGATTGCCATCGAAAGCGTTGACCGCGACCTTCTTCCGCCGGGCTGCCTCTTCCTCAGAAACTGGCAAGCCGGTAACCCCATCGAAGACATCGCTGCGCTGACTTGCAAGTCTCTTGAGGTTGTTGGCCACGTCCACCGTCGACAGGTTCGTCGTGGCATACCGCGAATCCGCCTTGGCTTTCTGCTCCTTCCACCGCGGGTCCAGGAGTTCGATGCGCATGTGCTCTTGTAGCTCGTTGAGTGGTATCTGCTGCTTGCAGTTCGGGCAGATTGCCATCTGCGCTCCCACTTTGTTTGCGTTCCGCGCGGCTGCTCTGGGAACCGGGGTTTCTCTGATCTTGACCTGGGCAGGGCCTCCTCTGGCCTCTGCCTGAGCTTGTTGCATACGGGCCCGTGCTTGCTCGCGCTCCTGGATTCTCTGAGCTTCCTCTTCTTCCTGCGCAGATCTGGCACGCACGGCAGGAGGCGTAGCCCCATGTGAGGGCGGGTGCATGGGGGGTTGGAATTGTGGCGGGGTTCCTTGCGCAGCTGGAGAGGGGTGGACAGGTAGTGTTTGCTGGGCCGCGGGCGTGAAAGTGTGGTCGTCGAAGGGGAAAGCCTCCTCAAGGCGGAGGTTGGAGCTGATGGCAACGTTGTTCTTCTCCTCCAATGAGGCGTACTGCAGGTCGTTCAGGGACGTAGGCGGAGGGAGGTTGGCCTGGTCATCGGACTCGGTGAAGACGATGGTCTCGACGACCACAAAGTCGTTCCAGTCGATTCGGGCAAACTCGAGCTTCTCCTCTTCCTCCTGCTCCTCCTTCCTTATCCTCTCGGCCTCCTGGTGCTTTGCCCACTCCGCCCTCTGCCGGGCCCTCGCAAGCACGTGGTACTTGTCGTCGACGGTCCGCTGCAGCTCCTCCATGCGCTCCTGCTGGGCCTTGGTTCCCTCGCCGGTGCTGCCACCCTCTCGAAGCAATATTGAGTACTGGTCAATCATGTGTTGAAAGTAGTTGTGGAACGTGTGGTTCTGAATCAGGAACTGGAATTGAGGGTTGCCGCCTTCGCGCTGTGCCAAGGTCGTCATAAACTGGCGTCCATTCCTCGCGACGAAGAGCGCGGTCAATCGGAGGATTTCCAAGTCCTTCTGGTTGATGCGCGGCATGCGTGCAGAGAACTGGAAGTCGGGCGGTTTCGGGGGTCCCTTGGGTTCCTCCTTGGCCGGCGTCGCGAAGTCCTCGCCGACGCGGCCGGCGGCGTGAGCTGTGACGTTGCCAGACTTGTACTGTTCTTTTCGCCACTCGTACCAGGCGTTATAGGGGTCGGCTTGGCCATTCAAGAAGCTAAATTTGGGGTTGGCTCCATGGCTCTCGCGGATTCGTTCCTCGAAACTTACTCCACGTCGGGCTACGAAGCCAGCAGTCTTCTCAATGGCTTCACGAATCTCGCCAGGTGGAGGGACGACAATGCCTGGTGGGGGCTTCAGCTTGTCGAGCTCGGCGGCCGCAGCTGCAGCTGCAGCATCGCCGTTGGGAGTGGCCATGGTCGAAGATGTACGCGATGGCCCACTGCGATGCGGGTTGGACAATGAATGGTTCAGGTAGGTCGGGTGTTTCGAGGCAGACAGATAGGGACGTGACACGGCCAAAAAAGTTAGCGCAGCGCAGTGAGGCAAATGGGGGTGGTGTACACATGGGCTTTTCAAGAGGGACCAGGGGCAGCTCTTAATCACACCACCCCGAAAAATGGGGCTCTGTCACTGACCAGAACCTGCCCAAATTCCGTTTTGTCCAAGGGTCGTTGGGATCTGCCATTGAAAGAAGATTTCAAACCTACTGAGGTATCGATCCCGACATTCTTCTAGCAGCTCCTCGGCAGCATTTGTGAGCGAGCTCAACACAAAAACCTGCAGCGCTTTCCAATTGGGTGTTGAATTCGTTTAAACACAGAAACACAAACTCACGCCACGCACCTCACACTGCCCAACGGACGAGACAGATATCTCACATAGGCTTGCACAAATCTGTGCTGAATTGGGGATATAAAATTACTTGTCTTTTTTCTTATTATTTGTGGACGGCATTCGCTGGCCGCCCTCCGTTACAAGTTCCGGCTACTCAACGTCGGACCAATTTCCAGTCAAACAGGTTGAAGTATGACGAGGTGAAGCATGTGCGTCTACAGACATACATACCTACAAGTACATGGATAGCTCCAAGCAGAGCGTGACAGCATCTGCTGTTCCCAAGACGGAATGGAAAGGTGGTCCTAATTCCCACGGTCAACACGCGCTGTCAGTCCAATTTTAGTATGGGGAAGACTTGGCATCCAAGTCCGTGCAATGTCTAATTAGATGGTACATCAGCCTGCTCGTGGATTTTCTCCGTTTCCCGCCGACAAGAGGTGTAGATACAGCACTGTACTCCCTCAATTGTGATGTCAAGACAGCTGGATGTAGAACCGGAATCTCCTCCATCTCCTGGTGGATTTCGAAGCGGCACAGCTGCCGACCACAGTATATGGTACACGATATGCTGTGTACGTATCGAGCCACCGTTGTCGTGTCCACAGTAGCTCTTCCAGTAGCTGTCCCCTGTTTCCTGCCACGGTGGTACCGTACTAGCACTAGCGGGAGCTGACAGTCAGACAGCAAGCTGTCTTGTTTGTTTGCCTGGCCAGGATGATGTGGAGGAGAGTGCTCGCAACGAAAGACCAGACGAAGTTTCTTCCAAAAGCCAATTGTGTTTCTAGAAGTCACAGGGAGGAAACAGGCCAGGGCCAAGGGATGGGGTGTTCGGAAGATCGTCAAAAGCATGTGCCAAATTGAATCTCCCTTGGCTGAGCCCGCCCCTGCGCGGCCTTGGGCGGAGCTGGATCAGTGCTGGGGCCAAGGGACCCTTGTGGTCGAAAGTTTAGAGGCCAGGTCAGCCTACAATGCTACCCAAGCTCCCACAACGCAAGCAGGCATCTTCTTAATCCCATCCCCTTTTTTACCCACCCACGAGCTTCTTCTATCAACTTCGAACAAGAGGCCACTCTACTGCATCGTCAGTATAGGCGACAGGAAGGACAAGCCATTCTTGATCTCTTGTCCCCGACCCAGGCACGCTGCCTCTTTTTCTTCTTTCGTCCGTCCTTCGCCTTTTCTCCCATGACGACGACCTCCTTCTAATGTCCTTCACTTCTCGACGATCGTTTCCGTAATCCGTTCCCCTTACCACTTCCCTGCGCGTATCGACCCTGGCGACCTGAGTCGTACGCGGCATCTATCCCATAAACCAAAGGGCTGCTGCTCCTTCAATTGCAAGAGCACCAGTTCAACCTCGGATCTTGACCTTTGGCACCATGGCGCGCTCAGTTGGCGCGCAAGCGCAAACAGCGAGGCCACCTTCTCCCCTCCCCCAAAAGAACCATGTGGACCCCAGGACTCGGGCACGGAAGCCTGTCGACTACACCTCCGAGGGTGTGGACGATAATGATGTCTTCCTCCTTCCTGTTTCCGACTACCAGGTCATGCTCGGCGTGACGATCCTCGCCGCCATCGTCCGTCTCTTTCGCATTTACCAGCCCAGCAGTGTGGTGTTCGATGAGGTCCAGTATGTAGCCTTCTGCTCCGCTCCCCCCTCCCCTCAAACATCGCATCCCCGGCTGACGAGTTTCTCCCCCTAGCTTCGGCGGCTTCGCTTCGAAATACATCAAGGGCAAGTTCTTTATGGACGTCCACCCTCCTCTGGCCAAACTCCTCATTACACTCTTCGGCTGGCTCGCTGGATTCAATGGCGACTTCGACTTCAAGGAGATTGGGAAGGACTATGTCGAGCCCGGTGTCCCATATGTTGCCATGCGAATGTTCCCCGCCATCTGCGGAATCCTCTTGGTCCCTGTCGTGTTCCTGACTCTGAAGGCTGCTGGGTGCCGAACCTTCACCTCGGCCATGGGAGCTGGCCTGATCATCTTCGAGAACGGCCTCCTTACCCAAGCCCGTCTGATCCTCCTCGACTCGCCTCTGGTTCTCGCAACGGCCTTCACGACCATGGCGTTCCTTTCGTTCACCAATCAACACGAATTGGGCCCTACGCGAGCTTTCCAGCCAAGCTGGTGGTTCTGGCTTGCCATGACCGGCCTCGGCCTCGGTGCAACTATTAGCATAAAATGGGTCGGTCTCTTTACGATTGCATGGGTGGGAAGCTTGACGCTGGTCCAGCTCTGGGTCTTGCTCGGTGACACCAAGACCGTCACCACCAGGGTCTGGTTCAAGCACTTCATGGCCCGCTTCTTCTGCCTGATTGTCATCCCGGCCACCTTCTACTTGTCCATGTTTGCCATCCACTTTATCTGCCTCGTCAACCCTGGCGAAGGCGACGGTTTCATGAGCTCCGAATTCCAGTCCACCTTGAACTCGAAGAGCATGCAAGATGTTCCCGCGGACGTCCTCATGGGGAGCAGAGTCTCTATCCGCCATGTCAACACCCAAGGAGGTTACCTTCACTCTCACCCTCTGATGTACCCTACCGGTAGCAAGCAGCAACAGATCACGCTATACCCTCACAAAGACGAGAACAACGTGTGGTTGCTCGAGAACCAGACTCAGCCACTAAACATCAACGGCGAACCAATCAACGGGACGGACGCCTGGGACAAGCTGGATCCGACCTTCATCAAGAACGGTGATGTTCTCCGCCTGTACCACATCAACACGCATCGACGTCTCCACTCCCACGACGTCAGGCCCCCGGTCACCGAGCAGGATTGGCAAAACGAGGTTTCTGCATATGGCTACGAGGGATTTGAGGGCGATGCCAACGATTACTTCCGGGTCGAGATCGTTGGGAAGCAGTCCAAGTCCGGCGTCGCTCAAGAGCGGCTGCGTACAATCGAGACGAAGTTCAAGCTGGTACACATCATGACTGGCTGTGTTCTATTCTCGCACAAGGTCAAGTTGCCTGAATGGGCCTCCGAGCAACAGGAAGTCACCTGCGCCAAGGGCGGCACACTTCCCAACAGCCTGTGGTACGTCGAGTACAACGAGCACCCAGGCCTCGGTGCCGATGCCGAGAAGGTGAACTACCAGAACCCGGGCTTCTTCGGCAAGTTCTGGGAACTCCAGCAGGTCATGTGGAGGACTAACGCCGGCCTGGTCGAGTCGCACGCCTGGGACTCTCGCCCGAACTCGTGGCCGATTCTTAAGCGAGGTATCAACTTTTGGGGCAAAGACCACCGCCAGATCTATCTCATCGGCAATCCAATCGTCTGGTGGAGCTCCACTCTGGCTATTGCGGCATACGTCCTTTTCAAGGGTATCGCTGTGCTCAGGTGGCAGCGGAGCTACAGGGACTACGACAACGTCACCTTCAAGCGTTTTGATTACGAGATTGGAATGTCTGTGCTTGGTTGGGCATTCCACTACTTCCCGTTCTACTTGATGCAGCGTCAGCTCTTCCTTCACCACTACTTCCCGGCTCTGACTTTCGCGGTCATCGCTCTTTGCCAAATCTTCGATTTCTTGACCGCTCGAGTTACAGCTTTGGGCATCCGAGAGAACTCGATTATCAACAAGACGACAACCACGAGCTTCCTGGTCCTGTCTGCTGCCGTCTTCATGATCTACGCACCACTCGCATACGGAAATACGTGGACGAAGTCAGAGTGCAAGCGCGTGAAGCTTTTCGACTCTTGGGATTTCGATTGTAACACGTTTTACAACGACGTAAGTTCTTTTTCTGGCTCCCCTCCGGAACAGGTACCTGAGAGACAGTTGTCTCAAAAGGGCTAGGAACAAGGAGGGACAAGTGGAGGAATAGCTGTAGCAAGTGCTCCATAGTATTCCGCAAATTGCTTGCGCACAATTTTGCGACCTCTGCAACCTTCCGGGGAACAGGATAGCAACTTGAAGAAGTCCCTCGCAGCATAGCTTGGCAGACCTGGAAGTCTTTTGATAGACGGCAAGGCGGCAAATGCTCCGAATATCGTAGTGGAGATAGGCATACAATGTTGACTTCGCGGCTCAGTAACTAACGGTGTACCATTTCACGTAACAGTACTCGCAGTACAACACCATCGGGGGAGTCCCAGCTGCGTCGGCAACGTCCAAGAACTCGGTGCCGAGCTCCAAGGCCCCGGAGGCGCCTGCGGTGGCGCCGCCCGCTGATGGGCAGCAGGAGAAACTGCAGCAGGACCAGGGCCAGAAGCCGATACACGACAAGGACGAGTTCTTCAAGGACGGCGAGGCAGGCATCAGCGGAGCGCCGGTGCCGCCGGGCCAGCGCCTAGTGAAGCGCGAGGAGCGGATCGAGTACCGCGACCAGGACGGCAACGTGCTGAACGAAGAGCAGGTCAAGGCGCTGGAGGGCAAGGTGGAGTTCAAGACGCGTTACGAAACGCGGACGCGCATGGTGGACGCTGATGGCCGTGAGTTCGAGGCGCCGCTCGGCGAGGTCCACCAGCAGGCGGTCGGAGAGCCAGTTGCTGTCGCGCCGCCGCACCCGGACGTCGAGGGCGTCGACACGCAAACGGCGCAGAAGCAAAAGGCCGCCGGTGACGACGAGGTTGTCCCACCTGCCAAGGAGAGCGTGGAGGGCGACCACGAGGCCAAGGCTAAGGCTGCGAAGCCTGCCAGCGAGAAGAAGGAGGCCAGCAAGGAGGCTAGCTCGTCGTCATAGAGGTGACGGGCAGCCTCCTTTCCCCCTTGCTAAGTTTTCTCGCCGCTGCTGGGCCCCATTGGCGCCGCCATTTTTTGTTCCTATGTCGTTCTTTTTTTTTTTTTTTTTTTTGGTAGAGTGAGGGGAAAGGATGTAAGATACCAACCAAACAACATTTATACTCGGGACCAAATGGGAAAGAGGCGCAGAGTCAAATGCGGTGCGAATCGGGCTGGGCAGTCAGTTAGTTGATCTCGCAATGTCTGACGAAGTTGATCTCATCTAGGGCAAGTATAGACAGTTGATCTAGGTCCTAAACATTATTACCTACCAGTCATCAGCTCACAGCTTACTGCAACTGACACCAATGCTCAGAAACATCATAAGCCGCCCTGATAGGTAATATGGTTGGCCTTGCATTGAGGTAGGAGATATTGAAGCTCATGCATGGATGGATCTCGTTGTTTGTCATCGGTCATCCTAAATATGGGTTTCTCGCCGTCAGAAAAAATATAATCTGCATATAGGCCTTTGGATTATCTATCATCGGGATAAATACTAGGACAGGGGGGGTAGAGCACATCGAGCGTCTGTAATGGTCTGATTATCTGGGCTCCTTATGACCTGCATCTCATTGACGCTGTTGGCCGACTGCGGACCAAGTAATGGTGCCCACCACGCCCGGAACTAAGAACTAAACATTGTTTGGCGCCTCGGCCGCTTTTGATGGCAATGCTCATGCGGCAGATGTAGGACATAAGTTAAGGCTGTCATTCCAGAGCATGAGACATGAGCCTCAATCTCCCAGCCAGCCCACCAACTGCCCTCTGAGCAGGACAATCACAAATATTGAATGTCAGCAATCTAACAGCGAGCATGCCTCCAATCTAACAAGACCGTGAATAACTAACGGCGTTTTGTCTCTTGTTTTTGTTTTGGGGGGGTATCTGTCCATGCACTTTTCCCCTTCCTTAAGCTCCGGGTTGATGCTGCAATATCTAAGCCGCGGCCGTTTTTTGGTATCCGATGCGATGTCTCCAATGTGCCCAGAGACACCAGAATGCGTGATCCATCACAATGGGCATATACTTCAAGATCTCGCCCCGCATAGTCCTCCTCAAACAAGTTCTCTCCACCGGAACCGCAGCCGTCCATACGTGGGTGTCGCTTGCAACTGTGTTTTCGAGGAATGTGGCCCTCTTCTCTATGCCGGATCTCAGCAATTCCTCTCTTCCTCCCTCTCGCTATGGTCCCATCTTCGCCTCGCCGTCAGCCTCAGTCGTCGTCGGCCTGCGCAAAAGGATTCGCTATCTCCTCGCTGCCGTCGACGGGGCTGATCAGCACGATCAGGGTGCCGCGGGCGACGGTCAGGCCCAGGGCCCGCGTGGTCTCCTTGCCCTCGTCGTCGCGCATCGTCTCCTTGGCCTCGTCGAGGACTAGGTTCATGAGAGGGTCGTAGCCCTTGAGGACGCCGGTGACTGTTACTCGCACGAGCTCTCGGTTAGCACTTGACCACTCTTCTTCCATGGGGCTCAGATAGCCCGTGGGCCCCGGGGGTATCGTGTGCGGGAAGGAAGGTAGGCAGGTAGGTAGGTATGGGAAAACGCACCCTCACGGCCGCCGTTGAACTTCACGGTGATCTGCTTGTCATTGTACTTTGACAGGTCGAGGATGTTCTCCTTCTTGGGTCGCGACTCCCCGCCGCCCTCGCCGCCGTGCTGGTTGCCGCCCTGGTGGTGGCCACCCCCGTGGCCTCCGCGCCCTCCACCGCCGCCGCGTCCTCCTCCTCCTCCGCCGCGCCCGCGGAAGTTACCCCCTCCGCGGCCGCCTCCGCCGCGGTGAGATCCCCTGTCTGCCATGGCAAGGCGAAGCAATCGAGGTGTGTGTGTGCGTATGCGTAGTGCGTGTGTCGCGCGCGTGTGGGGGAGTCGCGTGATGGTGGCAAAAAAAAGGGGAGGACAAGGAATTACTGAACAGACAGTCGGGGGCCGGGGAAAGGGTAGCGCGCTCGTTTCGAGTGATGGTGGAAATTGTGAGGCAAGGCAGGGTGGGAGGGCGATGTTGCAGGTGGCGTTGGAGGGGTTTGGGACAGGGAGCCAGCCGCGAAAGAGTTTCCCAGCACCTTGGGGTAGCTCGGCAGAGCCGTCCAGCAGCTCCAGCTCTTGGCAGGTGCGGCAGGGTTCCAATCGTCGAGGCTGCGGGTTTGGGCATTGGCGGGGGTTGGGCCCTGTTGGCCGGGGCCCTGCTCGGGTGCAACCCTTGAATGAAGGTACACCCACCTGCGTATCTACTGCATCTACCTGTCCGAGTGCTTGGATCAAGAATTGCGTCTACACGTAATGAACATGGGTCAATTTCCCGCTGACCACCACCTACAAAAAGAAACAACTTGAAATACAATAAACTCGAGTTCTCGTCTTGAGTGTCGCAGGGGCGGGGACAATACCGGCCGTCGTAAGGCTGGCAGGGGCCGAACCAGGTTTTGATCAAAGTTAGTCTGGAATTAGCAGCGTCCTGGGCATGACATGTCGGTGACTGAGGATGCAAGATGTAATGTGAAACCACAGGAATTCAAATAGCATGCTATTGAGTTCGTCGACATTACTATTCCTCGGTACCGTTTGTACCTGATACGAGCACGGGCATGAGCTCTCGAATAGTACTATCGAGCTTAGTTGGGCAGTGAGGTCCGCCAATACATCCATCCGCCCGTGGATGAGTGGACGGGAACAGCAGGGCTGCAGCGGCAGATGAGATCGCTGTGTCATGTTGGTCAAGAGTGCGATTGAGCAAGTGCTTTTTTTTTTTTTTTTTTTTTTTTTTTTTTGTTTTGCCAGAGATGCTCCGGGTGATACCAACTTGTTTGTGATCTGCCAAGTATCACAGGCTCGCAAATTGCTTGCCGTATGCGCATCTTCATGTGTGAACTCGGTTCTGTCTGCATACTGGCCCTTGGAGTGCAGACCATTGTATCCATAGGCCCTCTCACAGCGTCCATGTCTGAGAACTTCCAGATCCATGGGTATCTAGTCCCAAGTGATGGGTGGGATACTAAGAACAACGACGTCCTGGTCAGCTATTTTCTCGTGGGATCTGTCGGATAGCATCCTCTGGGATCCTCGACTTGTTGTACGTGATGTTATCAAAAATCCTTTCAATCTCAAGGACGCTGTTCAACAAAGCGCGGTCTGGTATTGTACGCACGCATATAATGAGTGTTTGGAGCGAGAGGTGAGGCGGACAAGTTCTCACCCAGTGACATCACCAGCTTGGCCGCGGACAAGCTCGTCGGGATCCCGAGTCAGTTGTCTGGCTGTCTGGCGCTCGTTGGTGCAGGGCTGCGTGGGACGGAGGAACCAGGGAGGCATCGCGGGCGCCCGTCTGCACGTCCGCGGGCCGCAATCTCGCCTCCCACCGCCCGGCGGACAGGGGACACCAGTGGAGGATGCAACACAGCGGGCGAGGCAGACGCGCGCCTCATTGGCTGCGGGATGCTGTGCCGCTGCTCTGGGCTCGATGTCCGGACCAGTACGCCGCAGGGGCACCAGGCTAACGGCCTGACGGGGAGCTGCTGTGTTATCCTGGGGGAGGAGCAATTACCCCCTCGCCACAGGTGTCAACCTTAATCTTGAGACGAACCACAAAGGAATTGGGGGAGGGAGACGTCATAGGGGTCCAGATGGGCTGACACAAGCTCAGAGTATATCCCCGGGGTCTGCCGGGGTTTGATTTGGACGAGGATGGGACCGGCTCGGAGGATTTGGCAGTGAGCTCGCTGGGAGGCAAGCAGCATGTACCTGAGAGTCCCTGAAGTCGATGGTCTCCAACAACCCAGTTAGACCAGACTACCAAGGTACAAGGTAGAGTGGCATTGGGCTCGGCCCAGGGGAATGGCGGGTGACACGGAGGGTGACAAGGTTCATTCGGAGTGCAAGAACTTGGTAACAGGATATTTGATGTCTAATGTATATGTGTGTGTGTGTGTGTGTGTGTGTGTGCACGCGTGTGGCTGGTTGGATGGATGGAATAGATGGATGGGGATGCTTGGTCGTGCCGGAACCGAGGACGGAGTGCTGTGGAGAGGAGGGGGGGAGGGAAGCGGGAAGGGCATATCCCATCACATAATGTCGGAACCACAAAGCACAGATGATGTTGGATGTTGCGGCAGAGAGGTGCAGGTGCACACGCAGTAGGTAGGCGGTGATGGCATCGGATAAGTAGGTAATTGGTGCCCAGACCCCAGGCAAAACAAACGAGAATGTTGACGACGAAGAGCACCAGGTGGATTTGGGCCGGGGCGGAAAAGGCCTTAGCTCCCGCCCCAGCGGGTTGCGTGGATCTAGGTACGGTGCCATGTAACTGCAGCGTGTATGACATCCAAGGATGTGTGTGATGCGTGCAATTCGCGGATGCAGACATTACTTTTTTTGTGCAGCTTGGCTGGCTTGGGGCCCCTGGCCTCCCCACCCCCGGCACCCGGGCACACAAGGAAGGAAAACCCCCCGTGGGACGCCCCTCCCGGTGGACAAGGGCCCCTGCCGCCAGAGGGGACAAAGTGGTTCGATTTCGACATCACCGGGCATCAGAGGCGGAAACACAGACATGGGCTTGTCGATCGCAACGCCCCCAGGGCGGCGCCGCGAATCTGGCTGCGACTTTGCGAGGGCGACCGCTTCGATCCGACGGAATCCTCGTACGATGCAGAGTTTTGGCTCCGGAGAGGCTCGACACCTCTTGCACCTGCCGCACAATGCAGACACGCACATGTGGCACATGTACCTGTGGGTGGGGGGTTGCAGAGGAGCCCCAAGAAAAGGGCGAGCGCTGTGTGTCTGTTTCCGAATCGAGCCCGCTGCAAGGAGGCCCCTGGCAGGGGACATGTCCGCCGTGTGCCCAAGGTTTCCAAGATTTGGGGGAGCTGGGGGCTGCTGGGAGGAAGAGGCTTCCATTCCATGTTTCTAGAAAGAAACAAGGCAGAGGGGCGGGAACTCGAGCGGCGGGCAGGAGGCGAATTTGGGACTTGGCGGCGACAGTTCACGCAGCCGGTCTGTCTGTGCCTTTGCCTGTGATCTTGTGTTACGGCACGACTGCGCAGGACTTAATTAGTCGAGGCACCGCGTCTGCATCTGACTACCCACCTGATACGTCCAAAGTAGAAACAGTGCCCAGCTCGACCAGGGCATGTTCTGGCCACCAGCATCATACACATCACCATCTCCTCTCTACAGTACTGACCATCTTCGGTGTCTCCCCCATCCACCCCTGGCCCCGGCTGGCGACCGACATCCAGGTGCCGTTGCCCCCGGGATCCGGCAGAGGGATTCGTTTCCGTCTCGTTTCGTTGCGTGGCGTTGCGTGGGGCGCGAGGTGCTAACTCAGAAGAGAGAAGTGCCACAGGCAGAGGGCGAGGGCATTGGGCGTGTTGGAGTGCGGGTGTGTTGAGTTGATGTGGAGGGGGGTGAGAGGACGGACGTCGACCCAGGCACGAACCCGATTGTCACGAAATAGTGTGTACCGTACCCTTGACGGCCAAGGCAAGAAGCGTCTACAATACAAGCCGGCCTCCTTCCGTCTTAGAACCTATCCACCTGCAGCCTGGATCTCGATCTTTTCTTCCCCTTCCTCCACCCTTCTGTTTCACTGTCGCCCATAGAGAGAGAGAGAGAGAGAGAGAGAGAGAGAGAGAGAGACAGGCCAGCCAGCCAGACAAGCACACGCGTCCTCAGCCTGCGTTAGCAGACCTCCGTCCCACTCCGCCGCCCTCCGGCCTCTCGAGCTCCAATCCGCCCTGCCGACCTCGACTATCACCGCCCTGCATCTCGCTACCACCGGATGGCGTAGCCTCGCGAGCCTGGCAAGATCTGCCCTCAGGTATGCATGTGCATCGAGCTATCGGGATTTTCTCACACACACACACACATTCTCCCACACGCACCCACTGCCATCTCCACGCGCACACACGCGCACGTACACACACACATATGCATTGTACATGTGGCCGGCCCCACAGGCGCTCCCCATCCCCCCATACTCCCCTCCCTCCAAATCTGTCGACGCCGTCTCTAGGCCCGCGGGACCGCCCTTCCCAGTCGCACTCCTCCCACGCCGCCAGGCTCCCCACACCCTCCCTCCAATGCACGTCAGAGCCGTCCTCATCGGCACGCGGGCAGGAAAACAGCTGAGCTAACAGCCCCTGGCATGTGCTGCAGCTCCATCAGGAACAGGAACACCAAGAGCAACAGCAACAAGAGCAAACGCGTACAACCAAAAAGAAAAAAGACAAGAAAAAAAAGGAGTGTCCGCCGCACCTGCTCCACGAGCCGCCCTGCTGGCCTGCTGCTGCCCCCGCGACGTCTCCAAACACACGAGACGAGACAGATGACAGTGGGAAAAAGGAGGGCCGGATAGCGCACAAACGAGCATGATTCACTGACCCAGTGTGGGCTCTTGGCGTCTTGTTCCTCCTCTCGCCCCGTCTCGCCCGTCGCCATTCCTCGCCTTGCGCCGAGCCGAGCCCTCCCCTGCCTTGCCTTGCCTTGACTCCGGGTCTCTGCCTCTGCCTTTGCGCCCAGCCAGGCCCAGGTGCATTCATTCTTCGCTACCCTCGCTCTTACTTCTGCGCAACCCGCCAACCCACACGCGCGCCAGCGTCTCACTTCTCCCGTCTAATCCCATCTTACCTCACCTCACCTCACCTCGTCTCGGCTCACTCCAAATTACTTTACCTCACTTCAACTCACCTAACCTCACCTCACATCAAGTCGCACACCGTCATATCGTGTCAATAGTCCTCGCGCGTCTTGGCGACCACCTCGCCCTCCGCCCGGAACCCAACAATTGTTTCTCATGGGATTGTGGCGCATCTGGCACATCTCCATCCCACCCTCCCCATTGGAGCACCCTGGTCCTTGAACCCGCCACAGAAGCTTTCTATATCTCGCCCAATCCGCTGGAGGTCGACCCTGAGAACACCCTGAGAACACCAACCTGGACCGGATCCGATCGGATTGCATTCTCTGCATTCTTGCGGCGTCGCTCCTTTGGTCATTAGACAGCGAATTCGTTGTTCTACGTTCCTGGCGGTCCGCAGTGCGTCTTGTCTGCTGCATCGCTCGGACACGCGACTGTTGACTGTTGGATCGCAACCCCACTGGGCCATCGATCCTACTAGACTTGCTAGAGAAAATATTGTTCAGATCTCCAATGGGACAGTGTCTTGTGGCTTAGTCCTCCGTGGTAGCTGTCGCTCTACTTGTCACCTGCTGTCACCGCCGCCGACACCACCACCGCCCCAAACCACCCCCCTTTGGAAAACTGCCAGCTTCGACCCGCTCAGGCAACGGGCAGATATTTCCCTGCAGAAGCGTGGCCTTCCTGCGTGACAACCGCGTGACCCCCAGGCAGCCTTGAGGAGAAGCCCTCGACCCATGTGGCTCTATCCCAAATACTATCACCTACCGATTCGATCGAGCACTTGCGATTTTGACTTGGCTCAACGCAGTGCTGTGCTCTGGGCTGCCCACCATGGCACACCCGGAGCCCCTTGCGACAGACCAGCACCACAAGCGGAAGCGCGATTCTGACGACAATGGCCAGCAGTCCCACGACAGGATACCTCAGCCGCCCCCTCCCCAGTCTGGCAACGGCGCGCACATCAATTACCTGGCCAGGTCCAACTCGACACGACTGAAACTGATTCAGGGAGATGGCGAGGTATTTTCGGACGTGCTAGGCCTCATCGGGGACTACGAAGGGGTGCTGAGTCGTCATGAGAGCTTGGCTGCGAACTTGGGCGCCAAACTGACAGGCCCAAGGCTGGTCAAGGCCATGGAAGGGCTCTTTGAAGGCTCCATCACGGCCACGCGCAGAGACCCGTACAATTCCGACACGGTGACCTGGCTAGACATTGTCCAGTTTGCGAAAGCCAGCCCCAACGAGTTCACCCTGACTTCGAATCCAGATCGCGGCCGCTACTGCTCCTTCTTTCTCAAGGGAAATCAGGTCGAGATCACGGAGGATGACTGGCGGCTGATCATGTCGGGCACGCTGGACAGGTTCAACCTGGCACCCCTGCAACCGCTGGAAGAGGACGAGAACTCCGAGCTTGCGACCCTGGAGATAATGGAGCAGAGGCTCCAAGTCCTGATCAAAAAGGCCGACGAGGTTGCGCGTAAGGCGCGACAACTCAACTACCACCTCAGCGGCCGCAAGGCAGCCATCAATTCCCGGCGCACAGTACGCTCACCTACAACTCACCATGCTGGCTTTCAACCCGTCAACCACCCACAAGCAGTCCCGCGCTCCAATTCTACGTACGACCTCCACGCCGACCTGCTTCAGCAGTTCACATCCCAGTCGCAGCCCGGTTCTGCCAGGATCCCGGCTCAGAACTCAATATCTCTGCCTACGACACCCGTCATTCAGGTAAGCAATCATGTCGCCCCGTGTACGCGCCAGTTTCCTGGCCGAACAGATCCCACCGACACCGCACGCGCTGCCCAGTGGCGAAGATCCACGTCTGCCGTACCCGCTGGTCCGAAATAGACAATCCTGAGGACAACCCGTCGGTAAAAGCTTCGCCAGGGGATCCAAAGTCATAATACATGAGCCCAAGGAAGATCATTTCCATGCGATGCTGGTCCGTAGCTGGTTGGTCCAGAAGGTGTTCTGTTCTACTGCGGGCTAGGTCCAATGAGATGTTAGACCACCAGGGTTGTGTGTTGCCGCAACATGCTATTTGCCACTTACCTACTCATCAACACATGCAACTCATCATACGATCACTTCTTCCACCAAACAATGGGCGCAATCACTGCGTGAGGAAACCATGGATCGCTAAGAAAATGAGCAACAGGGACCCCCAATCGCAAGCGTCAAACTGCCAATCCAGCCAGTTCAGTCCATCCACACACAAAGCGGACGCCCCTCGCCGGGGGCTTCTGAGCAGTCCCAATCCCAACAGCAGCAGCATCAACACCAACACCAACAGCAGCCACAGCGGTCAGCAACAGCACAGTCTGACGATCCGTCTGACACGCACCGGTCGCTTGTGACTGCGCGAATTGAGAAATTGGCCAAGGGCGATACCATCCACCCGCCCTGCGACCGGTGCCGCAGGTTGCGCGTGCAGTGCATAAAGCATCTCACGGCCTGCCAGGGCTGCACCAAGAAGCATGCCAAGTGCGGGTGGAAGACGATCTCGGACGACGAACTCAACTGGTTAAAACGCGAGGTCGGCAGCGGGGCCAGCGGGGCGACGAGCGGCGGCGAGGGTGACGGCACGGAAGGAGATGACACTTCGGGCCGCAGTGGCGGCGGTTTCTCGCCCGAACCACCCTCACTGCCGCCCATCAGCACCACCAGCGCCACTGCACCCTCGTCCTCCTGCTATGGGGACCGGCCGCTGGCCGTCGATACGAGGGCGTTCGCGCCCGTCAACCATAGCAACAGTGTGAGCAGCGCCAAGGAGAGGGGCAGCGTCACGGACTTTGGGCTTCGCGACCACCGTCCGTCGTCGTCGCAGGCCGAGCACCGTGTCGACCACTATCGATTGAGTCACATGGCGAACGTGGCGCTGAGCGCTGACGCGAGGGAGCAGCACCAGCACCAGCAGCATCATCAACATCAGCAGAACCACTCTCAGAGGCCTATGATGCGGGGGGCCAGCGTCCCGAGGGATTAAAAGTCTTTGGTAGCTGGACGGATGCGTAGACTGGGTAATCGAAAGGGAAAGGGAAAGGGAAAGGAGGGATTAAAAACAGAGGACTTGCCTTGCTTCGAAGGCGCTTGTATAGGTTTGCATTTGCTGGATACCCCCACCCACTCGGCCGCAGTGATATAGAGTAGATCGGATATATGGTCGGCATGAGAGGGCCAGAAAATGGCTACAGCACTGCTTGCTGGTGGATACCCCAAAATTGGAGAAGAAAATAGGAGCGAGGGAGCTGCTGACCATGAGTAGTCTACTCCCGGCTTGATGGAATGGTGCAACTGGTTGGTCATCATGGTTGGCCGGTGGGTATTGTGTATATGTAGCATTCTGGCCAGAAGATAGATCACTGGTCCGCGGGGACAGTAGCCAGACACGAGGCTGTCTTCCTGGCGGACCTAGCTTTGATATCCCCCGAAGTGGATGAATGATAGGTGGCTTCGTGATTAGGAGATGGTGCATGTTCCCCGCCTTTGCGCATTGGACGTGCATGTGTTTACGATCGGGTTGGTCAGGCCTCGCCGGGCGCACGGCAGTGACGATGCCTCGGGCTGCCCGGGTTCCGCCTTCGTCCTGATGGGCACCTCGCCCCAGCAGCGATATACCACGAGTGCCTCCGCGGAGATAGCTTTCCTTCTCGTCAGCGGGATGATCATCGGCGCTGGAGCGTGCCGCGTGAGTTCTCTTCCTCCTTATGTAGCACCCATGAAGGCGCCACTGTGCTCGTGGACGGTCGTGGCGGCTTGTGTTGTATCATATCGAGACCGCGGTGAGGCTAGAGCCGTGGCTCCTGACCACCGATGTATCGGCAGCGCACAGAATTGAGGCACAAGAGGCGTGAGCTAATCGAGGCCTGGCCACAGCTGAAGGCTGTTGGCAACCTAACAGGCGCGGGGGCAGTGCGGTCGTCTTCTCGTTGGCATGCGAAACCAACCCTCTTGGCTCTGACCGACTCCAGCTCGCCCTCACTACTTCATCGCTGCCGAGCCCAGCACGATGCTCTTCCTGCGATTGCTCCTCTTGCAGTCGCCCGCTCTTCAATCGATAACCTGCGGCTTTTCGGTGAGGCAGACTGCGAGTTGCCGTTCTTGGCTGACCAGTCATGATAAGGGAAACTCTTTTTTGACAGAAGTGAAAGGCGGTTAGTTCATCGCCGTCTTGAACCTTATGCTTTGATCCGGCAGAGAGCCTGTCCTGCCAGTTTCTCGTGCCCTAGGGTTATTTTCGTCGTTCTACCTGCTCATCCTGGCTGTCTTCCGATGCCCTCCGAGATGTGAGAGTGCAGCCACGAGTTTTCAGACCGCCTTCGCTTGCTCTCTGATGTACAATCAAAGCCAATGCCTCCCAAAGCCCGTATCGTGTCCTCGACTGCTGTACCGCTACCGGTGACCGCCATGGCATGTTCACGGTGGGAGTCTGACAAATAACAGTGCTACATGGAGAAATTCTAGCCCCCACTATTGGTCTGTACAAGAAAGTCCCTCTCCTCTAGGAGTGTGTCGGTAATGCTCACTCTGTAGCTTGGGAGAAATACAGTAGCACACACGAGACAGCGCGGCCAGTTTGTCGACCGACCCCTCGATTCCGGGGTAGCAGGGAATGGGCTGGCTGGCTGGCTACGACGTTTCCAGGATACCGCCCGTGGTAGGTAAAATCGTGCATCTTGGGGCTAGATTGAACTACAATGAAAATTTAACCAAGATGAATCAACGGCCGCTCTTGAATTTTTTGCCATTTTAAGGTCCCTCTTATTCGAGATGGCGAGGCAATGGGCGAGTGGCAGGTCCTCTTCCCTGGCACTTTGGTGCACACGATAGAAGAGGGAATTGCGGTGTTGTCTTTATATTTCCTTGCTACAGCTGATAAATGAGATCGATTCTTTGGAGGATCTAATTCAATCCTGCTGTGGCCTTCCAAATTGAATCGAGGAAATCCGCGCGATGCTGGACTGTACTGGTATAAGGGGGCAAAAGTGCCATTATTGTCTTCTTTGGCCAACTCAGGCACCCTTGTCTCGGTTGCAAGGAGCAGAGCAGATTTTATTCAGGTCGAAATCATACTTCAAAATAATCACTCCACTTGGACCAACCCGATATTGTTGATGGTGGTGTTTCACGGGTGTGGACGCGCCCCGTCAACCGTGAAGATCTCTCCCCTGGCCAAGGGTGCCGTGCCCACATCAGGCGAGGTCGGATCGTTCAAGGTGGGAGTTCAACTCGAGTGCTCTCAGCCATGTTCACCCACAGATGGCCAAATTCAATGGGATCTAAACCGTTCTCAAGCATAACTACTCTCAAATACATGAGGACTAGGTAGAGATTTGCGAGTGTCTGCCGTTTGCGTAAATTCACCCGCATAGAGCCTTTGTTTATCGACGGTCTTGAGTGTCGTGACCTCGGGACTATAAATCACGTCACTCGTGGATAATCGCGCCGTGCCCACAGGTGGTAGCCCAACGGCGAGGAAATTTTCTTATGGAGGCATTTCTTCTTGTTTTGAGCAGGTGAACTCTGTGGCTTTTGCCAGCCTCATGCAGGTCCTCCTGCAGGCGAGGCTGGAGGAGTAACTGTCCGGCTACTGGTGCTACGGACATCCTCCAACTTCAGCAAACTGACGACTCTGCGAATTTGATGGGAAGTGAAAATCACGCTCGACTGTCAACCTGGATTCTTGCCTGCCAATTTTTATGAATCCTTCCTTGTTGACTTTCTTGTAGACAACGCTGGCGGGTGTCCTCCAAGGGGAACACGAGGGAAGTCTCGATATGTGTCTCCTTCTCATCCACATCCGGCAGGCCCTATTTCCATGGGAACTCACCTGCTCAGTCGTGGTCGTAGTGTAAAATTCTGATCCGGAGCAGGAAGAATGTAGTCTCATTGTTACCGTGTGGCGTATATGTCACCGTTCTCGTCGAACACGGTGGTTTGACCCTATCCGACCCAAACAAAGCAGCCAGCTGTGTCCGCCAGTAGGAACAACCCAGCCACTCGGAAGGAGGACGAATGGCACACACGTGGGTTTTGAAAGCCATACCCGTCCAAAACTAATGGATGTGGCAATCCAAGCTGTCTGTGGCTGCGGTCTGGGCTGGGTGGATGGCCCCAACGGACGCCAACCGGAGAGCACTCTTTCTGGGAGGGATCATCTGCGACTGCTCAGGTGCCGTCCAGGCAGAGGTGAACAAGTCACTACCACGGGACACCTCGAGGTATGACCGATCCTCCTCCTCTCGAGGTAATCAGGGAGTGTCTCAATGCATCAAGCAACGGGCACTGTTCCGATAGCCGCCCGCTCCCAGGCAAGGGGTAGGGTCGGCGTCGAGTGCCCATTGCCTCAAGCGGGCAGGTGAAGACTGTTCAGCTCGCACAAGTCTAGGCCTCAACGGGGCCTCGTGCTCAAGCTCAACCAAGCCCACGCTCAAACGCCCACCATGGGGCATGGCATGCCATCACATGGAGTTGGCACAATTGCCTGCCCGCCTCAAGTTGTTTTGTGCGCGTCTCGAGACCAACGAGGGCGTGGACAGGGAGGGCAAGGCTGTGGTGGCTGTCACCGTGCCGGCTGAAGCTCGTCGAGAGAAACGCCGACTCGTCCGGGATGGCATCGTCAGGGATGGTAGCCCTCCTTGGCGGTCGGCCGTTGGACACCCACCCAGGATAAAAAATGGCTGCTTGAATGGTGCCGGTAGCCTTCTCTGGCGAACACCGTGCCGGATCTCCCATGAGCTGAGAGTTTACTAGGTAATGCTGTATGCTGTGTGGAAGTCGAGGCTGGCATCTCCCGCATTGTCAGCAAGGGAAGAAGGAACAAGGTGCGAGCATCTCGGATTGGAATCCCGGTAGAGTAGAGAACAGAGAGGCACACACACACACTCACACACACACTCACTCACTCACTCACTCACTCACAATAGGAGTAGGTGATGCTGCTTATCAGGGGGAGGGGGTCTGGGCTGGAATGTGTGGGCTCTGCTCGGCCTTTTTATTCACTCATCAGGAGACAGTGTCCAGTGTTCGAGATTCCGCGCAAGGAAAGGTAGAGGTCGCCGGCCCAGCACGTTTTCTTTTCCCGGGTCCAACCTCTTCTCTTCCTCTCGACTGGTCTCAACTGGACGCCGACCAACGCTGCGCACGTACGCAAGCACAGCGACCCAACGCATTGCCCTCCGCCCGCCTCCCGCCTGCTCACTCTCACACTCCACCCACTCCTTCTGCTCTTTCAATCCCCATCTCCCAAAACAACAACCCTCTCCATCCCTTCCATTTCGACAACGCGACCTCCACGCAGCCACCTCAAATCAACAAACCGGCTGCTGGGCTTGTCTCCGTCACTCACCCGCCATCATACCACCATCGCCACTCGGGTCTCCACGACACGACACGACACGACCTGCAGCTGCGGTAATTGTCACGGGAGGAACTGCGCTGCACTGTGCTGCACACCGGCTGTCTGTCCTCTCTCACTGCTCTACAGCGACAACACCCAGTCATCAATTTATTCTACACGGGGTGGCCGTTTCAGCCCACAACACAAGCTTGGTCTTAGTCATCTGATCTGATCTGTTCAGTTCTGGTCCGGTCTGGCCTGGCTGTCCGGTCGGTCTGATCTTCATTGGTAGGCCTGTTGTTGCGGATACAAAAGGCCTTTCTTATGTGGACTTTGTCGCGCGCTAGGATCCCGGCCACACCCTCTTAATTATCCGCGTCCATTGCTCGTCTCCTGTTTGGACCTCACCTCACCTCGACTCGCCTCGCCCGCCTCCCCTTCCGCAATACGACATCAAGCGACGCGTCAACTCCATCAAACCGCCCGCGTCTGCTTACATTTGTTCATTTCTTCCACCGCCCGTCGCGTCTTCCATCGCCACGCCTCGGGATGGCCGGCCTCCTCACTGAGACTGCTCACGCTGAGCTGCTGCCTCTCCCTACGCCTGAGCCTGCGCTTGGCCCTGACTCCGTTGAGCTCCCTGCCCTCCCCTCCGAGTCGAGCTTCCAGTTCTCCGGCTTCCCGACCGATGCATCCTCCAACAACGCGTCTTTCACGTCCACGCCCCCAACCACTATTGCTGACGCAGCCAGCGTCGCCTCTGACACTTCCAAGCACGAGATTACAGCTACCATCCAGGCTCTCGACGCCCCTGCAGCATCCACTCCCGTTACCGGCTCTGCTGAGCCTGCAGAGCCCGCACAGCCTGCGGAGCCCGCGGAGCCTGCGGAGCACACTGAGCACATTGAGAAGATCGAGCAGACTGTCCAAGTCGCCACCGACCAATCACCCCAATTAGACCAACAGACCCCCAAGGCGTCCACACCAGATCTTGACAATGAGACTCCCACCCCAAGACGCGCTCGAACCGCGCGTGCGGCTGCGCAGGCCCCCGTCTACAATCTAGCCAAGCTCGCAGGCACTCACATCCACGGCAAGAGACGCGCCAATGGCGATTCTGTCAGAGAAAAGCGCAGGAGGACCATCTCGGGCGACACGCTGGTTGCCGACAACGGTGCAGGCACCAACCCCAGCCTCGACAGCATTGTACAGCGTGGCGTTGACGCGTTGGACATGAACTGGTCGCTGTCGGCCCCCAACTCGCCTTCGACCGCACGTGACGGCAACGCGCAGACCAAGTCTGCTGCGAACACCAAGAAGCAAAAGGCAAAGGCAGTTCTCGCGAAGCGCATATCCACACGCGCTTCAGGTGCGGCTGCCGCCGAGGCACTCATCACAAAGGCTGCTTCGGTGGGCAAGCGGGGACGAAAGATGCTCGAGAACACGCGCATACCACGCGAGCTCAGAAGGCTACAGGACACAAACGAGTTCATGGGCGTCGAGGCAAAACCTGTGCTTCATACTATCTGGAGCAATGGCAAGTATGTCGACCCTAACGAGTTGGACGTCGACGGCGAGCCACTCCGAAAGAAGGCCAAGAAGGAGCGCGCATCGACAAAACCCGAGGCCGAGGTCGAGGCTGAGGCGTCCAAGGAAGAGACTCCCACGGTTGCGCCTAAGCAGAAACGCGTCAAGAAGTGGCTGGACAAGGGCCTGTATGCAGGCCAACCAGCCCCATTGGACTACACCAAGGGGATGAGTGCTGCCGAGAAGAAGAAGCTTGCGCAACTGCCAGAGCTCGCCCCGACTGGAAAAGTGAACAAGACATTCCCACTGCCCATGTTTGCCGGCTTGAGACTCCTAATCAATGGTCGTGATTTCAAACTGCCATTCGATGTTTGCAACCCACTGCCACCTGGTCAGCCCAAGCCGGATGAGTGGCGCAAGATGACCAAGAGTAAGACGACTGCAGCCCGGTATTTGGAGTCTATGAACTGACTGTTTCTCCTAGATCGATTTGTCGGCGACGCTGGGACATACTGGCGGAAGACGGACCATTTCAAGGACTACCAGTCAAAATGTATCTGCAAGCCTGAGGACGGATGCACCGAAGACTGTCAGAATCGCATCATGTTGTACGAGTGCGATGACACAAACTGTAATGCGGGCAAGGAATACTGCCATAACCGCGCTTTTCAGAACTTGACTGCGCGCACCAAGAAAGGCGGGCGATACCGCGTTGGTGTTGAGGTTGTCAAGACATCCGATCGCGGCTACGGTGTGAGAAGCAACCGGTGTTTTGAGCCTAATCAGATCATCATGGAGTACACTGGTGAGATCATCACACAGGTGGAATGCGAGACACGGATGACCGAGAAGTACAAGGACAACGAGGTGAGTTGTGTGAAGGGTCAGGCGCTCTGCATGTGGATCAAGGGCTGACATCTGTTTTCAAGTGTTACTATCTCATGGCGTTCGACCAGAACATGATCATCGATGCGACGACTGGCAGCATCGCTCGATTTGTAAACCACTCATGCGCACCGAATTGCCGCATGGAGAAGTGGATCGTGCATGGTCAGCCGCGCATGGCGCTCTTCGCGGGCGAGAAACCCATCATGACTGGAGACGAGCTGACGTACGACTACAACTTCGACCCTTTCTCGGCAAAGAACGTACAGAAGTGTCTCTGCGGCAGCGATAACTGCCGTGGCGTTCTGGGCCCCAAAGCACCCACGATTCCTCGCGGCGAGGCCCTGGTCAAAGGTGTTAAGGAGACTGTCAAAGCCGCAACCAAGGCCGGAAAACGCAAGTTGGCGGCACTTCTTGAAGGCCAGGAAGAATCGGGTACTCCCAACAAGAAGCGCAAGGTGATTAAGGCTACGGGTGTCAAGCGTTCCCTGAGCGCAAAGGCCGCCGCGGCAGTCAAGAAAACTGCCAATAGCATCTCTGTCAACGCGAAGGCGGCTCTCTCCAACTCGACAGCGCCACCCAAGACTCCAGCCAAGACGGTGTCCGTCCGCAAATCGACGCTCGTCAAGGCGTCCAGGACGTACAACAAGAATGGGAAGGAGTTGCTGCTTGCTGCGAGCCTGACCTCAAGTGCGGCCACGATTGTTGCGACACCAGCGACGGGGAAGTCGGCAGGCCCTGGCCGGAAGAAGGCCACTCCTGCAAAGGGCTCAGCGGCCAAGGCCAAGGGCACCATCAAGGGTACCATCACCAGCGCTGCCGGCAAGGGTAACATTAGGGGCACCATCAAGAGTGCCAAGCACACGATCAACAAGTCTACCGGCAAGAAGACGGCCACCACGAAGACGGTCAAGGCGAGGCAGATTGCTAAGAAGAGCATCTTGGAAGATGCCGAGGACGGCAAAGCGACCAAGAAATCGGCCAAGTCAGACCGAGCACCCACCGTTGAGGCCGGGTCCATTAGTGTCAAGGGCCCCCGGAAGGCGCTCGAGTTGTCCCGTACGCAGAATAAGATCCGCGTAGTGACAGACTCGGAGTAGACCTGACACAGCTCAGATGGGGAGAAGGGTTGTCGATGAAAGAGACGGTAAGCACAGTCTTGCAGAAGATTGTGCGTCCTGGTATTCAGAGAGTTTTACGTCTCGGCTCTGCTCGACCAGTTGACAGGGTGAGGATACTATGAAGAGAAGGAGGAAGACACGTTGGGGCCGCAGGAGCTCATGTAAGAGTATAAGGGGCATCATCTACGTCGGGGACACACGAGGAGGAAGGGACCAGCATTGCAGGGGCACAAGGTTATCTTACAAACATATTTTGCTTGCTACGCCGAGGGCTGAGTTACTGGTTTGGTTGTGACCTGCCAGGCAGGAAGGAGGAAAGAGTTACTGTCTTCAACCTCAGGGCTCTTGCGCGTACCGTGGCCGCCTCCCTCCCCTCCAAGGGCCGCTCCCTGGGAGCAGTGGGACTCTTTCTGCAGCAGGCATAAGAAGAAATGAATAATATGATGGTTTAGCTTCAATCCTCCTCGCCCCAGTAGCCAGGCATTTCACATACCTCCTCACACGCCCACGCGCGAGGCTTGAGGCTCTGCTATTCCGCCTTTTCCCCCTCCGACAGGCCTGCTTATACGAGAGCCTCGTCTACCGTCGACCGAGCCCTTAATTTGGTAGGGTGCGTGCCCCGGGGGCGCAGCGGCTTGGCTGCCGTAGGACTTTGGCGTGGCCCGTCCGCGGAGAAAGATGAGGGAGATGAGGCTCTTCTTGTCTCCTGTGAGGATCCAGGGGGCTGTGACCCACCACCACCCGCCTCTCCTCCTTCCCAACAGGCGGATTCCTCTTGCTCTCTGCATGCGTTCATCTGCGTGCACACGTGCGGGCATGCATCAATGCCCAACCTGGCTCTACACGCGCGCACGCACACACACACACACTATCTCTCTCTCTCTCTCTCTCTCTCTGTCTGCCCGGGCGGGGCTGACATAATATCCAAAGTACTGCCCTGTCGGGCAGAGCTGCATCTGCAGTGGATGGAAGGATGGAAGGGCGGGATGTTGATGGGCGGGTGGTTGGGTGGATAACGTACCCGCCCGCGCAGGTTTGGTGCAACATGCATACACTCAGTCCCTCCAGAGCCTGACTGAATTCAAGTCGGAGTCGTTTTGACCTACCCGTGGGGTAGTGGGGAGGGAGGGAGTTGGAGGAGCCGATTTGGCTGCTTACGCCGTGCGAGCGCGAGCTGATATGGGATTGGGATTGGGGTTCGTGACTAGACCCAACCTCCCTGACGCAAAGTGGTAAGTCTCATGGGTTGGATATTTGGAAGTTCACGTACTTGGGCCAACCCCGTTGAATATGGATGGGCCTTAGTATTGCCATCGCGCATTTGGGCGTATTCATCCATTCGGGACGGGTTGGTTTGAGGCGCGTCGTCCCTTTCTTGGCATGGTGGGGTGGTGTAGGTGCGTCTGCATGTCTGCAGTTGGGGAGGGCGGTTCCACAGAATTTCCAGGCAGTCGTGATGCAGAAGCAGCACATGAGTGTGGTAAAGAATTGGCTGACGAGTTCACCTTGACGCGTTGGTACCAGCTGCTAGTAAGAACGCGCGTCTGAGTGCTGTTGGCTGCCTGGAACAATTATCACGATTGGAATTGTGCGTCTCGGTACTGCGTGGGTGGAATGCGCGACTGCTGAGAGTTATGATGATCAAAATGTGTGCGGTCGAGAGCACGGCATGCAGGATCGCACTCGATGTTGATTGTAGTGTTGTGACAATGAAATTGGTATAGCCGTTAACGCCGTGTGTATAGCTTTTGGGACCATCGATAAGGCTAAGGACAGAGACATTTCCTGAAGACTCCTAACCCTGTGTGTAGACAAAATCAATATCGTGCCCGCGAGTCCTGACCGCCTGTCTATGGTTCCCCGACTAGCCCTGGAAGTTTATAGAAAAGCCACAAAAGGTATCTCTTCTACTATATGAAGACACTCGGGTCGGATCCTGCGATCCTGCGCATTCTTAAAAATTCAACCGCGCCTGTCTAGTAAACTTCAAAGGAAAAAATCCAACGCTCGCTTCGCATTCGAAGATCGTGATAGTCCTGAGTCAAAGCGGTGGCCACGATGGACTGGAACTAGCTCCCACTAATCATCTTGCGGCGGTGGATAGAGACGATGGCTGATATGAACCACAGATCCGGGCCGTGTTGCGGGGAGTTTCAGTGAGCGGAGGAGAGTAAGTCGGTGAGAGGCGTGAGCTGAGACGGTAAACTGTAGTTATAACTCTCCGCAGCTGGTTGTCGTCCATTGGTGGGGCCCAGGACGAAGGACGTGCTGCTGGGATGGCAGTATGTGGAAGGCTCGACGAGTGATGGTTTGGCGTTGGCCGAGACTGGTCACTTCTGGTAACCACCATCCGGATAGAGCCCCTCCCCTGACTGCGGTTGTTAGTGTGGTTCAGGCTTGGGAGATGTAATAACGTAGAAATTCCTACCAGCTGAATACAGGAAGCCTCATCGGCGAACCTTGTGTGCCTCCATGTGGCAGTTGCCGCACCGTGCCACACCGCAGCTCATACATTGCAAGGTCATGTGCGCGTTCATGCCGCCGTGGCCGCAGTAGCAGCAAGTCCAGATATAGACAACAGCACTCTTGCCCATATTGTGTATGCGATGTGTTTTGGTCTTTGGGAGGATTGTGGTGGGTTGGTTGAATGTATTCAGGACTCTGCTGGGTGTTCCAAGTGAGGAGAGCTATGTTATAGCAAATGATGAAGATGAGGTAGCAATAGAAAGCGTGATAACGGTGGCGAGAACCTGGAGACACTTATACCCAGCAACGAAGGGAGAACGAGGCGAGACATGAACGTGTATTTCCACTTTGTGTATTCACAGCCCTCGTAAACAGGCATACCAGAAACGTGAGGCGGCCAGGTTGAGGCGTGAAGCGACATAGCCAGCATTGACGGGCCGCAGCACTTGCTGAGGGTGAATCGCAAATGAGCCTGGGCCTAGGCAGAGATGATTCAGACTTGCCATGAGGACTCAGGACAAGTGCCTAGCCCCTGGGGCCGCCGGTGGAAACCGTCACGCGTTCGAGTATGTGCCGAGAGGCGTCCTCCACTTAGAGGTCGAGACGGCGTTGGTCCAACAGTTCACCCACGCATATGCCTCGCTGCGCATGAACAGTCATCGGCCATCCCACGCCTGTGCCCCATGGCCCAGACAAGTTGGCACCCCGGGGGACGGGGTGGACGCCTAGGATGACAGGCAGAAAGCAGCAGCAGCGTCAGGGACCTGGAGAAGGAGATTAGCCTTGCTAAAGATTCGGTGACAGAATAAGGCAGCGACGGGGCGCCAGGCGGGTGTAACGCGTGCGATTCGGTCTGGACGGTGGCTTAGTATATCCATGCTCCCAACGGCAAGGCCCGGTGACGGGGTGAAGAGTAGAGTAAGTACGGAGCAGGAGGGCGATGGCGGTGCGGACTGTCCCGGGGCTCTGGGTCGGGGCCACATGAGTGGTGAGCGGCCGTGGAGAGAGATTGGGTATCCCTGCGGATGGCGGTCACGCGGCAGAATTCCACTGCTCGCTGGGCCCCGGGCCGTGACGTCGAGAAAGGTTGTGCTCGTCCGCGAATTGAGCAATGGGCGGAGAGATGGAAGGCAGGGAGAGACTGGGCGAAACTGGCTCGCTGTCCCCCAACTGGCTGCGCATTGGTCAGCCGGCCGTTGGAGGGGATGCGGCTCAAAATTCTCCAACCTCCCCCAAAAATGGGCCGGGTATAAGCAATTGCCTCCACGTTGGCGGGGCAGCAGCGTCGGATACTCCACTTTGTCAAGGCCGGCAAGGCACCAACGTGTGAACGTCCAAGTGTCTGGCACTCGGCTTGACTCTGCAGCCTTGAAGCTTCCTCGAACCCAGCCATTCTCACGCCGCCCTAGTGCTCTAGACAATCAAACAATCAAAGCATTGTCCCTCCTCTTGGACCACATGAGCTCTCTGACTGGACAAAGACAGCCAATGTCCTCGCTCGGCCGGGTCCCAACCCTGTGGTTTGGCCGCGCTGGTGCATCGCGTCGTGCAGACTGGCAGGGCGACTCTGCGCAAAACCTCCAATGAGCATGGCCATCCTCTCAAAGACAGTCTCTGTTGACTCATACCAACGTCGGAAAGGGTGTTGTGTGATCTCGAGACAGGCCGTCGCAGAGCCGCATCGTGGCTGAGCCGGTATTCTGTTGCTCCCAGCCGCTCTCCGTGCTCACCCATCAACGCTGGATCTCGGTCCCGTCTGCCTGGACACTAGTGTCCAAGGTGAGTTAGGTGACCCACAAGGCTGATTCAAACCCCTTAGGGCACCCTGCGATGCCGTGTACTCTCACCCTCCTCCCCTCGGAGTCATCGATGACCCGGATGTGCAGAGCCGCATGCGGGCTTCCTGTCGGTTGAGCCGCATCGCCTGGCGCCCCCCCCCCATCGAGCCACGGCTCCCATCCCCCCTCCATTCCTCATTCCTCCCGTGGTGGACGACGCATTTGCGACTTCAATATCCTTCGTGGGACGACGTGGTGACCTTCGTGGGACGACGTGACAACAGCTTGTCGTCGAGATAGTGAAGAGCAAAGGTTCTGGTGTTGAAAGCGTCGAACCGATATCCGCGTCACCGTGACTTGCCATCCCTGGGAGGCTCGTTGACTTCCAACCAGGGTATCTTCCTTCCATGGACTGAGCGATGACAGCCAACCGACCCCAGCATGCCAACAACGAGCAAGCTTCCTCAGCTTTCGTCTATGCCTGAGCTGAAACTGGACGACCCAAGCATGGAGTCCCTAACAGCCCAGACAGATACCGTTGGGAGACCAACGGAAAGCGTTCCCAGGGGGTTGTTGTGTTCGCTGCAGCGTGGTGTACCCGTCCAGGCAGGCCTCATCCGATGTTGCTAAATGCTTCGTTGTTCCGTGAGAATGCATGCAAGCCCGCCTAGGCCCGCTGCCTGTTCGGTGGTGGTAGGTCGAGGGCTTGTCGACATCACTTCGTATCAATCCGTAGGCGTGAAGAGTTGTCGTAAACGCAGTCCTTCGAATCCAGTGTCCCCTGAAACCCCCATCATATGCAAGTGATATCGGATTCAATTGAGAGACCAATGAGATAAGAGAAACACTTGGGGGAGATTGTTGGCCTGGAACTGCTACACAGCTCTTGACCCCTGCTCAGAAATGCCTCTCTTTTGCATCACCTCGTCTCCGCTTTAACTGGAGCACAGAAGCAGGCAAAGAGGAAGTGCATGACCAAATTCGGAAAGAGTTCGAAAAGTAATAATAGGATCATCCGAGTAAGGTATTCCAGAAGGCTGATGAGAGGGAAGGTGCGACCAGGCAGGCAGTTTAGGCTTCTGAAACTCTTGTGGTGTGACCTGCTGCTCACTTGCCACACTTGAACAGTGGGAAATGTGGTACTCACAAGGACATGAAAAGAAGAGACACCGTGTATATATAGCGAATTTTTGGCGTGAGGATATTTCTGTGGAGCTGAGCCACCGGGAAGCGGAGGGAGGAGCACTCGAACTCATTACAAGCCATTGCGAAGTCTTCGGGGGAGGCGCGGAGTATTTCCTGGGAAAGTCGAGGGCGAGAGCAGAAAGAGCGCCCAAGCTGCAGGCGACGTGCCAATTTATATCTATGAGAAGGTGAAATTGCGGCTCAAGAGCCTCGAAACACCAGGTGAGATCGGGCGGCGAGTATGCCTTCAAAGACAATGCCGGTGCATGACTACCACACCACCCACACACACCCACACAATTCGGGCAAATTGTCTGCTCGACATATTCGAAGCTGCCCTCCAAGGCTCCAGCATGTGCTTGATGATTGTTGCTGTTGTATCGGTTCCGCTGACCAGTACGGAAGGACCTAGCCTTGTGTGTCCAGAGAACAGCCGCCCAATATCATTCGTCGGCCGGGGGCGGCTCGTAGACTCTGCAAAGCAGAAACAGAGCCTGTCGCGCATCTAGACTGCCAATTACTGATCGGAGGGCAGTGGTAGAGCAGTGACTCCATGTTGTGCTCACGACTTGGCACAAGCACCGGCGATACGTGCAAGTTTTACACCCGACACAAGGCAGGTTTTCTGAGTGGCACAGCAGAAAATTGAAGTCACCCGTGTGAATCCGGGTTTTCGTTCAACGTTGTGGACGTGGCCCATGGCAAGGTAGAAGTAAAAGGAAAAGATTGGGTTGATATAATACGTGATCAGTAGTGATGGCAGTTATGGGGCGCTGCAAGAATGATTCATGCACCATCATGGGTAATCATCCGAACCTCGAGTCCGTGATATCCGGGACTTCCAAGTCGACACAAGGATTCACGCACGGTCGAAGAGCCGCACAGAGCTTAAAAGACTTTCCTCTCCGAGCGAACTACCAACCATTGGACCAATGAGGTTGCCACTGTCGTCTGGGTTGGTGTCATCAGTTGCAGCCTGTTCACACTGTCGGAAAGATGGTGGAGCAGGTGGCCACACGCTGTTTAAATAGAGCAGTCCTGGTTGGTGGCACCAAGCGCGTTGACGCCACGGATGACCGAGTGACTGGCTGGACGCCCCTTCATTAGAGCTTGCTGGCTCTAATCATCTTCGGAGGTTGGGTTGGCATGGTATGATTATCTCCGTGAAAGGCAGCTGAGCCACCTTTGCTGTCGACAGCAACTCGAAAACTCGTAAACTCGGAGAAGCGAGTGGCGAAATCACTGGCTGCCCAGACGACAACCCAAACCAGGAAACGGACTAGACGGCATGATTGGGTGGCCAGACTGGCAGAAGATGAAGCTGATTTAAAGTAACAGAGCGCAATTCGAATTTCAACGGCGAGATGAGAGTAATCTGTCAGGCCCCGGCGCGGCCGACGATCCGAGCTTCAGCGCCGGCAGTCCCTGACAAGAAGCAGATGAGGCCAAAGACAAGAGAAGACGCAGCCCATGGCCGTAATCCCACGCTGCTTCCCGGTGACTGGCCACTCCTTCCCTTTTCATCCTCTCCCTCCTGTTCCTTCTCGCATGGGATAGCGGCTGAGACCAAACACTCTGCCCAGGTGTGGCCACGACCCTGGTCCCGCCTGCTACGGGTTAGTGAAGGTACCAACTGATCAGTACGACTCGAAACAATCCTTCTCGTCCACGCGTCTCGGTCCACCCCTGATCCTATGCCAGGCAGCAGGTCCGGTCCTGTTGGCCTCTGGCGGTCGATTGGGTTGCTGCATTATTGAATGCCACTTGGTGCTTTGGTCCTTGGAGGTGCTAGGATCTTCGAAGAAGGATAACTGAAGTATCATTGTACGACGTGCGGACCCACAATAGCCTGTCTGCCAACTCGGCTCTACTGTTAGCCCCTCGGCAAGGCAGTGATCGCCAATGCATGGCAGGGCACGGACCCTCAGGATTTGCGGCGCTCTCCACACGTCACTCGTCCTATTATTATCATCCTTATCCCCCGACCATCCGCAGATTGGCAGTTTGGACGCCCGACGACACCTCCTGTCCACCTCGACGGTCGCGCGTCGTGGCGCTACCATGGCCGCCTCGCCCAAGCTGTTCCCCAGCCCGGAAGCCAGGAGCCACAATGCCGCCAACCGATGGACAACCCGTATAATTCCCATTTTCCTCCTCGCGGTCATCGGCTTCGCTTGCTGGGCCCTCACCAAACCTATCTGCAGTGAGTGTAACTCTGCCACGCGCAACCGCACAACCAAGAGCTCCATCCAGAGGACAAAGACAGAGATCGCTAACACAACATGTCGCACCCACGCAGTTGACTTCTTTATTGCTCGAAACCAACTCGGCAGCGCAATCGTCCTTCTCGTCCTTCACTACATCTTCCTAATATTAATGCTCGTATGCTATGCCCGTACGCTATACGCTGTTACATACAACGCGGGCGTTGTGCCCCTCGAACCGAAGCTTGGCCTCGAGTCCTTCTACACCCGCGATTTCTACACCTGCCGGAGCGACGGCCTCCCAATATGGTGCTCCGACTGCCAGAACTGGAAGCCTGATCGAGCCCACCACTCTGGCGAGATCCAGCGGTGTGTCCAGAAGATGGACCATTACTGTCCTTGGGCAGGGGGAATGATCGGAGAGACAGGTAAGCGTTTCTGTATATTTTATATAAAAGGCTTTCTGGTGGTTGACTCATCGCGGATTATCCATTGCGAAGACTTGTCGTGAAGGCTGTGACACTGTTTTGATGTAGTGATGCAAGAACCATGCCTCTCATCCCAATCAATTTCTTTAGAATGTTGACTGATTTGTTCTGCAGCCTTCAAATTCTTTATACAATTTGTCACATACACCGCTTGCTACTGTACAATTTGCTTATCTGCCGGAGCGCATGTGACCAGAACGCTTGCGAACGAAGACAAGGATGTTTCGGTTCCAGCGATCATTCTGATAGCCTTTTCAGCTTTCTTTGGCTTGTTCTCATTCACCATGGCCGCCATGTCACACGGCTATGCCCTAAGCAACATCACAAACATCGAAAACCTGAGTCGGAGGACCAAGGTTCACCAGCTCGCCATCCGGATCCCGCTCAACCAGACGCCGAATTCTGACAATAGCGCCATGCCGAGTGACTATGAGACCATAACTTTCCCACTGGCAAATCCTAATTTCGACGGGAATCAATTCATATACGAGAACCAGAACGGCGCCAACAGAGCCAGCCAGCATGCCCCGGAGCACAAGTTTGCTATCGTGAAGACCGAGGTGGGCGAGAATCCGTGGGACATGGGGAGCTACTACCAGAACTGGAAGTCCGTGATGGGGGACAAAGGCGTTTTCGACTGGCTTCTACCTCTTCGGCTCTCTCCCTGTTGCAACTACAACGGCGAATACCCCACGGGCCCGGTGGTGGATAGACTGCGTGAAAGTTTGAAGAAATGATACAACTCAAAACACCCAGACCTGCATTACGTTCTTAGTGAGTGAATTGATGCGCTCCCGGGCTCCAAGCTCAATCATCAAATTTCGATGTTTCTGTGATCATTTATTGTTCCCAGATTGCAATTCTCAGGTCTCCTCGTGTAATTGTGACCACAGGCGTCCTCAACAAGATTAGCTACGCGGATGTGTAATCCGTATGGCGTGGACCGCGGTGGAAAATGCTGGCCGAGGCTAACTTCTTGTGCAAATTACAGATCAGAACAGGGAGGTTCCTCCAGAATCGGGTAATCCATGCTACCAACAGTACAGGCCTTGTCATGTCAACGCAGCACTGCCGGCTGCCATGGCCAGGAATTCACAAAGCGCCCGCTATAGATCGCATTTGAACCAGTCTGGGCAGCGCCTTCGCGTCGAAAGACCCGTCGGCCCTCAGCCATCGTTCCGGGTGGAACTCGTCCATGTCCGGATGCCAGAAAGACGGCGTTGACGTCCAAGCCCAGCAGGGCCTTCCAGAAGGCGTAGTAGGTGGCGATCTTGAAGTTGTCCCGGAAACAGACGGGCCTGTCGCCGACGACGCGGGCCCTGAACCGCCAGAGCTCAATCAGCTAGGAGGCGATTCGTTGCATAATGGGCGCGGCCTGGTCGCGGAGGATGGATGGTGTCGCTCCACAGCCTGACCTGGGCCCTCCGCTCCGGGCCCTTGACCTTGGCGAGGCTGGACCCGGGAACGATGGGCTTGAAGGGGAGGACGTGGGCTGGGGACTTGTCGAACTCGCGCAGCCGGTTCTGCAGCAGGTTCTCAATCTCGAGCGTGTCTTCGACCTGGACCAGCGGCGGCCAGAAGGGCATCAGGAACAGCTCGATGATGGGGCTCCCGAGCCGCTCGAACTGGGAGAGCAGCATCCTGGCCGGGTCCCGGTGGCGCTGCGCCTCAGTCGTGAGCTCGGGCATGTCGCCAAAGAGCCGGCGCGTCGAGTGGGGGCTGTACGGGATGCCATTGTACGGGCGGCGATGGGTAGCACGATGGCAGAGGTAGGCCAGAAGGGTCAAGATAGGGAGCGCGATCGTGACGGCTGTGCTGGGGGCTGCCATGGTGGAGGTTCATGGTTGGTGGGTGGGTATGAGACCGTGGGTTCTGCCTCGTTGAAGGGCCTGTTGCATTCCGGTTGTACTTCAGGTTCCACAGGAGAAGGGCTGGCAGCAGCATTTTGCAAGCGGACTCCTGAATGCGGGCGGGGGTAGGTCCTTTGTGTGTGCTTATGGCACTTCAACGAAGTGCTGTGTCTAAGAGTCCGAGTCAAAATCTAGAGCATGGGACGCTTGGTATTGTGCGCCGTGTTGTTATCTCTTACTACCGGCGAAGCGGCTGAGGCGGCACAGCAAACCAAGAGGATATAGAGAACCGACAGAGAGAGAAGAAAATAATGCCTGCAGCCGAGCCATCTCACCGTGACACTGACTATGTAGCCCGACGGTTCCCAAGGAGACTTATTGAGTGTGTGGTGTGTAAGTATAATGTAGGATGGTAACACACCAGATGGAATCACGAGAATATTGCTGTACGTGCCACAACACGCGCCTTTGGTTTCCACCGCATACTGGGAATGATTCATGCGTGAACTCTTGCCAGAAAAGTCGTATGTTGGGGGAAGGAGGGTGCCATCAGGATAAGCAGAGACCCCAAATAGGGAAATCACTTTCGCGTTACTCCTCGCTCAAGGCTACCGTCTCGCTTCGGATGCCGGTTCAACATGCAGCTCATCATGTCGAGGAACACCACGCGAACCCATTAATTTGTGAAGCTGCGGCATACATGTACAAGGGAATGGTCTCAAGACGCCTTAAATATCATGGTGGAGTCCGGCGGACTCCACCGTCCAAACAGGTCATACGTCCACAACATACACAATGATCAAAGTTGGGAGAGGCGACGGCGTCAAGGCAGGGGGGGAACACTACCCAACCAACGGCCTGCATGAGAGGTCACGGGCAGAGCCGCAAGATTTCAGGGGTCTCCGGACTTCCAGAATCTTGGAAGCTTTGTCAAAAATTTGAAATTCAGGTTTCTGATTTCTGGGCGGGCCCCAGCTAGAGCCTCGTGGGTGCCTAGCTGGGTCACCTCGTGGCAAGCCTCCCTCATCACATACTGCCGCCCTGCCAGCCCAGATCTGACCGATATTCTGCAGCCTTACGCGTTGTTCCTCGTCTTTGCCCCTTCTGGAACCGAGTGGATGGGCATCTTTTCCACCTTTGGCTTGCTGACTAGCTGGCTCGCTTCGTCCCGCGATGTCTTGCCCCCTGCTTCATCGCACCCCGGAGCCTTATGGGACCAAGACACTTTGGGGGAAATCCAACGGCCTTCGTTGCTACCGTGACACAGTCTCAGAGTCGAGGTGAGTGGCGTAAAAGGATGATCATGAAAGCAGTCAGTCCGAAAAAGGGCGGCTGAGGGAGTGCCACAGGGAGAAGGATGTTGCTTGTTGCTTGTTGGCGGCCGAGGCGGCGACGAGGTCGTAATAGACCTTTCGATTTGTGTGATTGATTCATGTCCTTCCAGAAACCATCTCAGGGTCACATTGAGTACAGAGGCTAAACGAAAATATCCCGAGAATTGTGTGCGGAAAAAAAGGTCATTCCTGTAGATGGGCAGTCAACTTCCATCTCAACCGACTTCCTGACTGCCGCGGGTTGGCGACCGTGGCATCGGAGCTGACGCGTCGCTAAATCTATGAGCGGTGCCGTGAAAAGGCCCGAATGTGTCGATCCAAGGGCAGAAGTTCCTTGCTTCGTGCCGAGGCTCCTCGTAGACCATGAATAACAACAGAAGGGCGCAAAAGTCTCCTTGGAATTTCACACTATCACAACCGGCCCCCAAACGGTTTCACATGGGTAGCTTCACTAGCAAAGCATACATACAACCCTTTCACCCTGCCCCCCCCCCCGTCTCGACCTCCCTCCATCACTGCTCTGGCTCGGTCATCTCCGTGCCACAACCTCAGGCCTGTGGGCAGCTTGAGCACCTAGTGTGGCTGCAGCTTGCATCCTCACAGGTAGTACTGTATACGCTGTTCGGATTTTGAAGCAGTCCCTTGTTTCTCTTGCACACGCAACAATACCAGTTTCCATTGAAAGCCGTCGGGTAGCCCGCCCTGGTGAGAGGTTGTCAGTAGTCGCCAGTGATGGCACAGCCTCATCTGCGTGGGGACGGACATGATTCTGGACTGTATATCTTGTGAACTTTTGCGCGATGGGAAGTAAAGTAGTGGAGTTCAAATTGACGCAAATATAGTAGAGGAGACACTTGGCAGGCGTGACTGTTGTTGGCTTTCGTCGACGGGTGTCTTGATGCGAGAATTGCGAGCTGGTGATGATTGATGTCCATTGCCTGTCATTCTCGTCGTGATGTCGGCCATTTTATACTCTCGGCCACGGAGCTCTCTGGTGCGTAAGACTCGGTCTGTACAGTGCCTCAGCCCACGATCGCAGACATAATCATAATCATCCTTCCGTGCTCAGAGCCACCACGGTGCCCGGAGTAGGGCAGCCCCATGGCACAACCGAGATGATCCCGTCGCGTCTCGACGATTCAGAGACGTCGGCGTTGTCGAACCTTCGGGCAATCCAAGCCCTCTAAGGCTTAGAGAGGATTCGAATCCGTGAGCAGCATGCGACGTTGCCTCACCGTTGTGCTGTGTGCTCCCCACCGCGGGTGACTCAAGAACATTTCGTGGCCCCGGACTCTGCAAAGCGGCTTGGATCGTCACGGGATGGAGTCCGGAGAGGGCGTTGAAGGATTCTCTTGAGGCAGGATGTTGGACGATAGAATGTGGTTGGGCGGGCGGCAAATGAAGCGGGAGTCAGTCAGGGGTGGCTCAACACCGAGTCGGCGGTGCCGCCCTGCACCGAGACCACAACGATGCCTACTTTCGTCAGAGCCTGATAGGTGGTTCTCCCGCTCGTGCGATGTCAGTCGGGAGAGAAGGGCAAGAATGTGCTTACCATGCATAGAGGGCTTCTTTGTGCTGCGGTGCTCAGCAGAGGCCGCAACACTTTGGGATGATGGATCGTTCGGGCAATGCTCGGCACGCGAGACCTCGAGCCGCAAACTGACAACTCTATTCACAGCCTGACTGGTCCGGCAGAGGCGGACGGGCATGCACAGTTCCTTCTCCCCTACTGCGTAGTCGGGCTCCTTGGTGTTCATCACATGGGTACACAAATGCCTGGAACCACATCGTGATAGGATGTCGAGGCGCCATTGTCACCTGGGGTTACCCAAGCCACCTTGAAGGAAGCACCGGCTTGTGTTCCAACTCTTCTCGACCACTTGGTGATGCACTTTCGTACAAGGCCACCGAGAGCTGCGAGCTAGTAAGCGTCGGTGCGCCTTTCAGTGACCGTACCCGACCCAACGACATCCTCCAGAGAAGCAACACGAGACGGACAGTACCGGGCAACAAAGACATAGCAACTGAACGGACCCCTTGCCGGTGGATGACGATACATAGATACCCGGGTACACACAGCCTTGCCAGGAGATGTGACGCTAGTACTTACTGCAAGCTTACAGATTTGCATGACACTATAGTCCCCGTCCCGTGGGGGGAAGCGGCTGATCTTTTCGACAACTGTAGTGGGAGTGGTCCTCTTGCCTGTCGTGGTTTCCGTTGACCATGGTCCCGCGATATTCAGACATCCAGAAAGTCGATATAGTGGAGGAGGAAAAGGCGAGGCTTATAGTGAATCGCACTGCCTAGTACAGCGGAGGTCAGCAGACGATGACTGAGGACAATTGTGCGATAATGGAATATTGGGGCAACCGAATTTACCTGAGGGGTCTCGATGTGCCCTACGCCCGCCTATCCGGAGCAACAGCTTCATTTTCAGCGTCGGAAGGCTCGTGGTGGGTTGTCACAGAGCAGGCAAAACCTGCCGTACGAGGTTTCAAGGCGCCTGTGAAGCGGCAGGGTAAGTCCTGAGTTATGTTCTCCCGCCCATTGAGTCGGGGAAGAAGAAAGGGCGAAGAATCAAGGCCACTCTAGCAAGTTCGCCCAGCCAACATAGTCAGATGAACAGACAGAAGAGCAAACATCCAAGAGGGCGTACGTAGTATGAGATAGTCTCACATCTTCCTGGAGGTGCGGGGAATCCTCATTCTCTTGCTATTGAGCCGTGGCTGGAGTCTCAGAGTAATTCTGGTGGCCATTCGTCGACGCCATGGCGCACTGAGCACTGCACGAACGCGTCGAGTCGCCCGGGCCGTGTCCCAGTTCTGGTGCAGGCGAGAGGAACAGGCGAGTCTGGAATATCAAGCCTTCCAGTCGGACGAATGCCGTGGTATTTAGGCCGCAGACGAGCGCCTTCTCAGTTAGAAAGGGATCGCTGCCGACTTTTCTCAAAGAAGGATAACGGCTGCGTGCCACGTCAAACAACAGCTTCTAAAGCAATGCAACTTGACGCCAGATTAGGTCGCTTCCCGCGCGCAATGTGATGCGACGGCAACTTTGCGTGCATCTGGGCGAGACGAGACAGGGTTGTATCAGCAACCGTTCCCAATTGCACCCCGAAACTGAGGGCGGCAAGCCGGGCAACGCTCATCCACGTGTCGTACTCGGAAGGAGAAGCAAGCAGCTCAGCGTGGGCAGCGAAGAATTGGGGCGTGCCGTCTCCCCACTCGAAACATCGCTGGATGAAAAGCTGCACACAGTGAGCCCCTGGCATCGACATGAGATGACACGGATTGCTTGCAACTCGGCCTCTATGTGACTCGTCGCCGGAGTATTGAGGGAGGTTCACCGGTTGTGATGTTTGTTAAGTATGGGCTAATTGATCGAGTAGCTTCCTGTGCAATGTGCGTATGTGGCGCACGCGCTTGCAGGAACTGCTGCACAACATCCTCGTTTAGCGATCATGTGGCCAGCATATATGCCAACTGCCGACAATTGAGCTGTGCACATCCGAAGAGGAGAGCTCAAGGTGCTTAAAACTCAAGCTCCTTGAAGCATGGACCCCCAAGTGTGTACCTGCGTTGGGATTCTCTCAGCAAGCTGCTCAAGGGCGGACAGTCAGTCCCCTTACGGTCAAGCTAGTGCTACTTGCTGGCTTGTAGGCTTGTTGGCTGGCTGGCTGGCTGGCTGGCTGGCTGGCTGGCTGGCTGGCTGGCTGGCTGGCTGGCTGGCAGCCCAGGGAGGTGAGTTGACTGAAAACATGCCAGACCACGCTTCAGGTGGAACTGAGCGCCGTCAAAGATGATCGATTGCAAAAGGGAAGATAGTTGGGACGAACTGAAGTACGTCGACAGCTTCCTTCCGTTGACGGGCCACTAACAAGTAGCCGTGCATCTGTCGCACACCAGTGTTAAGGTGCTGGGAGCAGGGTCCCCTGGATGAAAGTGAAAGGCGTCGTGCTTAGCGGCTCGTGCTTGACGCGACTGATGTCGCCTCGATCCCGCGTCGACAAGGCCAGCCATCGACGACTTCTGGCACCATCATACCCAAGTCCAATAAGGCGCTGAACTTCCAGTCGAATGTTTCCAATGCATCCGTCAGCAAGATGTCCTCATCCCCGCGAAGCTTTCGGGAGTCTTCGCCAGCCGGAGCTCCTGGGCGAACAAGGTCCCAGTTCACCTATCGCCACCTCAACACCCTGGCCTCTTACTCGACGTCTTGTCCTCTGAGAGTCATCGCCCACATTGATCTTGACGCCTTTTACGCCCAGTGTGAGATGCGTCGGCTTGATATCCCTGACGGCCAGCCACTTGCGGTCCAACAATGGCAAGGCCTTATTGCCGTTAACTACCCTGCTCGGGATCGTGGTGTTGGAAGGTTCACAGACATCACTCAAGCAAAGGAGCTGTGTGATAACCTGATCTGCCAACACGTGGCAACCTGGAGGGAGGGCGAGGAAAATTGGGCTTACCGTGATGATCATGTCATGAGTACTGACAAAGTCTCCTTGGACCCGTGAGTGCACACGGGATTATTCGGCTTCCCCCTCGACAGGAACATCTTGACCTGTCCAGTTTCTAATAAATGTAAAAATAAAATCTAGATATCGTCTGCAATCGAGAAGGATTCTTGCCCTGATCAAGGAATCACTCCCGGCAAGCCTTCAGAGGGTCGAGAAAGCTTCCATAGACGAGGTGGTAAGCATGCCTTGGAACTATGATCTTCGCCCGCTTTTGTTTCCCTGCAGGGCCTCCAAGAGCTGACACGCCTCAAGTTCCTCGACCTGTCGGCTCAAGTGCACGCAATCCTTCTGGATCGCTTTCCTGAGCTCGGGAAGCCGCCCCCCTACGATGACCCGACTGAGAAACTGCCAATGCCCCCAGTGACAGCGCTCGACTGGAAAGCAGATGCACTGGTTGACCTCGATGACACAGAAACGGAAACAGATGATCCCGACTGGAATGATGTTGCTCTTTTGATAGGGTCCGAGATTGTTCGCGATGTGCGAGCAGCTATTCGTGCCCAACTCAAGTACACTTGTTCCGCGGTTAGTACCAACCAGAGCCAGGCTGGCCTCCCCTTTCTCAGGCTCACAATGCGTGAAACAGGGTGTCGCAAGCAACAAGATGCTCAGCAAGTTGGGCTCCGGTCACAAGAAGCCTAATGGGCAGACGGTGATACGGCATCGAGCCGTCCGGCAATTCCTGTCCAGCTTCAAGTTTACCAAGATTCGGAACCTGGGAGGAAAGCTAGGTGACCAGATTGCACAGACTTTCAACACTGAGTCCGTCAGCGATCTTCTGCTGGTCCCGGTAGAGCAGTTCAAGTCCAAGCTCGGAGACGATACTGGGGTCTGGGTCCATAATACGATCAGAGGCATTGACAACAGTGAAGTCAACTCGCGTGTTCAGATCAAGTCAATGCTGTCGGCAAAGTCATTTCGCCCCAGCATAAACAGCGTGGAGTCAGCAGTGAAGTGGCTTAGAATCTTTGTGAGCGACATCTTCTCCCGCTTAGTCGAGGAGGGCGTTCTTGAGAACAAGCGCCGTCCTCGTTCGATAAACCTCCATCACCGGCATGGGGGCCAGACACGGTCGAGGCAGGGTCCTATACCCCAGGGGAGGCCAATCGACAAGGAGTTGCTGCTTGACCTCGCCAAGAATCTTCTTAATCAAATCGTCCTTGAGGGCAAAGTATGGCCATGTAAGCACTCGCGTGGCTGGCATTACGCACGTCGGCAGAACCCCATGCTACTGTGTCTTATGCTACACCTTGTGGTCCGCACCCGTCCCCTGGATGAGAAAAAGCTGACAATTTGACTCAGGCGCAAATCTTTCACTCAGTGTCGGGGGATTCGACGAAGGGATCACCGGGAATATGGGAATAGGGGCATTCTTGGTTAAGGGCGAGGAGGCACAGTCTCTGAAGAGAAGCTCACGAGAAGGCTCAATGGAGGCCTCGCTTCCCAAGCAGCCAGAGAAACACAGAAAAAGTGAGAAAGAAGGTATCCACCGATTCTTTTCGAAATCGGCGCCGATCAAGTACGACGATGAAAATCGTGCTCTAAACCCAGCCACTAGCCTGATGAGCGGCGGTGAAACATCTCACAAGCATACCGGAAATTCCATGTCAGAAAGGGAACCTGCAGATGAAGTTGCACAAAAAGAAGCCAGCAAAGACAGCCAACTGCAGGAACCAGGTGCGTACCTATGCCGTCGATGCAACATAAGCCTTGAGGACGCGGAAGAGTTCCAGTGCCATGAAGACGAGCACCTGGCCAGAGATCTTCATGAGGAGGAACGTGGCAGCCACACATTTGCTGGACATTCTTCTCCTGCAACCACAGGAAACAACAGAGGCACATCTGCAACAGCGAAACGGCCTACGAAACGAAAGAAGATGGAGGTTGGGCAGAGCAAATTGAACTTTGGATGACGCGCTACAAAGTGTCTCCCAGGTCTCACCTGCGTTGCCTAGGCACGCCAGGGTGAAATTTAAACAGGAGCGAAGTCTGCTGAGCACCGGGTTCAGTCGTCTCGGGATACCCTGACAAATTCGGAGATCATTCACAGCTTCAGGAGATGAGAAGAGAGGGGTGGATGGTTACTTCAGTTCCCTGCTCCTATGACTTCGACTGCGGCGCCGCCCACACTCGGAACATCACTCCGGGTATCACGATGCAGCAGAAACATCATAGGCGACTACCGGGCGTCTTTGGGCAAGATGTGAAGCCATTTCCCGACGACTCAGACGGAACAGCAGCCTAATCATCCGCACCGTTCAACAGAGCTGGCCACATGTCCCCCTCGTCGAGACTCGTGCACAAGGACCGTGACTGAGCAGAACCGGCCGGCTGTTGGGCTGGAGCTTGTGCTGCCTGGCAAAGTCGTCGAGGGTTTGACCAAGCTTCCCCTGTCTGACGGACTCGGGGTTCAGGCTCAGGCTCAAGCCTCGACAATCGACCACGTTGTGTCCAGACTCTGCTGCGCATACGAGAATCAACAAGCGGTTTTCAATAAGAGACTTTGAACACATGTGAGGCTTGGTCGTCTTGTCATTCTCTGGATATCAAAATGCCAGCAAATGATCGTCACGACTTGCGCACTAAAAATGTACCTTTAGAAATGTACCGATGAGCGTAACTGCCGTACGGGACCAGGAGAGTGGCAGCTGGGTCAGGTACGGGAATGCCAGTCCTCAACATCAGGCCATCTATTTGGGTGACCGAGGCCAACGTGAGGTTGATTGGCTTGAGCCGCCCCCAACTGCTTAGGCCCCACCCCTGTTTGCAGGTCCCGTTAGGCACAGCGGCATAAAACATTGATACCCAAAGGACCATCGCCGCAGGTTCCCACTTTTTCAGTGGCCACACTGGGGATCGCGACGTGGTGAACCCGACCCAATGGTTTGTAGCCTCCTTTGTGGGCACGGGCTCAAGAGTTGGGATGACGGCTCACAAACACTTCCAGTTCCAGGGTTGTTCGAGGACAGCCTGACAAACCGCCAGCCCTGGAACACGATGGTCCCTCAGTAGGACACGAAAGTCCAAGAGATTGCGAGATGCTCCCAGGCGCCAGTCATGAACACGAAATGCTAATCACTGCCTGCGGTGCAGACAAACTTGAGTGGGCGACCGCGGGTATTGAGGGACGTGCCACCGGGAAGAGCCATGTTTCTCGGGTACCAACGCGGCCTGGCCTGGCTGAGGCTGCCGAAGGGGATGGGAGAGGAAGGCGGACGATCCATGGAGAGCCTGGCTCGGACCGCGGAGCGATCGAATGATTCGAGGCGTCCAAGTGCCAGAGCGCCAGAACCGCACCGTCACCGCAGTAGTAAATATAGAAGAGGTCTCTGCCGCGCCTTGATTTATTAGGCTTTTGTTAAGACCAGGTTCGCCTACCGAGGGGCTGCTGCCGGCCAGCCGAACTGTTAGGGCTGCCAGCGCCAAGCAACGGACAGAAGACGAAGAACCAGAAATGATTACCGAAGAAGGTTTGCAATGACATAGGTAGGGCAGCAATGGCTGACACGGCCCGAGCTTCACGAAACCGCCTTTCACGATCCAACGTCTCTCCGTAGCCCTGGAGGTCTCGCACGACAGCCCCATTGTCGCGCATCATCGACGGCGACGGTCTCCAGTCTAGTACAACGCCATAATCATTGCTAGTCAGGGAATGCCCTCATCACTGCCAAGATAGACAAGACGAATGCTCCGCTTGGGTCTCCTGAGGCAGCGAAAGAACATACTTCGTGCTTGTCGCCGGATCCAGCTTGTGTCGACGCCGGCCGTGATCCCGTCCGCTGTGTCCGACGCAGACTTGCCTGGAACACACGCTGGTCTTCTCCGCTGCCGAGAGCTACTGTGTACCAGGCGTCACCGCTCATTGGGGATACCACGGCTAGGCAAATCACGACTGCCGGTACGTGGTAGTCCTGCTCTCACCATCACCATGGCTATGGCTGCATCGCAGCATCGTTGTCACTCTGGCGCCGGCTGCTTACTAGGTCTTGGTCCAGGCCGGCCTGGCTGTGTCAGCCCATGCTGCGTCCAATGTCGCCGTTACAGCGCTAGGGACACCTCACGCGGTAACATGGATCAGAGTCGCGAGCCAACCAAGGCTGTCCACGCAAGTGCAGATCGCCGCCAATCATCCCAATGTCCTCCTTCCTGCCTGGCATGCCTGCTTTGCGCCGGGCTGTACCTCTGTCCCGTAGTGCGGACAGAGCCAGGCTATTGGTTTGGCCTCTGCTGTGCTTGACCACACGCGCGGTGGGTGGATGGATGGACGGATGGGCTGTCGCCGGGCCTTTACCCCCCTCCTTCCAAGGTTGCCTCTGCAGGCACATGTCCACTCCGTGCCCAGGACTCCGGATCCCACGAAATAGGTCTGACGCAAATACTCCGTACTATGTGCGCTGACGGCCTGCCAAGTTATGCAGTGGCCTGGTGCGCTGGCCAGGTCGTCGCGTTGATTCTCTGCTCAGCTTGCTTCGCCGGAGCTGCTGTCCACCAGAGGCCCCCCTGCCGGGGAATTGCCATTGTTTGGTCTACATGTAGACTATTTTCCACACAGTGACAGATGGAACCGGAGCGGAAAACACTTCTTCGTCCAAAGGGGGAAGGCATGCTGTCCACAGAAACTTGCAAGCGAAGTCTGTGGGCTCTGCCTGCCTTACGTGCCTGGGAAACCCCTGTCCCGGCGCCGCTTGGGCACATGTCGAAGGCACACAGTGACATGCGACCTGGCCAGGCAGGGAGGTCTCCCGTCAGTCAGGCTGCAGCCCAGCCACGGGACTCCCAGCCAACTGCGAGTCACCACCTGGGGGCCGCTCTGCTGCAGTGTGTACGCCTTGTGCAACTGTTGGAGTGTCGTGTACAGGCGAGCACCTGGTACAATCAGGTACTCAGCCAAGCTGCCAACCAGTGCGGGAGCAACATGTACTCCAACCCCCCCTCCCCACCCGAAATCTGCTGGGGCCTGGGAAGTCGCGGGCCCCACCCCCCCCAACTCTTTGCCTGCTGTTGCTCCAGCCAGCTCTTTCCGTCTCTGGTCTTCTTGGTCCTGGGTCTCGGTCTGGGTCCTGGTCTGGGTCCTGGTCCTTTTCTTCCCACGTCTTCCCCCCGTCCTTCCCCTCCATCATCGCCCTTTTCAACCGTCCCGCCCGCCTACACTACCAACGACTCTGTTTCGCGTGTCTCTGTTCTCTTCTCGCCGACTTCCAGTGATCGTCTTGAGGATCTGTCTCCCCTTCCAGACTAACCTCCATTTCCTCTCCCCCTCCCCTTCATTCTCTTCCTGGCTGTCTAGAACAAACCCTGCTCTCCACCCCCCGCAAATCAAGCTACCATGTCTTCAAGAAGGGACCATGGCTCCGGCACGCCGTCGAATGCTTCGAACCGCCAGAACGAGTATTTCATTCCCCGTGATGGTATAGATCGTGAGGTGATCACCGCCGACATTTGTCGCTACCTCGGCAACGACGCACTCGTTCGGCCCGGCACCTACGAAGTATGAAAGCCACGCCGTCCGCGCGGGACCAAGCTTGCTCGTGTCGTCTGTCGACCGTCGTGCTAATGCCGCTTCTGCGACAGGACAAGAAGACCGGCCGAGTAATACAAGGTTACTTTGTCACGGCCTACAGGAACTTGACATCTGTACGTGCCCCTCAGCTCCAGCCGATCCACACCGAACAGTGCTGACTTCTCTCTTCCAGGCCATGATCGCCGACCTCAAAGCCGACTCGGCTCGATGGGATCAGGAGAGGCGGAATCATTCTGGAGGTACACTAACCTCGCACGATTCGTCTGCATTCTTCATGAGAAGCTCAAAGTCTAACTCCCCACCAGCGAGATACAGCGATTCACAGCATCGTTTCAGTGGTGCAGGTCTCTCCCAGTATGATACCTCCGGCACGATTTATCCAAGTGGCCCAAGCCGTGATTCTTATGAAAGCGTGCCTAGATACCCAGGTAGCGACGCCCCGGGATACAGCGCCAGCACCGGATCTCAACCTTACCACCAGGACAACAGGCAATCGGGATATGGTGCATACCAGCCGTCCGCGTACCCTTCTCAGCAATCGCCCTACGCTGGTGCGCAGTATCAAACCCAACCCCCCACAAATCCCGTGTCGGACTCTCCCTACTATTCAGCTGCCAACATGCTCGTGGCTGCGCCTCCGTCGCAGCAGCACCATCGTTCCCAGGATCCTTACCAGGACAGCAGGATAGCACCTCCCAGTAGTAGAGACCCCTACTCTAACCCGGCTCCTGTCTACGGAAGTCAAGGTGTTCAAGGTCAAATCCCGTCATCATACTACCAGAGTGCATACCCTCCGCAACAACCCGGAGATGCCTTTGCTGGCCGCCAGCCGTATGGATCTAGTACCAGCCCATCCGACTACCCGCCGTCCTCCACCAGCCAAGTCCCAATGTACGAGCGCCAGTATGAGCCCCAGCCCCAGTACGAGAATCAGACTCCCCCTCCTTCCCGCCCAGTTGCGTCTTCCAGTTCACAAGCTCAAACGGGACATAGTGGAAGTTCACATGCACGCCGCAGCGACCGCGAACGGGACCGCGACGACAGACCTCGTCGCCGATAGAGAACCACGACGATGACCTCGACACACGGGAGACAACATTCCGTGAGTAATGTTTGATGACGCGGTCCCTGCCCGAATTGGAATTTTCGTGCTTTCTTTTTCTTTCAACCTGGAACTGGCACCCGCGCTGCGGGATGAACCTGCTGGACGCATCCCTTGGGTTAAGTGGTTAACCCGGCGGACCTTCCGAGCCACTGAGTTTTGCGCCTTTGCCGAGCGACTGGACTTCTTCCAACTGGGGCGGTATTTTTACTTTCTGGCACGGCGCCTTGGTTCCATTGGATCTGTTTCCGGACTTTACCCCTGGACGTGGATTTACGCTTGCATTGCTCTGGATGATACCTACGACTTGCATCCCGGCTGGACGAATGGTACCCGGTGTTGATGATTTACATGAACTTCTGCGGCCCACTGCGTTTGCTGTTGCGTTGTTTTCTACCAGGACCGGGACGTACGGAGGAAGAGGCTTACTCATGAGTTCTGAAGGCTTTCCTCACTGGGATCATATCGTGACCTTTTGCTGTCCGGACCCGACCTTTGCGGAACTGGAAGCGGCGTCTGCTGCCCATCAACCGTGATGCGGCCCATCGGCCCAGGGGGCAGTCCCACGTGCCGAGGCCGGCTATTCATTCATCATCCGTGATAGAACGGTAAGGTCAGCATCCGGACAGCAAGGTGGGTCGGCGTTTGTAAATACAGCTCAGTCTTGACGCACCATCCAACTCTCAAATCGATCGGTCCGGACTTTTCCGCTCGGGGTCTTGTTGATGCTCGACTGCAACTGACTGACCGCAGACTCATCTTGGATCTTTCAAGCCCAGGTCACCCTAAGGACAAGTCAAACATGACGGACTGGACCCCCAGGAAATTCTGAACCCGGACTACTTTCTGGAAATCATTGCGGACCATGCTTTGATGAGACATGCCGTCTCTTGGACCTCCAATTTCCGTGGCTCAACATCACTGGAAAGCCTACAATTGCCTAAAGCCCCTTGGATGAAGGGCTCCCGAGATCCTCCAGGATGACTCTCACAGGCAAGCCGCGTCTGGTTCAGATCGCGATGGAGCACAGAACACTCTCAATCCAAGGACACCGAACCTTGGGATCGTTTGATCGAGGCTCTCCTAGTCTCTGAGACTAGGAACTTCTTTCTTCCTGGGAAGGTCCCACAAAACTATTATGAAGACGTCTGTCTCAGCTCGTTGGTGGTAAGACACAAGGACATCGGTTGCCTCGCTGAGGCCCCGATCCGGACCATCAAAGCCATTGCTGGACTTTCCTATTCCTGCTGCTTGGGATTCCGTGTTTCCACGTTTTTTGTGCGACATGGACAGATCGATGATCTGGTCCTTAACACAAACGGTTCTCCGGCCTTCCAGACCGGGAATGTTTGCTGTAGCTGCTGCTACACACTGCCACCAGTCGCACCCTACCAGAATTAGGCAAATGGCCTCGCAACGCGCAAATTACCGGGATCCTGATTTCCTTTTCTTGTGCAAGCTTCTTGCTACACTCCACCCTGGGACTCTTTTTGGAAGGAATGTCGCTCTTGGCGACCGAGCTCTCGACCCAAAACCTTACGGACACCCCCCAAGGACAAGTCAATGGATAAAGGGACCCAGCCAAGTCACATTCCGTGCCCTGAACTGGTCAGCCAACGCGTATGTTTTATCTCGTGTTTACTTCCTTTGACTCCGGACAACTCTGGACATGGCTCCGCCTGAAAGCAGTGTCTTGTAGTGAAGTGAATTAGTGAGAGTGGCATGGATTCGACGGACGGATCGCTAACCCAGGACTTTCAGCTCTCATTTATCCAGAGGAACACTATGGACAAGTTACAGGCAGGGTATTCCGATTGGTTCGCCTGGAATGGATCGAAACCAATGGGTATGCTTACATGGAGTGTTCTCGAGACGGATGCATTGACGAGACGAAGGCTTCGTCCCGGAAGTTTTGGTCTGAGGGTTTGATTTGGGGGCGTCCTGGTGTTGTGCTGGATGGAGTCTGGAATTATGGTCTCGGGGCAGGCTAAAAATGGGACTGGGGATGGTAGACATGTGCTTGCCGCCTGTCTGGAATGATATGGCACGATGGTGACTGTGACTGTACGAGCTGAATGAGGAAGGCATGTTCTGGAAATGATCACTCTTGAAGACATGCGTAATGTGAGGACATCCGATGACGGAATGTGGTCGCTGTGATAATTGTTTGTTACTTCCCTCCCCACCTAGCAGTCCAATACTGTAACACTAGAATCAGCACAATTGAGGGTCTTGATCCTCAAGGTTTTTGTTCGGCTTTCTGTCCGCAGCAAAAGTGCCCGTGGTACAAAACGTGGCTGCACCTGAATTTGAGCATGTTGATTCTATGGCTATGACTGCCCACACTATAACCTCGTGGCTGTATGTAAATTCCTCAGCGAGGACCTGCACGGCATTGAGTGATGATGTTCAAGTAACCCTTGATGGGTGGTTATTTTTAAAGACAATCACATAATGGGAAGCGCGGTAGCCGGCGAACCAGCAAGCATTCCTTCGTGGGCTGCGACCGGCATTCGTCCAGTCTTTACTTCTTTTTTTTGCCCTCCGCTGCTGCCCGTGAGAGCTCATGCCGCCGACATCCCCGATTGGGGCAGACAAAGGGGGGGCCTGGGCCAGCGCATGATTTCGGAGGAAGGTGTGAAACACTTTGGACAGGAACTCTCAGGAATATGCCACGTGGTATAAAGTGTGTGAAGAGCACGCGTAGTTCATGGGTTTCCCATTTCTTTTCCGAGCTGCCTCATTTTGTGCTGTCTACCAAGGGGGGGGGGGAGAAGACTGGCTGATCTACAGTACAAGTAAATTTGCCAAATCCCAAGTTTTCCGGTGACCTTGCTGCCCTGTCCTACCCTGCCCAACCCTTGGCGACCGACCGAAGTTGCCTGTAAGTGTTTGACGAATCAGACAGGCTGGATTGGCTGTTTTCGGTGGAACCCAAGAAGCAGCCTTCTCGGCGGTGCCATGCTCTGTCCATGTCTGCAAGCTACTATTTCGTACAGCAGCGTGGTTTCTCATCAGGGGGGGGGGGGTTGGTCGAATTAGCGTAGGTCATATAATGTATGGCCGTATTTCTGATTCATCGGTCCCGGTCGGTCTTTGGGGGTGGATGTGTTGCCGCGAACACCCTGCTTGTGACAGGGAGGATTATTGATTGTTTTCGGACCTGCAAGAGCTGATGAGTGAGCTACTGTTAGCTGCCACAGACCTGCCGGCAGCCCACAAGGTTCAGCCTCCTCAGGGTAGTACAGCACCCTCAATACTTGGTGCCAGGAGAGAAATCTGCTGCAAGTGCCTTGGGTACCCAAGGTAGGTAAGGCACTAGGCGCCTGTCTAGTGTAGACTACTTGCTTGGAGTAACTTTCCACCTCCTGGCACGGGCCCTAGCTCTCCTGGCTCTGTGCCTGCCTGACCCTACAAAATGATACTTCGTGGGTGCCAGCCTGGCTGCAATGACCTATATCGACTGCAGCATACTGTTCGTGATTTGGCCTCAGCCTGGGGCCCAAGGATCGATGACCTAGGGAATACGCGGCAAAGCAGATGCTGAGGGCCGAGAAAGAACCCCACGTCAGTCACTCAGCCTCGACTGTGCTGTCACAGTAGACCCCTGGATCTCTGCTGCAATTGGTTCCGCTGCCCCGCTGTGGCCCTGGGACTTCTTTTTCTGCCCGCCAAATCAATTTTTGTTAGGTGCCTCCTCGATAAGCACCGCACCGTACCGCAGCGCACCGCAGACCGCACGCAGTCCGCAGAGCAGACGGACGACACACGCATCAACACACACACTCTCCCTCCCTTTCCTCTCCTGCCTCGAGGCAAACAACCCACTCCCCTCTGTATGTACAGGCCCGCATCTTGACGTCAATATGGATGCCTCCGCCATTAGAAGTTGCATAATAGCGACCCTCGACGCCGATGCCGACATTCGCAGGAGGGCCGAGTTGCAGCTCAAACAGGTACGATGCCCACTCTGCCGCACACCCTTCGCTGCCCACCATCCTCGCCTCGCCGCCGTGGTCGCCCCGGACATGGCGTTGCTGCATCTATTGCACTGGCCTTTGTGCCCCCAGTGTCTATCTGTGCCCCTCTGGAGGCGTCCCGTGCTGATCCCACCCGTGCTTGCAGGCAGAGGAACACAATGGCTTTCTTGACGCCCTCCTCGACATCTTGCAGTCTGAGCAGGACACAAATTACCGTCTTTCCAGTACGTGCCTTCTCTAGCCTGCCGACCCTTCTGCTCTACCGCCCTCCAACCACATGGCTCAGTTCATAAGGGGCCCGGGACCACAAAGGCTGCCTCCCACCATGAAACCCTGTTGACTAACGCGTGCCCCAGCCGTCATCTACATCAAGAACCGCGTCAACCGAGCCTGGGCTGGGACAGACCATTTCCCAAACGAGCATCCCATAGCCGAAGACGAAAAGTCGAGAGTCCGCGAACGGTTATTGCCCATCCTGGCCTCGTCACAAGGTCTCATCCGACAACAGCTCATCCCCATCCTGCAAAGAATTCTACACTGGGACTTCCCCGAGAAATGGCCTACTTTCATGGACTTCACCATCCAACTACTGAACACCAACGACCCCCTGTCAGTGCTTGCCGGTCTGCAATGTCTGCTGGCCATCTGCCGTGCCTACCGCTTCAAGGCCGGTGATGGGGAGAACAGGACGCACTTCGACAAGATCATCGAGGCCAGCTTTCCCAGGCTGTTGGCTGTTTCGACCGAACTCGTGGCACAGGAGAGCGAGGAGGCTGGAGAGATGCTCCACATTGCTTTGAAAGCATACAAGCACGCGACATGGGTTAGTAGAGAAGCGCCCCTCGAATTGGGCTGTGGGTGGCCGTGCCAGCTAACTCTGACCCCTTGCCACAGCTTGACCTGTCCGCCTTCCTCCGCCAGCAGGAGAATACGATAGGATGGTGCACTGTCTTCCTGCAGACGGTATCCAAGACCCCGCCTGCCATTGCAATGTCGGATGAGCCCCTCGAGCGCGAACGGCACCACTGGTGGAAGGCAAAGAAGTGGGCGTATTTCAACCTCAACAGGCTATATATAAGGCAAGCTTATTGATCTACGATGTCTCGTACTAAAGGCTAACCGCACGGCAGACACGGAAACCCACAAGCAATTACCAAGAAACGAGGGCGATCAGATGGCCTTTGCCAACTTCTTCTCCTCGAATATTGCACCCGAAATCCTCAAACACTACCTCCAGGAGATTGAGAAGTGGGTCGCAAACGTCTTGGCTGAGCAGGCCCTGCTTGTCCTACACCATTGTCTTCATGGATGAATGCGTACGGCCCAAAGAGATGTGGGCACACCTCCGGCCTCACCTCACCAACCTCGTCACCCATTTCATCTTCCCAGTACTCTGCCTGTCTCAGGAGGACATCGAGAAGTTCGAGGACGAGCCTGAGGAGTACCTCCACCGGAAATTGAACTTCTACGAGGAAGTCTCAGCTCCAGACGTGTCGGCGACGAACTTCCTGGTGACGCTGACCAAGAACCGCCGGAAGCAGACCTTTGAACTTCTGCAGTTCATCAACAACGTTGTGAGCACCTACGAATCTGCGCCGGATGACAAGAAGGACCACATTGCCAAGGAGGGTGCTTTGCGCATGATTGGAACGCTCGCACCGGTCATTCTCGGCAAGAAGTCTCCGATCGCAGATCAGGTCGAATACTTCCTCGTCCGATACGTTTTCCCAGACTTCACTAGCTCTCAAGGCTACCTCCGGGCCCGGGCATGTGACACAATTGAGAAGTTCGAGCAGCTCGACTTCAAGGACCAGAACCACCTGCTCACCATCTACCGTAACATCTTGGACTGCATGGCCGACCCAGCTCTCCCGGTCCGTGTCACGGCTGCCCTTGCCCTTCAGCCTCTCATCCGACACGACATCATCCGCACCAGCATGCAGACGGCTATCCCCACAATAATGCAACAGCTTCTGAAGCTGGCAAACGAGGCTGATATCGATGCTCTTGCCAACGTCATGGAGGACTTCGTCGAGGTCTTTGCTACTGAACTGACTCCGTTCGCCGTTGCCCTCAGTGAGCAGCTGCGTGATACCTACCTCCGAATCGTGAACGAGCTCCTGGAGAGGAACAACTCGCGGGACGACGACGAGTACGGCGACTTCCTTGACGATAAGAGCATTACGGCCCTTGGTGTCTTGCAGACGATAGGAACCTTGATCCTCACCCTGGAGAGCACACCCGATGTTCTGCTTCACATCGAGGCTGTGCTCATGCCGGTTATTCAAATTACGCTAGACAATAAGCTCTATGGTATGTTTGCTGCTGATTCATACCCCACTAATACATACGATGCTAACATGGATCAGATCTGTACAATGAGGTGTTCGAGATTATTGACAGTTGTACCTTTGCCGCCAAGGCCATCTCACCCACCATGTGGCAAGCCTTCGAGCTCATCCACCGCACTTTCAAGGCGGGAGCCGAACTGTACCTCGAGGACATGCTTCCCGCCCTGGATAATTTTGTGCAGTTTGGCGTGCCGCAGCTGATCCAGAAGCCGGAGTACGTCGAGGCTCTGTACTCGATGGTTTCAGATATGTTTAATGACCCCAAGGTCGGCGGCATCGACAGGATCTGCGCCTGCAAACTGGCCGAGGCCATGATGCTGAGCCTGCCTGGTCACATTGACAACTGCGTCAATGGGTTTATCAACATGGCCATGTCGGTGCTGACGACCGAGGAGGTCAAAATCAAGTCGTACAAGATCCACTTGATGGAGATCATCATCAACGCCATCTACTACAACCCGATTCTGACGCTCCAGGTGCTTGAGACAAAAGGCTGGACGAACAAGTTCTTCAGTCTGTGGTTCGGCAGCATGGAATCGTTCCACCGAGTCCACGACAAGAAGCTCTGCATTGTCGCCATCGTGGCACTTCTAGGCCTAAACCCTGACCAAGTACCGCCAAGCGTCGCGGTCGGATGGCCTCGGTTGCTCCAGGTATGTCATCTGCAATCACTTACCTAGATTCCGGCTAGTGATACTTGCTAACATTTTCCAAGGGTGTTACCTCGCTGTTCAAGACCCTCCCAAATGCGTTGAAAAGTGAGATTCAATCCACCCCCCCCCCCCAAAACGGAGCAATTCAGTAGAACGCTAACACTGTGATCCCAGACCGTGAGGACGCTATGAAGGACGATTACGGTCTTGATGCGAACTATTCGTACGACGACGAGGAAGAGTGGGGCGACGACGAGGCTGCATGGACAGCAGAGGAGGAGCAGGAGGAGGAGCCCACGGATGCCAAGGACGAGAGCACGGCATATCTGGAGTTCCTCAACGAGGAGGCAAGTCTTTCCTGCAAGAGCGATGCTCGAGTACTGGCTAACACCATGGCAGGCGCAAAAGTTCGGTCATCTCGAGGAACAAGATTCAGACGATGAACTCGGGGAGCATAGCGTGCTACTCGAGTCTCCTCTTGACAAGCTCGAGCCGTACCAAATTTTCAGTTCGTGCTTGATGAGTAGGTTGTTCCCCCACCCATGGTCTCGGCTGAGCTAACACTTTTCTCTAGGATTGCAACAAGAACAGCCGCAGTTCTACTCCGGGCTGTCTTCTCACCTGTCAGCGGAGGAACAAGGTGTGATCCAGTCTGTAGTACAGCAAGCCGAGGCAAATTCGGTTGCTGCACAACAACAAGCCCAGCAGCTTGCCGCTGGAGCCAACGGCGGTGCCAGCTAGTCCTGTGTCGGTGCGGCTGAGACAAGAGCAATCGTGAGAAAAAGCGCACGCGCATGGTGCGTCCACGGGCCAGCTCGCGGCCGTTGGGTGTGGTGGAGTGGGCTCGCGCACCAGTAGCAGGGGAAGGCAGAGCACCGAATCAGCCCAAGCCGGTGGCTGAGAGAGTATGCAGCGTCTAGATCAGAGACGTGAGGTTGGGATATGCATCGAATGATACCAAAGAAGTATTTAAAAGAGCTTGGGAACCGAAAACAAAAATATGAGGCGAAGGGAGCTTCTTGGGTTTGATTATCATTGCCTGTCAAGTCAGGTTATAAAGAAGGAGAGGCCCAAGGGAACAAGATGGCTTCTTCTCTGGCCGTATCCGCTGATTTTTCTTTTTCTGTGAGAAGATTTCCCCCAACCTATCCCATCCACCCACCCCAAATGGCATGCCTGGAAAAAGAGGATGAGACGAGAAGACATTAGAGAGTGCAAACATCATCAACCTTGTCTGAGCCCCGCGTCCAAGATGGCTGTGAGAAATGCTGCACCGGCGGTGTGTAAATGTTGGTGGTGGTTGTCGCTACCCGACCCCAACCGGTAGTAGTGATCTGTTCTGGTTGTTTGGTGTAATATCCACAATTCCACTGTTGGGGATTGACATGCGGCACGAGGGCATTCATTCATTCAGGAGTGCGCCGAACACCGCCCAGGCGCCTGCAGTGGGATGACATGGCCCAAGCGTTTAGGTCAAACGACGGACAGCGTTGCGCTTTCCCTCCCTTGATTGTAAACACCGAAGAGGGGGAGAGACAACACGATCCAAGGAATAAAGGAATCACGGGATACTCCCTTCTGTTTGTGGGACAAAGAAGCAAGGCGACGGATCAATTATGACTTCACGGTACAGAGTCGAATGTGAGCAACCGCGGCTATCCTCATACTTTACTTGCTTATACGCGGGGTGAGAGAGAGAGAGACGGAGGGGCTTCCCGCGGCTGGGCTGACTCGCTTCTCTAGATGCTCTCAAAACCCATAGGAGAGACCAGTTGATAGGTACGAATATCGTGTATTCTTATCAATTCTGCCCGCCGTTCATGCATCCCTTGGTGTCATTTCCCCGTGGTTCACCGTCGGGACGATGGTCCCCTCATGGGCTCCCGCTCCCCTCACCGCAGCATGAACCTACGAGATGCCTCGCTGACATCCTGCCAACCCTACAGAATGGATCAAGGGCCTCCTCGCAGTGCCGTTCGTGCTGCACTCGCAGCCGCAGGGGGTGTTCCTGGGCAGGAGCCACGCGCCCAGCCTGGAGCACATGGCCGAGGAGTCGGCGCGGAGGTACGCTGAGATCTGCAAAGACGTCGAGGTCATGATCGACGACCACATCGGCCTGCAGAACGAGGACTCGCCGCTGCCGTCCAAGCTCAAGCTGCTGGTGCCCACCGTGGGCACCTTCTTCACGCGGCTGCCGCTCGAGGCCGCCTTCAAGTTCCAGGACCGCAAGCGCTACATCTCGAGCCGCCGCTTCGTCTCGCCCTCGTTCAACGACGTGCGCCTCATCCTCAACTCGGCCCAGATCATGGCCGTCACCACCTACAGCTCCCTGCACCTCGCCACCTTTGACGGCGACGTCACCCTCTACGACGACGGCCAGTCGCTCGAGCCCTCGAGCCCCCTCGTCCCGCGCCTGCTGGACCTGCTGCGCAGCAACGTCCGCGTCGGCATCGTCACCGCCGCCGGCTACACCACCGCCGACCGCTACTACGCCCGCCTGCACGGCCTCCTCGACGCCATGGCCGCCTCTCCCTCCCTGTCCCCCCAGCAGAAGTCCAACCTGCTGGTCATGGGCGGCGAGGCAAACTACCTCTTCGCCTTCGACGAGTCGGCCGGCCCGCACCTGCTGCGGCCCGTGCCCCGCCACGAGTGGCTGACCCCGGAGATGGCCGCCTGGTCTGGCGCCGACATCGCCGCCCTGCTCGACGACGCCGAGGCCGCCCTGCGCGAGTGCGTCAAGTCCATGAACCTGCCGGCCGTCCTCATGCGCAAGGACCGCGCCGTCGGAATCATCCCGGACCCGCCCGGCGCCCGCATCCCGCGCGAGTCCCTCGAGGAGACGGTCCTCGTCACCCAGAAGATCCTCGAGCTCAGCTCCGCCGGCCGCGCCAAGAGGGTGCCCTTCTGTGCCTTGTGAGTCTTCGGCCCACCACATCCATCTATATCTGCCTATATCTCGCCACCCCTGGCTCACAAAACAAAACCCCCTAGCAACGGCGGGCGCGACGTCTTCGTGGACATCGGCGACAAGTCCTGGGGCGTGACCGTGTGCCAGAAGTACTTTGAGAAGCAGTCGCAGAACAGCGGCGGCAGCAGCAAGCTGCAGTTCGGGCCCGAGAACACGCTGCACGTGGGCGACCAGTTCCTCAGCGCCGGCGCCAACGACTTCCGCGCCCGCAGCGTCGGCACCACGGCGTGGATCGCGAGCCCCGAGGAGACGGTGTACGTTTATCCCCCCCCCCCTCTATCCCACTCCTCGATGGACAACAATCATTGCAAGATCCACATATTTCCATCCCTGTCCGTTTCAAGACGTTCTATTGCATTCCCCTGCATTGGGTTTTCTCTCTGAACCTCCGCCCGTCTTGCGGTCTTGTCAACTGTTGCTGACAATGCGTCGCAGCGACCTCCTGGACGAGCTAGGCGACCTAATGTACAAGAAGCTGACCTGAGTATGCGTGGAGTGTGCTCACACGTTTGGCATGTGACAGACAAAGCCGGCGCGGATGCGGAATGACAGCTGCTATCTGTGTATGCATGTATGTGGTTCGCAGCGACTGAATGTGCGAGCAATGATACGCGGACGGCAGCAGCTTTTGAGTTGGCGCTATGACTTAGTCTACATGGTTTTGTGTGGAATTCTTGTGGCGGGAATGAAATGGCGCATTTGGTTTTTCTTGCATTGTGGTTACGACGGTTATGGAGCGAATTGATACATCATTCCAGTTTTTAAGCTCGGGAGAGGCCTTTGTTGACGTGGCTGTCGAAGACGAACTTGTTGATGCTTGCTCATACAGGGAGCATTGCCCAATGAGGTCATATTATGGCTCCCTGGCAGGACCTGCACTCCAGGCTGGGTTGCCAGGATTTGCACAGCTTGTCACGGCTCGATTTCGGAGGTCTAGGAGGTCTAGGAGGTAGATAGAAGGCAAGTGATGTATGCAAACATTGGTGTAGTACCTGGGGTATTGTGCAAAAAAACTGTGCAAAGTCTCTAATCCGTCAGTGTCCATCCTAAGACCACCGTCGCAATGTTCCCTTCCTCCCGTGCACTACGGGGGATTCCCTTGTCCGCTCATGACAAGAATCAGATCCGTCCCATGCCATGAAACCAGTTCTAGTTTCCTATTTTGCCCAGACAAATGAAATTGGCTTCCAGTCTTGAGTGGGCGACAGCAGCCCGATCGCTCCTGTTCTCCATCCCTTGGCTCCCAGATGACAAAAGAAACGGAATACGGGACTGCGGTGATCACCATGGGCGAGCTGTCGCCATGAGATTATATTATGTACAGGAAGCGGACAAGATTGTGATCCTGACTTAAAGCGAACCAAGCGGCTTGCCAAAGTTTGACGTCTCTCGCAGCTTGAGGGGTATTTCGGGTTCGGCATCTTCGCTGTCGCTGTCCTCTGCTGGTGCGAGCGCGGGTGCTGCTTGAGCACTTGGCTCACCCTTCTCGTACTCGGCATCCTTCAGCACGGTTGGCGTTGCGTCCTCACCAGTGCCGACCTTCTCGAGCTTGTCTGCTAGTTTTCGCAGGAAGATCTCATCTTTGGCAGGTATGTTGCGCAGCGTCAGTGGGCCCTTGAGTTCCGGGTCCTCATCTGAGGGTTCCATGATGGCAGGGCCATGGTCGGCATCGTCAATGGCGGTCCCCACCGGCTCAGCAGGCTCTTTAGACTCGCGACCATCGTTGCCGTCGTTCCCATCGGAGCTGATAGCCCCGTCACCACTAACCAGCGTTGGTGTATTGGACCCGCTACTGGTGACAGTGTTGGTCGCACCAGTACTTGCAAAGGACATGGATACGGTCGGAGTGTGTCCAGCATTCATTGTGAGCCTCGAGAGCGGGTCGGCCTTGAGTGCGCGTACGCAACGCTCTCTTGCCAGCTCTCGCCGCTCCTCTGGGGTGTGAGATGGTGATCCATTCCCGCTCGACGTCTTGGACCCATTGCTAGATGGCGTGTCGGTGAAAGTCGCCTTTTTGACGGCGTTCACTTTGAGGTGGATACCCTCCAAGTCCTTGTGATACTCCTGCACATCGATGACTTTTGAGGGCGTTTCGTGATCCATGGCGATTGCTTGATCCGCAGGATTGTTGTCGTGGTGCAGGGGAAGGAAGGAGTCTGACTGTCCTGTGGGGCTCAGTTGTGATGACGAGCTGCCCTGGAATGAGATAGACCGCGCATCTAAACCCCCACCCCTCAGAGACGCTTCATTCCAGCGCGCCTCGGACGTCCTGAGTCGATTTTGCAGCAGCATGATCTGCGTTTGCAACTTGTACCTCTCGGCCTCCCACTTGGATTGCGCAGATGCATGCTCGCTTTGCAACGCTTCTATCGCGTCTCTGTACAATTCCTCTGCCCTGTCGCGGTTTGCCTGCAGTGCTCTCCGTTCTTCGTCCCACGCCTGTCGCATCCTTGCCCTAGCTCGACGTTAGCTGCTGGGTCCCAAACAGACTTTGAAGTATCGGCTGCTCCTAGTACTTACTCCAGAGACAAGGAATGCGATTCGCTAGACGAGTTTTCCGTAGACGTCGTCCGTACCGCAGGCCGCCGAATGGTGATGAGTCCAGAACCGGTCCCGGAAATCGTATCCACCGGCACGGGAATGCCTGGTGCGCTCCTGGGGGCCAGATCGACATCGGAGTGTTGGCCGTCCATCTTCCCACACCCTCTGGCACAGGATCTCCTGGTGGGCGAGAGGCTGGCTGCGCGCTGCTGGGGGTGGCGCTGGAACTGCAATTGATACTGGGCGTGGGACGGGATCGGTGTAAGGTGTGGCGAGAGAAAATTGGGCGGTTGCGCCTGAGGGGGCCCACAAGTTTCTCTGGTCATCAGGGGGAACTTGTGACTTGTGCCTTGCTGTGGCTGACTTGTGACAGAGGCGCGAGGCGCTTGTTCGAAGTAGTGAGCAGCACCGGGCAAACTCAGAGGTGATATAACCGAGGACGCGGCTTGAGCGCTGGGTGTTCCGGACGTGGAGCTCAGGAGTTGGTCGGTGTCAAGAGCAGGCGAGGGAAAGAACGAGTCGTCGGCGGGTAAGCGCGTCATTGTTGCCAAGGGCGGCGGAGGGCAGGGCAGGGCAGGGCAGAAAAGGCACGATGCCACTGGCGGTGGATATTGGCTCGTTGCAATTGGGTGGTCGCTATCACGGCAACATGTGGGCCATGCGGACGAAGCAACCAAGTACTGCTCAGTGTTTCCGGAACGTTATTGCAGTGCGAATATAAGCGCGAGCGGCCGGGCAGAGGTCATTGGTGGTGGCGGTCTGGAGGAGGGTCGGGTGATGCCACGAGAACTGCTGCTGCCAGACACACCGGTTGTAGGTTGGGCGTTGACTCTAATGTATGTACGGAGCGGTAGAGTAGTAGGGACCTGCTAGATCTCGTCTCGGAGTGGGTCTTCCCATGCCTGGCCGGGGCTGGCTTGGGCTCGAGGCTTGGGCTTGGGCCGGTGGAGGCGGGCGGCAGAACAATTAATGCAAGGTACTGGATGCTGTGCTGTGTGCAGGCGGGGAAGTGTGTCGAGTTGGACTGGAGCAGCAAATGAGGGAACAGGAAAAGATCGTGAGTTGTCAGGTTGTGGTTCGTGAAAAGGGCTCGAGGGAGGTAGACAGGAAGAGGAAATCGAGGGACACGGGATGTGCAAGGGCGTCGTCACTCTGACTGGGTGCGTGTAGACAGAGTGTGTGTGTCTGTTGCGCGCACCAATACCGAGCGCAGGGTAGTAGACTCAGGCACACTAACGTTGAGGAGCGGTCCGGCACACAGCACACACACGCGACCTCCTTCCTAGGTACCCTGCGGCAAGTGCCAAAGGCTCTCTCAGGGCCGCGAAGGGGGGGAGGGGTGAGGGGGTGGGGTGTCGTTGGCGGGCGGTGTGAGCGCAGCCGGGGAAAACTGGAAGGTGCAGCACAGGGAGGGCAGGGGTTCCTGCTTCCCGGATATCCAACCGATCTGCCCGCCTGCGCCGTCGGGGGCCTGGGCTGGGCCTTCCAAGGGCTTTGAACCCTTTCTTCTAACCTCGACACGTTTCAATAGCAGACCAGCGATGGCCTGGCACGCCTGGCATCAGGCTGCATGCTACGGACGCAGTGGCTGGCTGGGACAAACCTTGGCCTGGTAGGCCTCAGCACCAGCACGCAACTTGGTACACGCCTCAGGTCGCCTCAGCGCGCCCGTGGTTTCAGTCGTGCTCCCGGGCCGAATGGGAAACATGGGCCTCTCTCTGTTTCTCTCACATGTCAGTCGCCGGGGCATCCACTCCCTAGTCAGGGCGGGCAGACAGCTCACACACCCTCTCTTGACCCTGCACGTTCGCTACACAGACTGAGGACGTCCGTCTGGTTTGGGCTGAGCCGGGCTGAGCTGACCTGGACTGGACTGGACTGGATTGGACTGTATTGGATTCGACCGTATTGCATTGGCCGGGCTGACCAAAGACAGAGACGTGGCACGCCAACAACCGATAGATTCTACCACCCCGTCGGGTTTGGTTATGCTCGTCTCTCCAGATTGCAATGCACCCCGATCCCAAAACCTGGGAGGGCAGTCCCTTGAGGTTGCGCCGATTCGCGCAAAACCCAGCAGCCAGCCCGCCCGCCAGCCCATCCCAAGCCCCTCGAGGAAGGCAACTCAGGGACGGCCCGCCTGCCACGCCTCCCTTCTCCCTTTTCCCTTCTTCTCATACGCCCACCCTCCAGCCGTGAGCCCACAAACGCTCCCACCCGCCGTCAGCACCACTCCACTCATTGGCCCTCCCGACTGCCACTCCTGCATATTCTCCGGATGCATTCGCTGTCCCTTGCAGGGCAATTGGTCCCCTAGAATGCAGTACGGCACAGTCATGATTGTTCTCGCCGTGTGCGCGCCCCTTTCCTGTCTACTGAGATCTGCAGCACCCTTCCCCCAGCTCAGCCCGGCCCAGCTCAGCCCAGCCCAGCCTGCATACCGCTTCGTCGCACTTCGTGCGTGACGAGAGCACGACAGAACTACATAGAACCTCGACCAGGACCACCACGACGGCCCTACCGCCCCAGCAGGATGGGTCACTGACAGCGGGAAGCAGGCTAGGAATTCATCCGCCCGTCCTGCGCTACGGCAGCCTGTGGCCCTGTGCAACCCTTCGCCGGCCGCCCCTTTCTTCGGGCCTCGCAACCGGTAGCTCAAAATCCCTCGTGCTAGCCCGGGAGACGAAAACGTGTTCACACTCCTCATTAGGGGCTCCCAGGCGGTCAGCGAGAGGTCAGCCTACATCGAATTGTCGGGATTGATGCACCGAGATGTTTGTCCCATCTCCTTTTGTCTTCCCTCTCCTTCTCGCTCTTTCCGTCTTCGTACGGTATATGAGCTCTGCCGGAGGACATGGTCGCTTTTGAGGCCTTGTACCTGTCAAGACGTATCTGTCCATATGACAAGACGCCGGAGAGTAGTCCTTGTCCAGGTGCTTGGGTATCCCGTGCTGCACTAGTAGGTTACCATGTCAGGACATTGTGGTACGTGGATGCCATGGCCTAGCAGATAAAGTCCCTCACCGGCATCTTGTCCAAACAATGGATTTTAGACATGGCATTTGAGTTTCACGATGATCTCGGCATCGATGGAGCCTCGTGGCAATACCTTATTGTAAGCACTTTCGGGTTTTCTGGGGCCATTCGGCATACAGCACGGAATCCACATATTTTGCATGCCATGTCCATCAATCCACAGCCTGAACCCGGCAGCCCCGAGCAGTCAGTCAGTCAGTCAGTCTGTCAATCTGTCAACCAGCCTCTCCGTCTTTCAGACAGTCAGACACTGCCTCGACACAGTATCTTTGTTTCTCAACCCCCAAGGCTGATCGTCAAGACCATCATCCCGCACCCCCAGCCCAATCTGGACCCCTAATCCGAAAGGAATCCAATTCTCCAGGTCCTGACAGAGAGCCTGGGGTAAAAAACCGGGGGTTACACTTTTGTCGGTCATGTGTCCCCGTTGGGCTGCTGCTTTGAGCTAGCCTGCTCGCCCACCGCGGCCTTATTGCCTCTTGGCAAGATAGATCTCTCCAAGAGCCAGCCCGAAACTCCCGATGGCCCTGTTCAGCATGTAACAACTCTCAAGGCGCCGCAGGATTGCGGGGGGTGCGGTTGGTTGAGGGTCCAGATCGCAGACGCGTCGGCTTTCTCTCTCGCGCAGAGATATCCCAAGGGTTGCTTGCTTGCTTGCAGAAAATTTTCCGCTGCACCTCTCGCTCGGCGGGCGACCGAATACCCACGCGGAACGCGCTCAAGTATGCAGACTACGCAGGGGAATACCTCGCAGTCTTGCGAACGTGTCTGTCCTGCTTGACCGCATGTGTTGGTTGCTGATGCTGCTGCTCCTCCTCCTCCTCCTCCTCCTCCTCCTCCTCACCCTCCTCTTCCTTGATCACTTGCTGGCACGGCCTTCGCCTGAGGAGGCGGTCTCTCTACCCACCCCGGAGAGCCGGTGGGCAACTCGCGGTATCTCGGTGTCGAGGTCATCTCGCAGCGCTTGGCTGCCAATCTCCCCACAATATCGCTTCACTAATTGCCAACCAGAAAACCCGACGGCCGCCTCGAGTGAGCCACTTGGCCCCCGAGCCCTTCGTGCTCTGTCTGCTTCCGGCCTACTAACATTGACTTCTCCGCGGGCAATCTGACCCGCAGGATCTGGGGCGCTGCAGCACCCGGGACACTGCAAGCACCCGACGACGACCTCGCTCCTGCGGAACCGGTCCTCGGGACCCACCCAGCTCTGCCTGCCTGCCTTTCCATCGGCTGTCCCACGTCTGCGTGCCATGCTCCGCTCTCGCGCGGCGACAGGCCCCTGCCTCCGTGATCGCGGTTGGGGGTTGAATGGGGAGTGGGCCCAATATTCGAGGGAGTAAACGTCCCGAGGCAGCGCCCACGGGGACGAGTCTGTCGGGGCCTCTTCGGGCCTTCCTTCTGACTCGCTTGTTGGGTCGGCCACTTTCCGGAACCACCGGTGGCGCGGACACGTCGGCGGGAGCCAAAGCGAGCTATTGGGATAATACCATGGTGATCATGACAATACGCGGTGGGAACGTCGACAGCGGTTTAACTCACTGGGTCGGAGGCCTGCAGGGATGCATGTCCCAATCTCCCTTCCGTCCTCGCCCTGGTCTGGCTCTGTCGCGATCGTTTCCTGGTGGATATCGCAATGGACTGCGTAGCCATCTTGAAGGGCATACAGCAGGAGCATTCTCTCCGAGCCTGCGGTCAGATTCCACAAGCGGTCCTCCCGACTGGCGCGAAGGGCGACCCATCGTGGGCGATGCACGGGTTTTGTGGCACGCCCGACGATCACGGCATTCCTGAGCGCGCTTGGTTCAACCTGGACGAGAGGTGCTCATCGGCGAATTCACCAACGCGTCAGCCCTACGAGAGTTCCCCGGCGTCACGTCCCCCGGGGGCCCTGACTGGTCGTCAGATGTGTACGAGATCCAAGGGGTGTGAGATGCGCGTGCATGCAGTAGTAGCCTTCTGGTTCCTTGGCACGCGGTGGGCGGCAGGATAGATTCGTGACATCTCCCCTCCGCAGTTTCGCCGGGGGGAAGAGCTGGGTATTGCCTCATCCGGCGTGGCAAAAGCCTGTATATAGTCACATACCTTCTGCACAGTTGGATCAAGATGACACCTGCCACGCAATCAATTTGAGTCTGATTGCCAGTTCGAGCCATGCCTTGATGCCCGAGAAGGAAGGGAGTGCCCTGGTCCGACCATCCCCAGAACCTCGCTCCCTCGACGATTCAGGGTCCTGCTTCGCTCGACAAAGAAAGCTTGTTATGTGGTCTCGCCTCGAGTCGCCTCGTCTCGAGTCAACGCATCAGCACCCGGGAGGCATCGGCCGCGTGCTTGGCACCCTCGTGCGCCCGCGTTGTAAGTGCTGTTGGGCCGGAGCAGGTCCGGGCACGGCGGATCACGAGCCGGGCCCGGCAAAACTCGCCCGGGATGAGACCTCCCGGGACCAACACGGCCGGCAGAAGTGGCGTTCCCCCGGGACCAGTGCACGAAAGACTGTCAGAGGCGATTGTATCACCAGGACGGTGACTTTCACGTGCCAGCGGCGACACGGCTCCTCGAACGAAACTCGCTGGGTCGACGCCAGCACCGGGATAAGGGTCGAATTCACCTGGCTGGCAGCGTACACGGGCGACTTTGACATATGAAGACGTAATGGGAGCCTTTTCCCCGCCCAGGTGATTGCCTACGAGATACAGCTAGCTTCAAACCCCACGCTCTAGAGGGGCACTCTACGACTCATACGACGCAGCTGGATGAATGGCCGAGTTTATACCGTATGGCCGGAGTCTGAGTCCCTCACTCGTCCGAGCCGGATCCGTCATGTGTCGAAGCACATGGCGAAAAGAGGTCACCAACTACTACTCACCAGCACCACCACTACCGGCAAAGCAACAACTGCGGTTGACTCCCCCGCGCACGTTGCTCGCTCATGGTCTGGCCGCTTCCCAGAGCTGGGACCCATCTAGCCTTGTCAAGTTAATTGTAGTTGCACCAACGGTGCACCAATGCGATGCTGCAACGCTACCTTGCCCACCTCGAAACCAAGTCCCCTTGTCCGTAACCAGGGGACATCGTCGCAGAGACAGCTCACCAGCTCACTCGCAGCTAAAAAAGGGCAACGTTGACTCGACTCAAGTAGCTGCATACGGGCTGGTAAGAGTCCGGGCCAGTTATCTGGATTGATCTGGGACCCCCACCCCTCCTAAACACGTTTCTGAGGGGACGGGGCATTGTTCTCTGATGGTGGACGTGACACCGACACTGTCCGAGATATCATGCTTCTGTCAGGCAGAGCTTAATAACAGCTTTCACAAGCTCTCCGAGTGGCGGCCCGAGGCGCTCAATAGGAAGCTCAGATATGAGTTACAGAGCGTGCACCAATAGCTCTCGCTCGCCATCAAGCTCGACGCCATCTGCCTCTGCCGATGTTTCAACCTCCGCTAGCAGGAGCGAGGTCGGTGACGAAAGATTGTAGTTTGCCCGTTCCATGGACTTCGGCTAGAATTGCCCAACGAAGACGGAGACCATGCCAGCTAGAATCGCGCGTCCATTCTTCTCCCGCGACAAAGTGCTTCCGCGGCTTCTCGTTGGCTTCCACTGTGCAGAGAATCGTGTGTCGTCTTTCCAGACCATTTCGCGGCCCATGTGATGGTGCACCGCAACATGCTTGGTACAGCCGTAGGTTCCACGCCAGTCCTTTAGAGGGAGCGCACAACGGGCAGGCCGACCCAACTGGGCCTGCAGCTGCTGTTCTTGCTCCTCAGCCAGTGGAAATCGACACCCCACGACTGCTGGCTTCGTGCTCTGCAGGACATTACAACCCAGCGAGATCATGCCCCTCGATGTCAAGTGTGCGGAGTATTCTCTGCGCGTAAGCGTGCTAGCATCTGCAGACTCGCTGGTCAACGTAACACAACGTGGGATAGGGCAAGACGGACTGCTCTAGCTACAGCATAGGCGGAAAGCTTGTTCTCAACCAAGCTCGCCGGCAGGTCCAGTGAGTCTGGCGTCGAAAAGGACTGACCGGTCGAACAGGCCACAGCAGTAGCTTGCTGTCTCTCATGGGCGGACCAGAGCACTAGGATGCTTTTCGGAGTGCTACACGGAGAGCACAGGACAGCAGGCCTTCATGCTAGAGACGACGTGCGATGAGGTCTCGGATACCCGCAGAAGATCAGCCTGGGTATGTTGGAGATGAGACCAGGTGGACGTGCAGTACGTATCTGCACATCTCATCGACCGTTCTGAGGCATTTCATGACCAATCGCACAGCACGGCTTCGTGCTGGTGAGCGACATCTCGGCTTGCGCTGCCGTGGAACCTCAGGCGCCTTGTTACCGGTGAGAAAGTAGCAGGGAGCAGGCCCGAACACACACTGATGCAGCCGCCGTGCAGCCTCGCACGGAGCCACAACGCGCATCGCTAATGTGGTTAGAAACCATGAAAGCGAAACGTGTCACTCCCGTGGTTGCATTCCCGCCCAGCCGGGAGAATCTGCGCATCGAACTGTGCACGATCGCTTGGACATCTTGCCGTGGCGTGAACCAGAAAAAAAAAAAAGGGAAAAAAAAGCCAAACAGAAGTGTCCCGAGCCAGAAGCAGTAAACGCTGGCTTTCTTCTGGTCGTTACGCTGTTGATGATGATCGCCCCGCAACTCACCGCCTGTTGGGGTTCGACTGCGCTGAAGGATGGGATGGGATGGGAGGTAATCGGTCTGACGCAGCCCTACAAGCAACTGTGCGCTGCTGCTTTCTTGTGCGTCCAGCCACTGCGCGGGAGATGCAGCTGGCGCAGAAATGCACGTTGGGTTGCACCCCATCAACCCTGTGATGCTATGTGCAGCTCTGCAGTCTGCGCTGGCCCGTCCGATGGGAGCAACGTCGATCACCACCGAGCCATCCAGTAGGGATTGGACTTGTGATCGTCCCCGTTGATTTCCCTGAATGATGGCGATGAAGCAGCGGCTATTGGAGGCTTTCACCCAGGCCGTTGATGCACGCTGAAGGAGAAGACAGAAAGTACACCAGCCCGGTCCCTTTGACCCAAGCTGCGATAGCGGACGCACTTCGCACACCACTCGATTTGCACTTGCAGGATTGATGAACGGCTCCCAGCACGTACATGAAGATGGATCGCTCTCCGTAGGACGGCATCCATGAGCTCAACCCAAGCATGTTGAGCTCCTGGGGTGGCAGTCTCGTTAGGTGCGATATCTTGTATTACCGAACGTGGAATTATAGATTCTCTCAGCCTTGCGGTTGAAAGCCAAGACCAGCCGCATAGACAAGCTTTTGTCTTCTGCGTCCTGAGTCGATCACTGAACGTCGTGCCAGATCCGGTTACTTCAAATGTGTTCGTCTTGGCGGGCAAGATAGGCCAGGGACGGCACAGGAGCGCTTGCACGACACATCGGTAGCATCTTTCCCAGGCGTCGGCACTAAGGAGCCAGAGGGAGGGGGTGGGTGGGATGCAGGCCCGCGCGTGACGAGACGAGAGGGCTGCAGCAGTCGACACTAGCGGAACCCAATCGTCTCGAGCCGGCGTATCAAGCGTCTCCCCTGCGAGTCGCAGGATTACCGTCGTTTTAGGACATGTGCAGAAGCTCATGCATGGAAAGCGAGCCAACCGCCGTGCTTCATCCGGGTTGCGGATCTGGGACAGACGGCTTATCGGTGTCGGCTCACCATCGATTTATTCAGATCCCGAAAACGAACTCTTCGGCGCATCCAGAATTGTCTGGGCTACTGGGAAAGGTGAGAAAGCATTACCAGGGCATGCGGACTGTGATCCCAGTGTTGCCGACAACCAGTTGACACTGGCGCCTTATGTGACACTGGTCGAGAAGCCGAGCATGCCGCTGTTGGCGTCGTGTTGTCTGCTGTTGTTTGATGGAAGATCCTCCGCTCGGCCGTTGAGTATTGGCGCCCAGAGTCAGAGAATTGCTTGCATTGAGCCGTCGGCTCACAGCGGTAGGACCGAAGCTGGTGGGTGCAGCCTTTCGTCACTTTGGGCGAGCGGTTCCTGTATGCTCGACTTGGCACATGTGGTTGAGCCAGTCCCAAGTGTCCCCTGACGGACTCCCAGAACCTCGTGTGCATGTTGGATCGATCCAGACTGCCTAGAATTTTTCTCGAAGGGCTGGGCGCATCGGTATAACCAGGCCTTGGTGGTGTCCCGATGTTGAGGCCTGGAGGAACAACGGTGGGTGAGGCGCGCGAGACGCGGGAAAATGAGAAGCACACCATATTCTCAAGTTTCGGATTGCTACGTGCAGACTGATTGAGTTCAACAACCATCATCCAAGGCCCCTTCGGTGACTATCCGGACAGACAGTCAGTCATCTGAAGGATGACCTGCATCAGCGGTTGATCACCAGACAATTCGAGCATCCCGGATGAAAAGGCGGTCATGGAGGAGGCGTGCGAAGCGACGTGAAAATTATCGACAAGATTGTTGCGGTCGCGGTGCGCAGGTCTGGAATCCGGAATCCGGGTAGGCCTCGTCGGATGAGAGGTCGGGGTCATGGTTGATCGCTGCACTGAGCCCCCCGCGTGCGCAAATTACAAACACCAGGTCTCGGCGGTGAGCAGCGGCGGCCAAAGTCGAACCGAGGATGGGGAGTACCAAGTCTCGCAGCCTTGGGACTTGGAGCCTTGGGCCTTGGCTGGCACTCGAAGGAGGCTTGCGTGGTGCGTCCTCCCACAATTGCGTCGTCTGGGCTCACTCTGCCCAGACAGACGGATCAAAGTCAATACAAACCCACGACGGCATCTGGTGCTCTCGCCACGTCAGCTAACCAGCTGGAGGGTGTGGGCGGGTGCGCGGTGCGCCAGTGAGTGAATTGAGGCGAGTGAGTCGGCAGCGCCATCAACCTGGGACGGCGCCCGAGCGGGCAGATACCGAGGCAGAGGCAATGATGTAATGGGGCGCCGTAGCAGTCCAATAGCCAGATCTCCCGGGTCCCCAGGGCCATTCGCTGGATTTCTTTGTACGTACGCATACTTTGTAATGATCAAGACGTGCAAGACCAATTTAGAGTCGGAAATCTGGAGACGAGATTCGACTGGGGACCGAAATGTGGAGAAGGGAGGCTGACAAGGATATGGCGAGCACCTCGTGAGCCTGCTAAGATGACGACAGAGCCCTGTTCCCTGTCCGCGCCTGCCCTGCCCTGCCCTGCCCACTGCCCTTGAACCCTGGATGCTTTCGTGGGGTTGCCGATTTCGATGATTTGGACTCCTCTCGAAACGGTGCGGATCGCCAAGCAATGCCGTGGACGGAGTACTTGTACGCGAGGGCCATGTACCGTCTGACAGTGCTGTCCTACCGTTCGTTCCCAGGGGAGAGGAGCCGCGTCGCCTGGCTGCTTGACAGGCAGGACTGGTTGGCCTCGAAGCCTTCGGCCTTTCGCCCTCACGTCAACCTCCGTTCTGCGGATGACCGACCGGACTCAGCAGCGACCTTCCCCACCCCGCCAGCTTGGTGAACAAGTGGGCTGCATTGCTGCTGAGATGGCCACGGCAGGATCGCGTCAATGACTGATGGATGACCGTGACATGCGCTTCACCCAAGACGTTGGCTGCACACATGGAGGAGCAAAAGAAGAACCCACCAGACCCCAAACTTTGGGCAAGTAGCCCCGAAGGACCAGTTCTGGGCACGGGGCCTTGGCCGGCCGATGACAATATCTGACAGGCGTGGGAGGTCGAGGTCACGGGCCGAGCCAACACAATTGGCCAATGGACATCTCAGCAATACGGGCAGTAGGCCGCTACGACGGAATACCGTCCCTCGATCGTGACCCTCGCTGGCAGGTGCGTCTGAGCACCAGCTGACAAAGGACGCCTGCTTTGAAATCCGCAGCAGGCAGACAATGCCCGTTCTCCGAAGTACTTTGCCGCTTCAAGACAGAAGAAGGCAGAACGCACGTGGGCGAGGCGATTGAAGGCGAAACAAACAAACAAAAAACCACTGACTGCATTGTGAGTCTGGCTGAAGCCGACTTTGCCGTGGCGGTCCAATGATTAGGCAGGTGCCAGGGACCGGGGGTTCGCTTGAATTGTCGGCGGTACGGGTTTCGCAAGTCAGGGTACTCGACTGGCCCGGCTGCTCGGCTGCTCTGGAGAGGCATGGTGCGCTTTCCAGCCGTATCGCGCGGCAATAAGGAGCCGGATATGACAGAGGACGGTGCAGATAGCCAAAGACTCGAAAATCGCTCATTTTTGGAATCCACACTGGTCAGGAGTGACAATGACAGGACAGTCAGGAATGAGCTGTTCGACTCGAGGGGGGCCATCGTCTCCATTATTATTGTCGAATCGAACTGGACACGGGGGGGGGGAAAGACCAGCACGGCCTCGGCTGGCATTGCATGGCATTACATGGCATTGGCATTGGCATTGCTCACTTCCAGTCTGCTGGTGCGAGATAGGCGCTGGCCCCAAGCCAAGCCTCACTGATCGGCCTGGGTCGATGCCCTCAGCCAGTCTGTCAGGTGTTCCCGCTGGCATGGCCTCCGCTATTGCGACAGCATGCATCTGTGGGCTGGGTCTTTGGGTCTTGGGTTCTGGGGGAGCCCAGAGGCTTGGGAGGGAGCAGGGCGGAGGAGGGGCGGAGGGAGGGCTGGGAGGAAGCTGCCAACAATTCAACCTTGCTTGCCGTGACCCATCGTCATCCCCAAGCCGCTCCTGGAGGGCGCCAGAGCTGCCAGCTACATGTCAAGATCATAATGTGCCAGAATGACGGAGGGCCAGAGGGCCAGAGGACTCGGCCAGGGCAGGACTTAGTCGCCGGTGCTGGTGCTTGTGCATGTGCTTGTGCTTGTTGAGACGAGGGCATAGCGCAGTCCATATCTCTCGACTGTCGCACTAGTATGCCCTAGCAGTTGGAGCCCATGATCGTGTATAGCACCGTCGGCGATGGGTACCTTGCCGTGCTCATTAAAGACGATTCCCGTCTACGGTTAGTTGGGGGGGGGGGCCTTTGTGCTCGGTATCAGGGCAAAGCCAACGATATCCAGACTTGTCCCACTCCTTGGCCGGCTTACACCAAGGCTGGGCCGGTACATCGCTCGCGTCCGCACCAACACGGTGCTGCGGACCAAGAAATGTCCCACCTTGTCCACAATCTTTCCCCAGAGCCTAAGCGACCGATTGCTGCCAGTCACTGATCGCTGTTGGCGCACTGACTGATTTGAGTGTCGAACAAGCCTGGCAAAGAGGATGCCCACATCCAATAATACCCTCAGTCACAACCCCCGTCTGTCCCCTTCTCCTGCATTTCTTTGGATGTCGAGTTGCATTGCATATTGGACTGGCCTCGCCTCGCCTCGCCGCTCTCGCACCTGGGCCCTGCGCCTAGTACCCTACATCTCCTAGCTAGCATTGCCCTCTTGAACGGGACCCTCCCCATCTTCCTGGAATATCTTTCCTGTCTTTTGCAAAACTCGACCTCTACTCTTCCTGCTTCCCACATCCTGTGAGATCGAGAAGAAGCAATCGCCCTTCTACCCTTGGATCTGATTTTATTTGTGATACCCCAGCCACGACCCCGACCAATCCACAATATTCCCCGGCTCTTGGCTCTCGACGACTCGCCATCTCGCCTTCTTCCACTGCGACGGTAGATCTCGCACCGTTTCAGGTACCACCCGCGACGCCACCTCGACCTACCGTATCATCACCATATCACACTGCTGTCTCGCTGGCTACACGAACCCGTCTGCATCTGGACGTACTTGCTTGGCAACAAGTATCAATTTCTCGGCATTGGTCGTACCTGTCTCAAAGTCCCATCGTCACATATAAACCACTCGGGCTGCTGTCCACCATCTGACACCTCATTGTTGAGAGCATCCTCCCTCTCAACATTCCCTCTCGACGTCGTCAAGGAGCAACGCAGAAACAGACAAGAGAAGCCTGCAGAGAAGGCCAGACGCAGCAGTCATTCTCCGCTGAGCCCCTCGGCCCCTCCCCATCGAACTCTCGCCCCCATCCGCCCCCCTCGCCCCCACCCGTCTTGGAGGGTGGTGAACTTACCTCGCCTGCACCGTGCGAGTGTCGACTGCTTAAATCACGCCCGCGGGCACGCTCAGCTGCCTCGTCCACGAGCTGCCAGACTTCGTTCACTGTCAGCAACGGGAAACGTCTGGACTCGGTAACTCCGGTTCTGCCAGTTCCAGCGCGCCTCTACTTGTGCCCGCTCCAAATCTTGCTATCCGGCCCTTCTTAGCCGCCTCTTGACGTCTTAGCCTCCCACCCCAGAGTGAGGGGGTGAACCAGGCCTTGGGGATTTTACTGGGGCAAGCGGCACCACCTCGAAACGGACAGCCTTCCAAACTCAATCTAGTCATTAACCTACCTCCCTCCTTCCTTCCTTCCTCCTTCCCGAAGTCCGTAATGGCATCCTCGACCATGCTAGGCCCTCCTGCATTGTCTCAACAACCCTCCGCCCCGATCTCTGCAGTTCCAGCCTCACCCGCTGCAACATCAACCTCAGGTAATTATTCCACCATCCCTTGCCTTCTTTGTCAACATGTCTCACTCCAGACTGCCTAAACCACTCGAGATAACTCAACTCCTACGATTATTCTAGAACCTGCACAAGACGACTGCAGCCTGTCGTCGTCCTCTCCGCCCCAGTTTGCCACGAACCTCTCAAATCCAATATATGAGGAGAGCGATGAAGACTCCGAGAGTGTCGCACACAACGAACCAGTGACCCCCGTGAGCGGCAGACAGTCCTCGGAATTTCGCACCCACAGGGCCCACGACAACCAGGGTCATCCCGACATCACTGACTCTTCTCTGATCCCTTTTCCCTCGATAGAGTCCGACGGCGCCACTGTTCCACAGTCGAAAATCGATTTGCGCAAAGGACCCTTCGCCAACCATAACTTCGAGGCCAACATCAACACGCAGATTGCTGCTGATACCTCAGTCGCCCCTCAAAGGACGCCCGTCAGTCCCAGGAAGAGCATATCCACGAGACCAATCTCGCCGCCCTCCACCGCTAGGACATCCGCCGACGAGTCGCAGCCAGGCTCCGTGAAAGACTCGCGACGCAGCACGCGTACCTCTACCAGCTTTAAACGCACCATGTCAAATCTCTTCAAGCGCAATGGCCAACAGGGCGACGACGACCAGCCCGTGGTCGTTGTCGCTCACCAGGACTCCCTCGAGGCCAACCGGAGGTGGTCCATGAACAGGTCAACAGCCACCACGCCTGGCTCCAATACACCACCTTCGCCCGGCACACAGACGTACGATAACAAGCAGCGCAGTAAGAATCTGCTAGCTCCGACGCCTGAGGACTTCTTGCACCACAAGAAGAACCGCGCCTCAACAGGTCTCACGCTCCGCAACCGTGCAGTCAACTTTGCTACCGGCAATGGACGCAACTCGAAGAAGCAAGCCAGTCTAAGACGGGCTAGCAGTTTTGATGGTGGCCAGAACCGTGAAGCACAAGACGGCCAGCTCGGTCCTGCGGCAGTCTTCTACGCGAGACCAGAAGCTGGTGTTGGCGTCAAGGCCCGGCGATTAAGCCTGAGCCTGCCCGACGAATTGACAATTGACGTTGGCGACCTCCTCAACGAGTTCGAGTACAAGCACAAGCATCCCTTCGCACGACAATTGACGCGGACGTTGGGCAAGGGCGCCACGAGCACCGTCCGGATCATGTCGCGCAAGGGTTTCCCGGAGGAATTGTACGCGGTCAAGTGCTTCCGGAGCAAGGACAAGTCAGACACGAAGGAGGAATATGAGAAGAAGATCAAGTCCGAGTATAGCCTCGCCAAGAGCCTACACCATCCCAACATCGTCGAGACTGTGCGCCTGTGCATTGACCACGGGCGATGGAACCACGTCATGGAGTACTGTTCTGAGGGCGACCTCCACACCTTGCTCACGAAGAAGTACCTCCTGAATGAGGATCGGGAAAAGGATCGCCTTTGTCTGTTCAAGCAGTTGGTCCAGGGGCTCAACTACCTGCACAGCAACGGTATCGCGCACCGAGACATCAAGCCTGAGAATCTGCTCATGACCAGCGACAGCAAACTGAAAATCACCGACTTTGGCGTCACAGAGGTATTCTGTGGGATCCATCCTGCCGCAAGGGAATCAGGCGGCGAGTGTGGCCGACAGATGAATGGAGAAGTTCGGATGTGCAATCCTGGGATCTGCGGAAGTCAGCCATACATGGCCCCCGAGGTCCTGGCCAGGGATCGGCAGTATGACCCGCGCATGCTTGACGTTTGGAGTGCTGCTTGCGTGATGCTCAACATGATGACCTCGGCAAACCTATGGGAGAAGGCCGTTTGGGGCGCACAGGGATGTCGGAGCTATGATATGCTCGTTCAGTCGTTTGACAAGTGGAATGCCGAACACATCGACGGCAACGCAACTATCACCGAGAACGATTATCCTACATACTTGCCCTTCGACAAGGGTGTCAACAGGCCAGCACTACGTCGGATCTTGCTTATGATGCTGAATCCCAACCCCAAGAAGCGGGCCACCATAACTGAGATCGCCAACATCCGATTCATGAAGAATATCCAGTGCTGCCAGCCGGAGAGCTATGACGATCCTGACGTGGTCATTGACGCCACCAAGAGTTCATCGTTCAATCTCAAGACCACAAAGACATTCTGCCATAACCACTTGCCACCCAAGTGGGAGAACAGCCATTCCCTGCCGCCGATGCCCGGCAAGGCTGGTTACTGATAACGGCAGCCAACAATTCAGGCGACACTGCGGAATCGGACAGAGGCAGTACTTATATTTTAATTCCTTACATGGGCATGGCAGCCTGGCACGAGGGACGAGATCCACAATGGGTATAACGGAGCAGGCAAGGTAGACCTGGGCGACCTTCGCATTTGCAGCCACTGGCACAGGCGTTGATGGTTATTCTGGGCGCGTTGACTTTGGGAAATGTGAGAAGCGGTTGTGCTATACAACGTCACAAACTGGAACAAGTGTTATTTCCGTTTGGTTCATGTGGGCTAGACCCCGTATAATACAGCAAGGGTCCCGCCCACTCCTTCCGATTCTATAGCTTGACTCACAGGAGCAAGAGCACGGAAGTGATGGGTGCCGGGCGAAAGAGGACAGCAAGAGAACCTCGTTAATCGATCGGCAGAAGCCCAAATGTACATAGCCAATCAAAGCCGTCTACCCGCGTCGTTACTAGTCTCGTTTTAATCGACAGCAGTACATACAGATCACTGTTTGACCTCCCGCCTGGACCTGCGCGGGATGTAGCATCGTGAGTTTCCAACTGCCATGGAATGGCTAACTTAAGCCCCTGATTGCAGAGCAGTCGGCAGCGCCCTGAGATTAGAGTTTGCCTCCTTGTCCGACACCGCGTCAGGTTGCCATTGTACAAAGGTGAACCTGTCCGTCATGTGTGGCCATGTCGTGCTGCCGCCGTCTTCTTCTTCTAAAACCTCCCCTTGTAAGTGCAGGGCCTCCACTCTCTTCCTCCGTCTCCCTCTCCTCACTGCCCCCTCCGTCCTGAAGCTTTAGCTGATGTCAAGCACAATGGACCAATGCAAGGGCGAACACTGGAGAAGCGGTTGTTAATTGCCCCTATCTTGTCCACCGAACGTTGTGCCCGTCCTCTTCCAGACACCGACCGACGAATAACCTTCACTAGTCCTATAGTTCTCCTCAGGAGTGACAGTCCACGCTGCCAAGCAACTCCCACAGCCTGCCCCGAGGCCTCAAGTTTGACGATCGATGACCGCCCCTGGCAGGTCCCTCGACCTTGGCACACGCAAGTCAGACAATCTGTGTGACCCCCACGGCCTTGCCTACCGCCAGCGACCAGCGCCTCCCGGGAGTCCGCACCGGAATCTTCAAGTCCGCACGGTACTGGCAGGTGGTCTTGCTTTGGTTTGGAGCCCCTCCCACCCTTTTTTGGTGCTACCACACCTGGACCGGCGAGACGACGAAAGAGGCGTTCCCCCATCCCCCTCCATGACATGGTTGGCTTCCCCGGATTTTCCCTTCTGGACGTTCCCGCTAGTGCTTCCTTGCTTCTTCTGCTTCCTTGCTTTCCTGGCTCGCCTGCCTGGCTGGCTTACCTTCGCTTTGCGAAACTGGTGTCGTACAGCAGCTTTCTACCGTGGCTTTGGAATGTTCGCTCCGGGGGGGGAGCACCTTGGATCGGAGCTTAGGAGGCGGTGGCCCTCTCTCGTGCGGTCAGCGATTTGCATACCAGCTGGTCAGCCCGTCAGCCACTCGGTGATTGAGAGAGACAGAGAGAGAGAGCGCGGGGGTTGCTATGTGAAGTCAAGTCACCCGTTGAGGCCGGGCCTGTCACTTTAACGGTCGCCGCCTCGCCCCCGTCATCCATCCATGCATCCATCGACCCCACCATGCCAGCCCAGGCGTGGCAGGCTGGGACGGTGCGGGATCGTGATGATGCTGCCACGCCGGTGGTGTCGAGGGCGGTCATCGGTCTCGGGGGTGACAGTAAGCCTCGCAGCCAGCTGGGACACTCCGATACGTGGCGAACGCGAGGAGCAGATCCTCCTCCTCCCTTCCCTCCTGCAACCGTTGTCGCCTGCAGCCAGGCGGTTCCTTCTGGCCGGCCCCAGACAGCCCCATGGGGTGGTGGTGGTGGTGTGGTGCGATGCAATGCAGATGCAGATGCAGATGCAATGTGCTTGCGTCCGCCGTCGATGAGGAGTCGTGTGTCTGTGTGTATGGCACCAACTCCGATGCTGCAAGTCCGTTTGGTCCTTATCTACGAGCAATAGGCATGCCTGGCTGCCTGTTTGCAAAACACTAAATTCCCGAGCTCGGACTAGTCGTCTGCGACGATGCTCGCTCGCCAGCCAAGCTCACTGAATCACATCATACATGAACCTGAGCTTGAGCATGACATAGCCATGAACATGAACATGAACATGAACATGAACATGAACATGAACATGAACGAAGTCGCCGGCGACCGCCCCGGAAGCCGACTGTCGGCCGATGTGAATTCCCCAGTGGGGGCAGCCCGTTGCTAACTCACCTCCCTCTACTGTAGGAGTCCTGACCGGGTCGGTCGAGCTTGTTTCCTGTCGACTGCGGCCGGTGCCGCTAGGATCGGATCCTTGGCCTGCAAGTCTTGCGTCGGCGGGCCGCACTTGCCATCCCAGGATTGTCCCGTCCCCAAGCTTCTTGACTCTTGACCTCAGCCCTTGGTGTCGCCAAGAGGCTCAAGCCCCTTTGGGCGATGACCTGGACATTGCAGCGCAGATCTTATTATTTGGAAGCTTGAATCAGCTTCCGGATCTACCAGAGTGATGCCCCGTCGCCGCTGATCTATTTTTGTCGGGGCTGCGGGACGCGTGTATTGTGTGTGTGTGTGTGTGTTCGCTCATCTTTGGGTGCTTGGGTATGTGTGTGCTCTCTCCCCACGGGGACCCCGAGTGACTAAGTGGTGATCCGTCACGTTGATCGATCACCGAGCAGGCAGTGTTCCTATTACACGGGCATGGGATAGAACAATGGAGAAGGACACCGCCGAGCCCCAATGCCGGCCCCTTGCGGCTGAGAATGGTCCAGAGGGCCACCGACACAGTTCTGAGGTCACAAATTCCCCTAGAGTCGTCACTCCGGAACGAGTCGTGAGACACTTGCTGACGGCTGCCCCGGCTACCAGAGTGTCAGTCTCACTGGGCGGTTTTAGAATTTCTTGGGTGAATAACCAGCAGAAGCAGGCAGCCCGCGAGAGAGAGCTTTCCGGGCAGTACCCAAAGGACAAGCCCATGTATCTCGAGTCGTCCTCCGTCGGTTCACCGTTTCCGTAACGTCTCGTGCGACCCACGACAGCTGAAAGCCTTGGCTGTACTGCCGATCAGAAACCAAATCCCCCTGGAGCCGGGTACCTCGACGAGGGCCACAGGGAAAGAGAGAGAGGGATTCGTCCGTCCGTCCTATTGTGTGCCCTCTGCCCAGCCTTGCACGGTCACGGGCGTCGCATCGGGGCGTTGTCGCACGGGTCCAGAACGCTCCTGTCTCCCCCAGTTGGGCGCCAGCCTCGCACCGCCCTGCCAGCCGGCACAGGAGAGCACAAGAACCCAAATCAATTTTAAACAAGTTAGACGCATACCAAGACGGGTAATGCGCAAGGACAGAAACGCTCACACGCACACACGCCTGTCCGGATCAGATCCCCCCCCCCCCCCCTCGTCATTGTTCCCGGGGAAGCGGGCGATTCGCCCATCGGAATGCGAGCGCGGAGTGAGCGGGCAAGGAAGGGGCAGAGCAGACAGAGGGGACAGACCGACATCCAGACACGCTGCCAGTCCTGCCAGCTCACCGATGGGACGAGCCGCGCCCTCCCAGTCCGGAGGGGACGAGGCGCTGTGCGCCCAAGATGAAGCATCGTCTCAACAATAGACATGCTGCGCGTACGTGTGCGTGCTTCGCCCGTGAAACAAATGCCAACCCCCGTCACCGTACCTACATATATGGATCGCCGCCCTCCCTAGGCGGCTTGGCGCCAATCGGCGGCTGTCGCGTCGTTGAACCGCCAAGTCGCCTATAGAATGTGACAAGCCACCCTTTAGACTACCCTTCCCCCCAACACAACACGGCCACGACGACTACGACACGGACACGAACACACCTAACTTGTGTTTCGTTATTGCCCAGGAAAAGCAATACATTCTCTCCTCCTCTCCGTTATTACTATACTACCCAAACTGCTCTGCCACCGTGGCTAGCCAGCGTCACACGTCCAGCCTTTCCTACCCAGAGGCCCGAGTGCGACGCAAGTGGCCAGCTTGGCGCGAGCACCGGAGGGCCTCGATCCCGTCCGGCAGTTGAAAGAGGGACTGCTTGCCTGGGCCATGTTTGTCTGTGTGCGTGCGTGCTGTTTGTGCTCGAGATCGGGATGGGAAAAGAGCGGTAAGGAGAAGTAGAGCAGTCGTCACCCACCTCCTGCATTTGCAGCCCTGCCCGGTCCCCCCCCCCGAGGGATGCCAGTGAGGCCCAGGACCAAGGTGCGTGCAGTGCGCGGCAAAAGCTTGTCAGGCATCACCACATCCCCAGGCTTTTTCTTCCATTTGTCTCGGGGGGGTATTTGGCCTCTGTGAATGACCTGCGCCCGATCCCTTCTGGGCGAGCCCGAGGATACATTAGACGAGAAATCTTGATTAGACCTGTCTTCTTGGCTTGCCTCGCCCGGCTGCCGGCTAAATCTGGCGAGGCTCATGGACTTGGCTTTCGGACTGTGCAAAGTCAAAACTGCTGAGCCGGAGAGGCGAATCGCACGTGCGTTGCTCGCTGAAGGCCTTGTGCGATCGTTGATTCTGATTGGGGTATGTATGTAATGCCTAACAGACGCTCCTGCCCATGTGTAAACTCCCGCAAGCAAACTCCTAAACATGTTGACCGACACCCGTTGTGTCATTATCCTGTACCGCCCGGGACGTTGTGCTGGTGTGTGTTTGTTGTATGTACATGCTCGAGATGGTGAAATAATTCCAATGGCCTGGTTGTTTCTATCATACTTTCCACCAGTACACAGCCCACTCGTTCTAATGCGCGAGACCTTCGCTGGTGACATATTCTGGAGGAGGCTCGTCTTCTCCTGTATTCTCCATCCATGCCTCGTATTCGTCGTCGGTTGCGCCTTCACCCTGCGGAGTGGAGGTGCCGAAGGAATACTTGCTTTCTTCGGAAGGCTTGGCGGGAGGCGTCCCGCTGCTATCATCTCCGGGTGACCCATCCATCACGAACGGGTCCAAATCTTCCTCCGCGTCTTCTACATAAGGATGCCGATATGCATCTGCCTCATCAGGTAGCGGGCTTGTTGGTTCCGAGTCGGCGATGGGAGCCTCGACCACGAGCATGTCCTCACCCTGTCCATGCATGTCCTCATCTGTGCGCCGCCGCCGCTTAGGCAACGGAGGCGGTGGAACGGGTCGCCGCTTCGTGTCCTGGGCTTTCGCATCAACAGATGCCCGCTCAGGCAGCGGAGGGGCAGCTACCGGTTTCCTTCTGGGCACTGGTATTGCTGTCTTTGTCTTCTTATCCGGCATGGGTAGAGGAATTCCGGGAGGAGGGAGCGGTCTGCCTCCGCCCATCGGCTTGCTCAGGTCAAGTTGAGGCTCTACCTCTCCTCCATGTCCATTCTTTACCGGGTCGTTTCCGTGACGCTGTAGGGCGTTCAGACCCCATCGTCGCGCCGCCCCAGCCGCGCTAGAGACAGCAGCGAGACTGGTCGGGATCCGCTTGGTCGAATCCGTATTGGAATTCCCTGTCGCGGTTGTGGACGCAGAATCCGTGGTATTCTCCCTTTTCAGAAAGAGCCCACGCGTCAGCGATCCGGTATTCGTCTTCGAAGATTTGACAGATGGGGTCGGGGAGCCACCAGTCCCAGAGCTGCCCTCGCCCGGGTTGCTGTTGGTCGAAGATGCGGTACCCCGGCGCGGCAGCTTGGGCGTCTCCTCTTGATCTGTTTCCTTGTCCGTATTCTCTTTGGATGAGGTGTTGGAATGCCCGGAGGCGATCGATATTATCGAGTCTCTGTGCGGAGACGCGAGGGGCGAGCCCGAGCCAGAAGCAGCCTTCGATCTGGACGAAAGTCTGGCCATAGCAGTAGCTGCTGAGCTTTCTCCTGGTGGGGACGAAGGCTTGAATACATCAGCATTCACGGTTTCGGTTGAAACAATTGGGATTGGCTCCCCAACAAAAGAGCCAGACCTGACAGGACGCTGTTTCGCCTGCGTCTCTTTTTTGACGTCGATGCTTGTAGACGAGGCGTCCGCCTTTATGTGCTTAGGCTCTATACTGTCCACTGTAGGGGAAGATGGATTGGTCTGCGGGGCTTTGCTGCCTCTGCCCAGCTTGAGCCCAAATAGGCTGGTCGATGGTGACGTTTGCATAGGCTCGATCACAGGCATGCTCTGACTCTTCTCCATCGGCGGCAGCTCAGAGTTTGGAGGCGTCCCGGTGTCCAAAGTCTCCACATCGTCGACTTCTCCGACCTGTGCTGCTGTGGTCTCCGGGTCCAAGGATGGCTCCACGGCATCGTCCCCTTCAAAAATGCCCCCTCTCCATCTCTTATGCTCGGTCTTGAAGAACGGGGTGTCGTCCCAGAATGGCAGGACGAGTGTCTCGGCGACGACCTCTTTGATGCGAGCTTCAATCTGCCGAAGAATCACGGTGTACGTGATCTGTCTGGAGCTCACAATAGGTTCGATGGTCATTTCCATCTTGGGCATCTGTGAGAAGGAAAACCACACCCGGTTGCTTGGGGGTGGCTTGATCTTGAAAAGCAAGTGGCCTTCCATCTTCCGCAGCGCGACGGACAGGACCAAGTTGACCTCACGAGCCTTGAGCCGGGCTCCAAGGTCAAGTCGAGCAACAGCAGCAACCTCGATCCGGAAATTACCCGTGTACTTCACATCGGCTTCCATACAGCATTCTCCTTCAACCGTTAGGTCTCTGTGACGGAGGTTTGTAAAGAAGGGAGCGGACTCCCCGGTATCGATCTTGCGAATCTCGATGCTGGACAAGAAGGCAGGGCGCTTGACCCGGCTGATCTTTTTGGTCAGCTTCTCTCGGATGAAGGCTTCAATGTCCGCAGTCTTATAAAGTCCTAGGAAGAGCCTCCCGATCATAGCATTCAGCCATCTGCTCTGTAGGTGCTCCTCGGACGAATGGAGTTTCTGCACCAAAGAGATGACGTTCTTGACGTCGAAAGTTAGTGGCCGAGCCGCTCTCTCCCCTGTGGGGAATGCCTGTTCCTGATTTCGCAGCAGGGCGAAGTAGAAGTCCTCCTTCGCAGAGCAGTTTTCCGAGAAGAGATAGAATGGCTTGGAAATCTGGCTATCCGGCGGCAACTCTGAGGGGACAACAGTCCGTCGCGAGAGACAAATAGCATTCCTTTTGATGAAAAGCTCCCCTTCCGGTGTCACGTCGCCACCGGAATATATACTGACATCGTGGTGGGTCAGAGATATGACATGTCGGACTTCGAGTTGCTCGTCGTCATCGAATAGCATGAGATGGCCATGTCTACAAGAAAGCAAGGTCAGCATGGGACGGCCACGAGGGATTTGGGAGGGTTGTACCTCAACACCACATAGAAGACATTTCCAGCCTTCTTTGGCCGCAGGCTAACACTCTTGCCGTTGTCTAAGGGGCCTGGGTTCTGCTTTCTGTCGAATATGCTCCGATACATAGTCTGATACACGCTCTGACTGGGAGCTGCTACTGTCGTGGAGCCAACAGGCGTTGATCGTTCGATGGGCTTGGCATTGATGCCCATGGGCGTGTACTCTCGGCAGACGGCGAAGTAGCCGGCTGCAGTCTCTGCATCGTGGAGACTGGCGGCCTTGGACTTTGCCTGTTCCTTCGTTTCTTTCTGAGCAGCCTGCAGAGGCGCGAGGTCGTCGCCCGGCTGGACGAGATCGTCCGCTCCAGTGTCCCCGCTTAGATCGGCATCTTGTCGACGAGGTAAGGTGAAGTGGGCATGCAGAAATATCGTAAGGACAAGAAGAGGAAGGAAGGTGACGCCACCCAAGAGGTAGGTCAGCAAGAAGGTGGTCCAGCCCCCCATTGTTGCGTTCTTGGGGAGGGGATGGAAGCCGGCGAAGCTGCAGCAGCTCTAAGGCGGGTTCGGAAGGTCGGTCGAGGTGTTACGCTCTCCCTCGCCTCAGTACGCAGCATGAAATCATAAAGTCGAATGATTCTGGGCGACTGGTTCGACGCGGTCATTGCATCGCCTCGAGTATAGACGAATTTGGGTCAGACCAGGGCGCGAAGGGGAGGAAGAGAGAGGATTCCGTCCAACGTGTCGGTTTCCTATCATCAGCCGCGTTTGGAGGGCGTGTCTGGCAAGGTCCTCGCTGCTGCACTGGCTAATTTGGGAGCTAGCTTCCGAGGCCCCAGTCCCGCAGTGACGCAGCCGCTTGGGGGCCCAGGATCATCAGATGAGCCTCAAGTCTTGAACATGCCACGCCGAGATTTCAGGGGTGGTTATACTTGTGATTATTACTGGGCATATTTTCTGCACATCCCTATCAGTTCGCATTTGAAATCACTCGCATTCGATGGCCTGGACGGACGCATTGCATCCAAGCATCCTAATAACACATGTCTATGAAAGCATAGAAAGATTGCCCCTCGTCTGTGGGAGTCTAGCCTGATAGTGTGGACCTGTCACACAACAGCATAATGGCACCATGCACATCTCACAGGACTAAAATCTGCAAGCCCGACCGCTCAGTGCTTCTTCCTCAGGAACCCCAGTTAATAAATCCCGCGCATCCAGTTGAGCATAATCTATGTCATCGACGAGGGAGACGCTGGTGTAGGTTGATCACATAACTGCAAATGATCGGATTACGGTGCAAATACGAGATGGTACAGCTGGCACCCGAGTCCCTCATATAGGTACATATATTTGTTTATGATCTCGCTACGGACATCTTTCAACGTGGGGGATACCGTGAGATTTCGGCTTCGTCATAGTAGAATCCAAAGTCACGATGCCGATCTCAAGGCATAGTGCCTGACACACTGTCTATGGAAGCACCGGCTCGGGCAGCTCGGAATTATTGCAAGGGGTCCATGTTAAATCGTAGTCTTCCGAGATTACAAGCGACGGTCAGCAAACTAAACATAGGAACATATCTGGGCGGCAACCGTGGTGAGAAATTTCACAGGCTGAACAGATGGCCACGAGACGGAAAAGGTGGTGCTTGGTGGTTGGATTCTAAAGAGGCGAAGAAGTTGGAAAGTTGGGAGACTAGGAGATTAGGAGATCGACGTTAAACGGTGGAAGACAAGGAGCTTGGAGGTGGGAGGTCAGGAGGAATGTTGAAGCGATGGAATAGACTAATGCAGCGCACGAGATTTGAGGCTAGTTGACCTGTAGGACAACTGATGTTCAACGGAATGCCTGTCGTCTGGCTCTTCAGTTGAGCCCAGGGATCCATCCAGGGGAGCTGCTCCCAGCGGTGGGTTTCTTCCATGTAGAGATACCAGATGACGGGAATTCCAAGTTTGGTCAACCATATTGCCACAAGCTCGTGGTGACGAACGAGCCCTGGAAGATTATCTGGGAGTAGAGATCCATCCCTCGGTCGATCATCACCAATAACCGAGAGATCAAGCAGCTGGAGAACTCGAATTCAATCCGTGTTCCTTCACTTCAGTCCTTGGGCACATTCACAGCGCTCGTCAGGTTCGCGTGTCGAGATTTTGTTGATTGTCGCTTTGCAAAGCGGCTGGGAATCGTAATTCCTCTCAAGAGCCTACACCATCACCCTAGACCACACGTCGAGTGTGCCCGGTCGTCTGCCCCCAGACGAACATCCCCACGCCTAATCCTCTGTCACCAGAAAACACGGTCGGGAGCCTTGGATGTGTCGTTGGTTCATCTTTTTTTAATTTCCCTAAAAGCATTGCCACATTCCATACCGGACCATGCTAGAAATTTTTCCGTGCCGTATGTGAACCCCGTGCAAAGACAAAGCAAGCAATCGTAAACCACCGGAACCCCTCCCTGATTTCCCCAACCTAGATGGTGGTCTCGTAGGCGACAGGTGCCAGGGTCTCGGGTCGGCTCTCCTTGTACGAGATCGTGCGGGCCTCGCGAGGGGTGGTGGCTTGCCTCTTGACCTGGACGGTGGTGCCCTCGGCCTTGGCCTTGGACTTGAGGGCGGCGTTCTCCTTCACTCGGCGCAGGAAGTCCTCTCGAGATCGCGACAGGCGGACGTGCTCGATGCGGAGGTTGACACGCTTCTCGATGTATCGGTGCTTGACCCGCTTGTAGATGATGACACCGACAGCGGACTTGGTCACGTTGTAGACGACACCGGTCTTGCCGTGGTAGACCTTGTGGGGCATGCTACATTCGCACATGTCAGGATTCCGTGATCCTGTCGAGGTTCGTCGCAGCGGCTCGTTGTGGAAACTTACCCCTTCTGGACGGCACCGTTGGCCTTGATGTCCACAATGTCACCGACCCTGAAGCAGATGTTAGGTGTCTTCCTCCCTAGATCGTTTTTCGAGCTCGGTTTCGGCTTACTTGAACTGGTGCAGGTAGGTGGACAGAGGGATCATACCCTTCTTGCGGAAATCCCGCGAGAAGGCATACTGTTTCGCAAACAGTCAGCATTTCGACGTCCCAGACCATATCCCGTCTCCCTCGACATCGATTGACCCGGTGCAATACGTACGCGAGTGCCTGCACGAAGACCAGCGGCGTGACCCATCTTGACTGATTTGCTGGGTAATTAGTTGAAGAGGTTGTCGTGGTGGTCGTCGTCGGGTTAGGGCGCTGTCAAAGATTTCGGGTACGAGATTGGCAGGTTCGGGTGCTAGGCCAATTGGTGCGGCGGAGGAACGGGTCATGAGAATTTCCGCTGTCCCACATGATTGGCTGATGCTTGCCTACGCCTACACCTCACAAATCCGTCAATTTCTGGCTTCACTCCTCCACCATCGACCGCCAGTCATTCACACCCGGAGTATATTTAACAAATCCGGCACCAATGGCGCCTCCCGCCGGCGATCCTGCCAACAACCCGACGACTTACAGCGGGTTCCTGAGCCTCCTTAATCGTTCACAACCTCAAACTGTCAACCCAATCCAGCAGGCCGACGTCGAAATTATATCAATTTCGTCGGATGATGACGAAACATCTGATGGTGATGACTTGCAACCGGCACCCGAACCAACTGTTATTGCCAGTCTCGGCTCAGAACCGGCACCCGCGCAAATTCCGGCACCAGCGCAGGTCGTAGTTTCCCCCAGACTGGCAGCAGTTCAGCCCGGAGACCTGCAGCCAACATGGGATCTGACCAATATCGGCGAGCGGATCACCCAGCACATTGACAGGTACTGGCCGATAGATAGCCCCCGGCCCATAGTACCCCTGCCAGATTTGCCAAATATGCCAGATTTCGCAGAACCAGCCGCACCATGGAAGAACCGATGTCCCAGTCAGGCCTACACCCCCTCCGGACGCCTGTCAATTACACGCCCACCCAGTACAACGACCACGATGCTGTTTCGGACAGCGTCCTACTTGAGGGTAGGTCTCGATGCCAGTCTTGGTGGAATTTGAGCTAACCTGGCACGCAGTTGATGATCTACGAACCTTGGCTGACACTGAAGTTGGCAATCTTCGAGTGTTCAGCGTGGGCGGACCATTTCTGCCCCGTCCGGCAGCGGGCCAGGCGCCTGTTGTCATCATACCGGCAATACGGTTCAGCACTGGCGCCGATGTGTCCAAAAGTTTCAACAACGCAATGGTAGACCGGGCTGTTGAAGCTGCCAGCTTTCTTATCACCTTTTTCTTGCAACAGCCAGCCCTGATCTACCCCTGGATTCGCATCTCTCCTTGCGCGAAGGCATAGAAGCTGAGCGTCAGGTGGCGGGTTGAACGACGGTCCAGGACTACCTCGGCGGCTGAGAGGATCATGGAATTGGCCCAGGTACTATCTCGATTGCCTGACGGAACTTCTGTCATATTTCTAGTCCTCGGCGTTGATGGACTGACAACAGATGTCGGAAACCTGGCAAAGCTACGAGAATGGTTTCCTCTGTTGAATGTCTGCCTCGTGATCTTGGTCTGGCGGGATTTCTTCACAAGCATACGTGACGGGCAATGGGCGGAACTACAAGATCCTGGCGCTGTTGACCTTTTCCCACCGACATGTCGTGGTATGAGACTTAGAATTTTTCGACTCGACGACCTGTTGGAACGGCGAACCAGACGAGCTCGGGAACTCCTTGAGCTGTGGAGGACGATACAATGGGGCAAAAGGTCAGTAAACCTGCCAATGGATGTTCCAAAATATTGATAAACTGACAACAGGCGGCAGACCTGGCAATCCAAGTGTGCACCTACAGTACACCAAGTATCGCAACAGGTTCCCGGTGTCTCCTAATGGCGAATGGGTGATGAACGGCTCCTTAACCGCTCATCGTTGACTGATCTGGTGCCGGAATGTTTTCAGATGGGGGCGTATTTGCCAGATTTACGGTTGCTATATTGGACGCGGTCCAAAATGGGTGATTTTTCCTGTCGCAAATGGTCGAATCTGGCAGGCATCACAGGAAAACGGACTTTTGCTTCAAAAAATATGGGGCGGATCACATGGGACTGGGCGCATTTATGGCTGGGAAAACTCAATTATTGCTGGAATGGGATACAACTGCCAGGTTCACAATTGAATTAGACAAATCAAACTACGAGAGTCGGGCAGCTCAGCCTACGACACTGGCAAGAAATCTGACATCCAAAGCGCTGGCGCCAAAAAAAGGTGGGGCAAGTCGGCACGGAAATTCCCACCACCCGTCTCCGCACATCTGCCAACAGCAGTGCCTGAAAACTTTCAACCGCCAATTCCATCGCCAAACCATCACCTCCGTCAACCTCCACGAGAGACACAACCAGCAAACATGGCGCCGCTCTCCTACTCCAAGACGGCCAAGGTGCCCAGAAGGTACAGTCAACTCAAAAAGAACTCAATCAGCGTCGTTGACACCCGCTAACTCTCAATTCAACAGACCCTTCGAAGCCGCTCGTCTGTCAGTATAGCCCGGCCACTGAGCAGAAGCTTGTCTCTGCTCATGTCGAAGGTGCACCCAAACTGACCATCATCACACAGCGACTCCGAGTTGAAGCTCGTCGGCGAGTATGGTCTGAAGAACAAGCGCGAGGTCTGGCGTGTCCAGCTCACCCTGTCCAAGATTCGTCGTGCTGCCCGGTATGCACTTTACACTCTACACGATGCACAGACACGTGCCCCAAGTCATTGAGCCTTCGAAGATCTAACAACCTCGCAGTCAGCTGCTCACCCTCGACGAGAAGGACCCCAAGCGTCTCTTCGAAGGCAACGCCCTGATTCGCCGTCTCGTGCGTGTCGGTGTGCTCGACGAGTCCCGCATGAAGCTCGATTACGTGCTCGCCCTCAAGGTCGAGGATTTCCTTGAGCGTCGCCTCCAGACTTGTGTCTACAAGCTCGGCCTCGCCAAGTCCATCCACCACGCCCGTGTCCTCATCCGCCAGCGCCACATCCGTGTCGGCAAGCAGATCGTCAACGTGCCCTCTTTCATCGTCCGACTCGACTCCCAGAAGCACATCGACTTCTCCCTGACCTCGCCCTTCGGTGGTGGCCGCCCCGGCCGTGTCCGAAGAAAGAAGGCCAAGGCCGCCGAGGGTGGCAGCGGCGACGCCGAGGAGGAGGAGGAGGAGTAGATTATACCCATACTCTCCTACCAGGGTCTCTCAGACGGAATGAAAATAAAAATGCATTTGGGCTTGGGCAGCTAGGTTTGCTGGTCACGGAAACGGAAACGGAGTTTTGCGTCATCGATCAAGGCATGCGATGCGACGCCATTAGGTCAATGGAATAAATGAATGACAAGACACGTTTCTTCCCAGATATCGTGACAGTATCTTTGCCTGTTTGTGAGTGTAACACCTCGTACGGGAGCCAGCCTCTCGATATCCATGACTTGTGCTTAACTTGTTCCTCCACCATATCGAACTTCATGCCGACGCAAGATTGTCTATAGCTAGCCCGTTCGGCCCAATTCTCTGTAAATTGCCTCTAAACTGCTAGGAGTCGGCTCTGGGGCGGCTTGCTTTTACCAGGAGCAAGACACGCGAAAGAACATAGGAATGGGACTTGAATCACGAGATGACAAGCTGGACTCATGGCTGGAAAGTTCCAATTGAAGGCTGTCGCCCATGGTATCGTGCATTGAAATTCCGTGGATGCCATTCTCAAAGAGCTGCTAATGTACGAGTTCATCCTTGCCGAGGAACTTGGCCATCGGATCGTCAGCCGCTGTCCGCTTTCGCCGGTAATCTTCAAGCTCCTCCTCCGTGATGCCACTCGCCATCTCTTCCCTCGTCCGTTTCAGATTCTGTTTCTCGCTCTTTGCTTCATCCGTCGCAATGGCTCCCGCGGCGGCAGCCTCTTCCTCGCCGTTATCTTCAGCTGCTTCTTCGAGCAGATTTGCGCCGCTCCGCTGCTTCTCTGATGCCTCCCAGGCCTTCTTGCCGTCTTCGCCTGTGCAGTAGCTGTTCTTGATAGTAGAGTGGCAGCATTCATAGCCCCACTGGAAATTTGACCACCAGCTGCCCCATACCGACGTGTGGTTGTTGATGTAGACATCCTCCGGGTACTTGGACTTCGCAGACGCCTTCGCCCCTTTGACTAAACCGTGCTCGTCGTACTCGACGAAGTGCTCGTTCTCCGTGACGGTCATGTCCCTGAGCGCAGCTGGCATTGCCTGTGTGCTGTCGCCGTACAGCTCGCGTAGCTCCTTTTCCTTCTCCAGCTTCTTCCTCTCGGCCTCTTCACTCTCTTTCTTCCGGTAGAACTCTCCTGCTGTCGGGTTCGCCTGCAGATGCTGGCTTGTGTCTCCCTTCTTCTCCTGGGCCTCCCATGCGTACTTTGTCGCGCGCTCGAACTCGGCGGCATCGCCTGACCCGCGCACGAAGCCCTCCTCCGCGAACAGCTCGGCAGCCTTGTCGGCAGTCGCACCGCCGTCGACGAGCGTCCTTGTCTTTGGGTCGTATTTCGCGGATTCCAGGTCCAGGTTCAGCAAGTATTTGGCCGTGTCCTCCCGTATACGCAGCTGCCTCGTCGAGGTAGGCTGGTGCTTGCTCATGTCCACGTCCTCGGCGTACTTATCACCGGCATCGCCCTCGTCCGCGTCCTCCCCGTCCTCGCCCGCCTGTTTCTTGCGCATCTGCCGCCTGAGCTCCGCCATCTGGTCGTACTCCTCCACGACATGCTTGTAGTCCTTGGCCTCGTAGCCGTTCCACCGGTCGCGCTTCGCGTCCCAGCTGAGCTGTACTTCCTGCACCACGTCGTCGGCCTGGATGTTCTTTCCCGTGTATTTGGCACCCTTTTTCCTGGGCCTCTCGAGGCATTCCTTGGCTTTGTGGCCCATCGCGCCGCAGTTTTCGCATGCACCCTTGCGGAACTTTGTCGCGGCTTTGCCCTTCTTGCCTCGGTCGTACCATGTTGAGTCTTGCTCTTTCTTTTGAAGACGCTGATGCTCAAGGTAGTCTGTCTCCTCCCCCTCGCCGGCATAGAATGGTCGCTTGGAGATGAAGTTTGGGATGTAGGCGTTCTCTTCCTTGTTGGGCGCAGTCGAGGCATCCCGCCGGGAGGGCGGCGGCGGCGGAGGCATGGCGGCAAATGATACGGAGTGCTGAAAGTCGGTTGATGAGTGTAGGGAGGTATCAAGGAGTTGACAGCGTGCCGTTCCAGAGTATTCGCAGGTGCGTGCAGGAGATTCAGGTCTCTCTTGATGCTCAAGGAAGAAGTTGAGGAAATGGATGCAAGTTGACTGAATTGTCGAAGATCGCAATCGACGTCGCTCACAAATGCTCCTCTGCCTGCCCCATTCCCGGCCTTTTGGAGTGGCAGTCCAGGATCAGGGTCAGGGTCAGGGTCTCATGCAAGCCTGTAGGGTTCCCAGAGGCCTGCGGGTACCAATTGGCATGGCATATGTAGATTTGGACCGAGGTATCTGTCTGCTTACAGGCGTTAAGAGTTATCCTATCGAATAGTTTACCTCATTGCAGGCCATCCCATTAGAGGTGCATCTTATCTAGTATCCTCCCGTTGGAAGTTACCCTTCAAAAACGCTGTCTCACAAGTAGGCGGGTATTGGTCAGCAAATTCCACGTGTGGTTGGCGTTGATTTGGCGACGGCAGGCTCCGGAGTTATTAGTGTGTGTAGCCGCGACTCACTAACACGCTGAGGGAGCGCGTCTCTGACGGTCAAGGAAACAAGGCAAGCGCTTCTTGAGGCCCAGCTCCAAGGCGTCCTGCTCAATATTCTACATCAAATCAGCCCTTTGATACCGGTTCGCTCCTCAACTCACTGTGAAATGAGACGATGAGCCGCCCTCACGTTGGCCTGATTCTGGCAGGGGCAACCACAGATCGTCATGGATGTCTTGCCCTTCAAGGTTCGGCAGAACTGCATCGACTTCTACCAAGCGACTCCAACCAAGTACGACCCTCAGCTTCGCAATGACATACGCCCGGACCAGCTATCCAAGGAGCCAAAAGTTCCCGTCATCCGCATTTTCGGCTCGACCCAGACTGGGCAGAAAGTTTGTACCCATGTCCACGGTGCGTTCCCGTACTTGTACATCGAGTACACTGGCAGCCTTGCGCCTGAGGAAGTGGGCGCATACATCTACCGCCTGCATCTGTCCATCGACCATGCCCTGGCTGTGAGCTACCGCAAGGACACCTACAGCGACCATGCCAAATATGTCGCGCGCATCACACTCACCAAGGGCGTGCCGTTCTACGGCTTTCACGTCGGATATCGCTTCTTTCTCAAGATTTACATGTTCAATCCTATCGTCATGACCAGACTGGCCGATCTTCTGCACCAGGGCGTCATCATGAAGCGGAAATTTCAGCCGTACGAGGCACACTTGCAGTATCTTCTGCAGTTCATGTGTGACTACAACCTCTACGGCTGTGACTATCTTGAGAGTTCCAAAGTGAGGTTCCGCTCTCCGGTGCCTCAGTACAGCGAGGAGGATGAGAGCTCCTTACATCTTTGGCACAGCCAGTCCGTCTCTCCTGACAACATCACCGAGGACTATACTTTACCTCGCGTCAGCCACTGCTCGATCGAGGTCGATGTATGCGTCCAAGATATCCTAAATCGCAAGATGGTAAAGGAGCGGCGCCTGCACCATGATTTTGTTGAGAGGGACCACCCTGTTCCAGCCAGCATGAAGCTGGTGCACAGTATGGCTGGTCTATGGAGAGACGAGACAAAGCGCCGGAAACGAAGGATGCACGTCACGAACCCAGGCAGCAGTCCATTTCCTCCTGAAGTCCTTGTGTCTATGTCCGCCGATCCCCGTGAGTCCCAACCCCAGGGATGGGTTCACGAAGAGGAGTATGTGGAAGATATCAAGAACCTTGTTACCGAGGAGGCGAGAGCCAGTAACGGTACCAGACTATCTTTCGACGGTTTTGTACAGCCCATACCATTTGAGGAGACTGTAAACACAACGCTGCAGTCTGTCGAAGATCTCTTCCCCCAAAACTTGCTACCGAGCCTGGGCCAGTCGTCTCAGCTCGCCCAACAGGACCAGAATCCCGCCAATAACGTGGTAGTTGACGAGAAGGGCATCCTCGCAGCAACCCAAGAGGGCGATGCGGATTTGTTCCCGGATGACTCGGACGAGGAGCTGTTCCAAGGAGTGGCGCTTGCCCAGAATACTTCTGAACAGACTGCAGAGCCGAAGGTAGAGACAGCTGAAGCTGAGAAAGTGACGCTCAGGACGACAATCAACAAGCTAACCACTTCCGGGCCTTCTGTGAGACGAGTCGGTCGTCGGTATGTGTCTGAAACCATTGGGTCTGCTGGACCACAAGTTTTCGATGGCCTGCCTCAGGGTGTTTGTTTCAGTGGCCAGAGGACGGGCCAGCTACCCACGCTTCCTGTTACGGAGGAGTTGATCGATGCAGCCGACAAAGATGGCCTCATCTCCAAGAATCCCCTGACCCAAGCGGGGCTGAAGAGTATGAGCCTCCCATCGAAGCGGCCGAATGAGCCGAGTATCGAGCCATCAAGTGCCAAACGACCGAAGATCGACTCTGTTGTTGCACCAGCCCTGTCGGCAACGACGGCGCTCGTCAACGGAGACGTGAGGGCTTTAGAACGTCGCCCCAGTACAAACACCCAGCGACATGTGAGATTCCAATCCTCACAGACAGCAAAGAATCCTAGGAATGGTACCAAATTCAAGAGAGAGGACTACCAGAGCCTTGGTTTCCCTGTTGTCAAGGACCCTAATGATCCGACTACAAAATTGCGCTTGAGCCAACAGAGCAGCTCACAGAAGAGCGATGAGACCAAGGCAGACAAGAAGCCCCACAAGCTTTCCAGCTCAGCTGAGGAGGCTTCCCCTATTACTTCGAGCAGTGAAAAGTCCTATCCGCATGTGTCTTCTACTTCCTCCATCAAAACCCATGTGGCAAATTCAGCTCAAGCGCAATCGCCGACGATACTTTCCGACCTTGGGGAATCCTGGACCTTCGTTTTGGATCAACCGCCGCCATCAGCAGCAGACGTATGTGCCACCATGCAAGGCAACAGCTTGCCTGATGTCATTTACCAAGACGCATTTTACAGCCAGGACAAAGATGTGCCGCCAAGGATGAGGGAGTATGCCGGCAGAGAGTTCCGCCTTGAGGGGATCTCTTTGCCCTTCCTGCCTGATTTCGACGCTACTGGCCAATCGCCTGCTACATACGGCCTGGGTGTAGAGGGCAATCCGAACAGCAAGAAACAGCCTGAGAAGGAGTATCAGAAGAGAAGCCGGCAATGCTCGTTGAGGAGCTGGGAAATTGCAGGGCCGCCGCCGACATTTCAAGAAGTCTATGACTGGTGGTTGGCGAAGCAGAGGAAAGAGACCCCAACTCCTGGTTCCCCGAACAAAGAGGCTACTTCTGCCGGAGCCTTTGCCACACAGAAGCCCTTCCTCTCGCAGATACTTGGGGCCACGCCAAAGAACAAGCATGGCTTCAAGTACTCCCAGAAGAAGAGAACCACCAGTGTACAACATGAGGCTCAGTATATGAGTACTATGAGTCTCGAGGTTCATGTCAATTCCAGAGGAAGGCTCGTTCCTAACCCAGAAGAAGACGAGATACAATGTATTTTTTGGGCTACCAAGTCAGACGAGAACTCGCAAGACGGCAGCCAACTACCAGACAGCACTCTGGCTGGTATCGTTGTGGTATCAGAGGATGGTGAAATCGCGCGGCGCATACGACGTCAAACGAAAGTAGAGGTGATAGAAGAGCCTTCAGAACTCGACGCCATGGTCCGAATGATCGAAATTGTCAGGACTCGTGATCCTGATGTCCTTGCAGGCTTTGAGGTGCACGGCAGTTCTTGGGGCTATCTGGTCGAGAGAGCCAGGCATAAGTATGACTACAACCTTTGTGATGAGTTCTCTCGCATGAAGACACAGTCTCACGGTCGCTTCGGCAAAGAGGCCGATCGTTGGGGCTTCAACACCACATCCACCATCCGCGTCACAGGCCGCCACATGATCAACATCTGGAGGGCAATGCGAGGGGAATTAAATCTTCTTCAGTACACAATGGAGAATGTGGTGTGGCATTTGCTTCATCGGCGCATCCCTCATTACTCATGGCGGACACTGTCGGATTGGTACACCAACGGCCGTCAGAGAGATCTGGCCAAAGTCTTGCGGTATTACCTTACGCGGACGAAGATGGACATCCAGATACTTGAAGAGAATGAGCTCATTCCTCGTACCAGCGAGCAAGCTCGATTGCTGGGCGTCGACTTCTTCTCGGTCTTCTCGAGAGGCTCACAGTTCAAGGTCGAGTCCATCATGTTCCGAATTGCTAAACCAGAGAACTTCGTCCTTGTTTCTCCGAGCAGAAAGCAGGTCGGCGGCCAAAATGCACTGGAGTGTTTACCTCTGGTCATGGAGCCTCAGAGTGCTTTCTACAATAGCCCTTTGCTGGTCTTGGACTTCCAGAGTCTGTACCCCAGTGTCATGATTGCACACAACCTATGCTACTCCACCTTCCTGGGACGAATCGTGAACTGGCGAGGCACAAGCAAGATGGGTTTCACCGACTACAAACGTCAAGAGCGGCTGCTCGAACTCCTACTAAATTATATCAACATCACACCAAATGGCATGATGTACGCCAAAGTCGAAATTCGAAAGTCTCTCTTGGCAAAGATGCTTACCGAGATCCTGGAAACCAGGGTCATGGTCAAGAGCGGTATGAAGCAAGACAGGGAAGACAAGACGCTACAGCAGCTCCTGAACAACAGGCAATTGGCCCTCAAGCTCCTGGCAAACGTCACCTATGGATACACGTCAGCATCGTTCTCTGGACGCATGCCCTGTTCCGAGATAGCTGATAGCATTGTTCAGACTGGCCGCGAAACCCTTGAGCGTGCCATTGCATACATCCACTCGGTCGAGAAATGGGGTGCCGAAGTCGTTTACGGCGACACAGACAGTCTCTTCATATATCTCAAGGGGCGAACCCGCTTGCAAGCATTCGACATAGGTAATGAGATCGCCAAGGCCATCACCGATATGAACCCACGCCCGATCAAACTCAAGTTTGAGAAGGTTTACCACCCTTGCGTCTTGCTAGCCAAGAAGCGCTATGTTGGCTACAAGTACGAGAGCCGCGATCAAGTCAAGCCTGACTTTGACGCCAAGGGCATCGAGACCGTCCGCCGCGATGGAACACCCGCCGAGCAAAAGATCGAGGAGAAGGCGCTGAAGATACTATTCGAGACAGCCGACTTGAGCCAGATCAAGAGCTACTTCCAAAGCCAGTGCGACAAGATCATGCGCGGGCAGGTATCCGTACAGGACTTCTGCTTCGCCAAGGAGGTTCGCTTGGGGACGTACTCTGACAAGGGCCCGCCTCCACCAGGCGCGCTGATCTCCACAAAGCGCATGCTCGAGGACGCAAGGGCCGAGCCGCAGTACGGCGAGCGCGTGCCGTACGTAGTGATCACGGGCGGGCCCGGGGCGCGCCTGATCGACCGGTGCGTGGCGCCCGAGGACCTCCTGAACAACGACCACGTCACGCTGGACGCCGAGTACTACATCACCAAGAACCTGATCCCGCCCCTGGAGCGCATCTTCAACCTGGTCGGGGCCAACGTGCGCCAGTGGTTCGACGAGATGCCCAAGGTGCAGCGGATCCGGCGCGTCGACGCCCAGGCCGCGGGGGGCGCCGGCGCCAGGAAGAAGTTTACCCTCGAGAGCTACCTCCATAGCGCGAGCTGCGTCGTCTGCGGGGCCAAGGTCAAGGTCAACGATAACAACAACGGTGGCGGCGGCGGCGGTAGCCGCCAAGAGGATGGCAAGGACGTCGCTCTCTGCTGGAGGTGCCGGCGCGACACGGCCGGGTCGCTGCTGCAGCTGCAGACGAGGCTGAACACGGAGGAGAGGAGGTACATGGAGGTCGTCAAGGTCTGCCAGAGCTGCGCGAGATTGTCGCCGCTGGACGACGTCCCCTGTGACAGCAAGGACTGCCCTGTCTTCTACACGCGGAGGAAGCAGGAGGCCAGGCTGAGGAGCGAGAGGGGCATCGTTGAGCCTGTTGTGAAGAGGCTCGCTGCCGCGGCGGGAGAGCTGGAGTGGTGAAGCTCAGCGCTTGGCTAGGATGAACCGGTGGTCTACTTTGTTTGGTTTCTATGGTCGGATGGCCGGAGTAGGATAGATAGGACGCTGTCATGGCTGTGATGCCTCGGGTGCATTATACAAGGCAAGGCATTCGGAAAAGGTCGTGGTTACGGCGTCGCAGGGCGGTATGGCGTGAGGGGCAACATAGTGACTAAATGTCAGATCATTGTGCGAGACAAGAATTCAAGCCTCTAATTTCACGAGCGATTCCAGAAAGTGCAATTTACAGGATCGTCATTCAATCACCTAGACAAGTGGCCTGTCTACCTCCGCTGCTGCGATTACCAACGGGACTACCTACCACCGCCGTCCTTCCTCCCATTTCCTCCTGTCGCAATGCAAGATGACAAGACAATCAATTTCGAGCCGTGTGATATGATAGAGAGCAGCAGAGAAAGAAGACTCCGTACCGTTTCCATCCCATCAGTTCAAGATCGATGTAGCAAGAAAAAGAGACTCAAGGAAAGGAAGCACGTAAATGTAGCAATGGGTAATCCTCGGCAGCACGTTACTCCGCAAACTCCCCTTTCCAGCTGCCCCGTCATTCCTGTGTGCGTACTGGTACAATGGGAAACAAACCTCAGGTAGGGTTGTCCTCCGATCAGGTCTGCAATACAGACATTCGGGCAGCAAGCTAAAAGCTCAGGTGGGAGAACCAGTGACGAGGTCAGGCCCACAAGGTATCAGTAAAGAGTTTGATGTGAGACCAGTCGGTGCGTAGATGCCGAACGAGTTTTCCAATGCCGAGACACGCAAAAGAAGATTAGGCATCATCAAGTTCGTAAAAGAGATTCTGAGGACGTGACGCTCGTTGTGGGCGGTTTGGATGTATTGCAAGTAGTAATAGGCATAGAAGCGGCGGGTTCTGGACCGCGTTCGATCTGCAATTTGCCGTATGTGTGCTCCGTTGACAAAAAAAGGAAATATAATCAGTGAGTGACTGAGACGATAAAGACTGGATGATGACTAGATCATGACCCAGATCTGATCGTCCCTAATGAGGGGCCGGGCGTACTCGCTCGAGACGGGTGAGAGTGGATACTCGAGTGGTCGTGACCGTGCTGGGACTGACGACTACCCTTTTTGCGAGTTAGGGTGCCAACATCATGCCTCCCTGTTCAGCTCATGTTAGCGAGGTTGATCTATAAACTTGTCTGCATTCATGTCGTCTCTGCTTACCATCACAGCATGACCGGACATTATCCAGCCTGTCGGCCTCCCTATCCTGCTTCTCGTACATCAACCTCAGGTCCTCCGCACTATCATGCACCTCATTGTTGTCGTAGAAGCTGCTTTGGTCCTGGGGACCGCTGCGGCTTTTCAGGGTGCTGATCGAGTCCTGGGTGGACTTCCAGTACCCGCTGAGCCGGCCAGTGAAGGACGGCCGCGAGATGCTGGCCGAAGATGAGGCTTTCTTGTGGTTCGGCGTCAAGGTAGGCACGTCCAGGTTCATAGCAGAGTGGCTGCGCGTCCCCTGGGAGGTGTATGACGAGATGGAAGGCGGCGCCCGTGGCCGTGTGCCAGCTGCCGGGCGGCGACCGTATTGTGGGTTGAACTCGTCAACATCTTCCCTGGTGATGCCGTTGACCATCTCCTCCGTATCTGCCTGGCCTTCGCTATTGGTCCGGAGAAGCAGGTAAGAGAGGGCGTTGAACCATGTCTCGTGCCGCTGGCCTGTGGTACAGGTAAACTGACACTTCGACCAGGTGAAATGATAACAAGACTCTTGCGGTGCAGCCCAGGGGGCATGGGGTTATCGTCTGTGACGACACGCACCGCCTCGATCGGCACGCTCTTGGCTCGGAGCTCGGACCGGCCAGCATTGCTGGGATCCCGATCACTCCAGTACAGAGTCCGGGTGTACGGGTGGACCCAGAAATACCGACGGTGTCTCTTCTCCGACATCTCGCCGCGGCCGGCCTTGCGAGTGTACTTCCACAGGTATTCGCCAATCATGGTTTGAGTGATGGCTTGAATCATGCGCGGGTCGGTGTTGGGCCCAAAGCCGTGCGGATCCATGCCCATTCCACCGATGTTCTGGAAGCGCGCGTCCACCTCGGAAGCGAAGCTCGAGACAGACGACTTCCGGCTTCTCGCCGTGAGCCGTGTTGGTGAGTGGACCTCTACAGTTCCGTGCGCAGAGTCCATCCTGTCCTGGCGAGGCGTCGGCGTGCCCTTGACGCTTGCATTGACGGACCTGGCTGACATAGGCGTCCTAGGCCTGGTCAACGGGTTCTTGTAAGCAGAAGCAGGGAAAAGCGGTGGCCCCATGCTGCCAATTGTACCGTGTCCGCTGTTGGCAGTGCCGGTTCTTGCAGCCTCAATGGCCTCCTTATGGTTCGGCGGCAGTGGCGGCGCGTTCTTCAGCGAAGCACGAGCGCTGGATGCGCTGTCAGGTCTGCGAGAGGCAGCTTCGGCAGCGAATTCGGCGCCGGCCTCCATTGCTCTAGTCTTGGGCTTGAGGATACTGTTCAGGCTTTCATGTGACTGCTGCACGCGGACAGTAGTGCCAGGTGTCCCCACGCTGTTCGCACTCACAACAGAGTCGGACTTCCGGTGGCCATGTGCTTGTGGTCTGCTCTTAGCCTGGAGTATCTGATCAATAACGTCGGCTGTCAGTGAGGTCTGAGCACCCGAGTCAGACATCTTGACGCTCTCTTTGAGAGTAGGCTGTGCGTTGGTGTTGGCATTGGCCGAGATCTCCCGGAATGGACGTTGCGATTCTGGCGTCCCCGTCAAAGGTGTGTCTCTTGGCGATTGTCTAGTCTCATCCTCGGCGATGAATGGCGTCTCGGGTTCTTGGCCCTTGCCTCGTCCAAACAGAGAGTCGAAGAAACCCTTTGATGGAGTCGACGTCCGCTCGTCCTGGTCTCGTGGGATGATGAATGCATTCCTCTTCGGGCTTCTAGGCGAGACAGGCTCGGTGTCTAACGACTCGATGCGGGAGAAGCCAAGCGGAGCAACAACCTGCTTTCCACCGGTGCTTGACTGGGAATCCACCGGTGCAGTGTCCAGGGACTGTATTGATGAGAAGTCGAGCGCAGCATGCGCAGGCTTTCTCGCGACGACTTCTTTCTCGCTGGGTTGAGCAGGTTGGACTGGCTCGACGTGCTCGGAGATAATAGACGATACGCTCAGCGGGGGCGGGAGCGTCTTGGGCTCTGACCTTGGCTCAATGTGCTCAGAAGCAATACCCGAGACAGACAAGGCAGGCCGAGGCTCAGCTCGGGGTTCAACGTTCTCTGCCACAATGGAGGACATTGAGAGAGGAGTTGGGAGCGGCTGAGGCTCAGCTCTTGGCTCCACGTGCTCTGAAGCTATCGCAGACAGAGAAAGTGAAGGGAGAGGAGTCTCGGGTTCTGCCTGTGGCTCAATGCCTTCGGCCACGAGGGTGGAAAACGACAAATCCGCCGGGGACGGCTTGGGGGCCTCCACGTACTCCACGACTCGGATTGTTCGTGGCTCTGGGTCGGGTACAGCCACGGGCTCAACTTCTGTAGAGGCAATTGAGGAGAACACCAGTTCTGCAGGAGGTGGCTTTGGCGCGTCCACGTACTCCACAACGCGAACCGTTCGCGGCTCAGGTTCAGGCACGGCCACGGGCTCGATCTCCGCGGTAGAAATCGAGGAGAGTACCAGCTCCGCGGGTGGTGGCTTTGGCGCATCTACATACTCCACAACACGTACGATCTGCGGCTCAACCTCGGGCACGGCCACGGGCTCAACGTCTGCAGCCAGGATTGAGGAGAGCGCCAGTGTCGGCAACGGCTGTTCTGGCTCGGCCACCGGCTCGACGTCCGTGGCAGAGATTGAGGAGAACGCCAATGGAGGCAGTGGCTTTTCCGGCTCAGCCAGCGGCTCAACATGCTCCGCCACTACCGATGACATGGTCAAAGTAGGAGGAGCAGGAGGTGGCACTTCAGGCTCGGCGATCGGCTCCACCTCCCAGGCGACCAGGTCGGACATGCTCAATGTAGGAGGCACCACTTGAGGCTCAGGGATGGGTTCAACGTGCTCGTAGACGACGCCGGACAGGCCAAGTCTTGGAGGGAGAACAGGCTCGGGTACAGCCTCAGGCTCCGCCAGGGGCTCAACCTCCTCGGCGTGCACAGTAGACATGGTGAGCGTCTGGGGCGGTGGCAGAAGCGGCGTTGGTATGGCGCCGATTGTGGGCGGGGATCTAGTGGCCTGAGCGGATGCTTCATCCATCTCGGAATCATGCTGAGCCACGGAATCACTATACGAGATTGTCGACGAAGGACGGTCTCGAACAGCGCTGGCGACCGAGTCAAGGGACACGGGTCTTTGTAAAGTCCCGGCCGCTGAGACGGTGTGTACATCGACCGGCTCCGTCATCATGCCGCTATCCACCATCATGGCCCTTGGAATGCTGGGTACAGCTGGCACAGCAGAAGCCAGCGACGCGGTCCGCCCTGTTGCGGTCGATCCTGGCGTGACAGAGCGGAGGCTCCGTTGGCCGGGTGTGTTCATGACCGAGTCTTCGTCGCTACCTTCGAGCTCATTAAGCTCGGCAAACAAGCTCTGTTGTGGCATGCCACTTGGCCCAGAGAAGCTGCCGTTGGGATTGGTGGCCGGGCTGCTTTGCAGAGAGGGCCCGTCACTGAGCTGTCTTGAGCGTCGGGACATGGTGCTACGACTGGAACGCAATCGCATCATAGATGGAGAGTTGGGCGTCCTCGTGGGATCCATGTAGTCTCCCTCGTCCTCGCTCGCAGACGTCGAAGCAGTGCTCTCATACGAGTACTGCTGGTTGGCCGCGAGGATAGGTGCTCGCTTGAGAGCATTGGCCCTAATTGTGGCCCTCTTTGTGGGACTCTCAGTCTCGGTGTCAGAACTGAAGAAGTCTTCTGCACCAGTCTGGAAGTCGTCAGTCTCAGTGCCACGCTCATGAGCTGTCTCGAAAGCGTCGGTAGTCTCGTGCGCCTCATTAGCCGTCTCAAACTCATCTGTCTCGGTAGACGGAAAAGCAACATCGGCCATCCGGGATGAATGCCCGAGGGGCGGAGAGCCCTTCTGAGTCGCAACCTCCTCCCATTCGGGATCTTCCAAGTGCAGGATCTCGGCCTTGACGGCACGCGAAGTGCCCAGCTTGTCAAGCTTCGCTGGTTTCTTGAATTCGCGGGACTTGGCCTCCCTGGCACGCCTGTGGTGAGGTCGCTCAGCAGGATCGCTGCGCATCTTTTCAATTTCATCCCTGGCATCCTGGAGCAGTCGCTTCAGCTCGAGCTTCTCGGTCTTCTCTCGGTGAACGTTGGTGCGAAGACTCTGGATCGTGCGCTGCGCATGCTGAAGGGAGGTCTTCAAAGTTTCGCTCTCAAGCCCCGAATGTCTGGGGGTCGGCTTGATGGGTGAAGGAGGAGGGGAGTGCTCCGGGGTCAGGTTACCACCGGCATTCTCCAGGTCATCCTCACTACTTCCAGAGGGTGTGTTTCGTTGGCTGGTCCTTCCCCTCTCCATTGAGATAGCCTTGGCAAGCTCCTGGTTCTGGCTGGTCAACTCGTCGATCTTGCGCTGCATCTCTGCGCGCTCGCCCTCGGCTATCACTGCATTGCGCTTGGCCATGCCAAGCTCAATATCGTGGTGCTTGACAGCTGCCGCATGTTCATCAGCAAGCTTTGAGTGCGCCGTCTTGATCTCGTCGAGTTCCCGTTGGGTCGAGTTCTTGTCGGCCTGGAGGAGGTTGAGTGAGTTCGTCAACTTCTTCTCCCGGTCTGAGGCATCCTTTTGCGCGGCCATGAGCTCTTGGATTTGCGTCTCCAAGTTCCAATTCTCGTCCTTGTAGCGCATCTCGCTCTCATCCAGGTCCCTCATCCGCTGTTGGAAGCCTTCCACCTCCCTCTGGAGGCCGGACTTGTCTGACTTGGCATCTTTGAGCTCCTCGTCCCTCTCCTGAAGGAGGGCCTGCAGGTTTCGGACCTGGGTGATGAGTGATGTACTGATCTCGGCGGCAAATTCGATATCATGGATGCGATTGGCAGGCTGGTTCCGCAACTTGCGGTTCGGTACGCTGAACTTGCTGGGCGATCCAGTGGCTAGACTTTCGAACTTGTCGAATTTTGAAGGGCTGGCGGACCTCTGAGGAGAAAGTCGTTAGCTGGTGCCCACATCTGCAACGGATTCACGTTGACTTACCCTAACTCCGCTCTTATCCGGAGTGAAAGGCGTGCCCACAGCCACCTCGTTGCTAGGAAGTCGCTGCTTGGGAAGAAACGCCCTAGCACTCTCACGCGCAACCTCGTTGAAGTCCTTTTCGATGCTCGTGAGTTTCTTCTTGAGATCCGGCGACAGTTCCTCCTCGGCCTCGAGTTGCTCCACCTCCTTGAGTCGATCTTCGAGCTCCTTGCGCTGCTGGACCAAGGCCGTGCCGAGCTTGCCGGCTTCTTCCATGCGTCTGTCGGTGTCGGCAAGGTGAGCCTCGAGTGCATGCTTCGCTGAGGTCGCTGAAGCACCAGGGCCGAGCGCAAAGGTATGCGAGTCGAAGCCGGCGTGTCGTTGGATGGTAGGAGTGCCGGTAGAGAGGAAGGGATCGGGCTCTCCCTGGCCGAGGACCAGGGAGGGCTTATCGGAAGCCATCGAGGTAGCCATTTGTGTGCTAGCGACACAAAAAGCAGCACGATGCCTTCGAACAACGAGGCGTTGTTAGACCATGGACAAAGGAGTGCAGACGAGAGCGTGGAGGTCTGTGGAAGGAGTCGGGTCGTTGAGGACTGCCCGAAGGGGAAATTGTCCTTTCCACCCTACGGGAGAGTGACCCCGCGCTGGATCCAGTCCGCCCAGATGAAGGGGGAAAACACGTGAAATCCTGTTTAAGTGGTGGCAGCCAAAGAGATGAAACAGCACGCGAAGGGGCGGGCCGTGAATAGAAAAACGAGACGGTGAAGAAAACGGCGACCGTCAGCGAAAAGACGCAGGACTGGAATGAACGAATGAGCCGCGTTGTTGTGTTGTGTTGTGCTGTGCTGGTCCCGGGTGTTGTGTGTTATGTCGTGTTGTCGTGTTGACCTGGGCCAGTCCCTAGGCTCCGGCTAGCAAGCGGGCTTGCGTGATAAGCGGGAGGGGGGGTGTCGAGCTGGGCGTGCAGCTGGCTGCTTGTCTTATGTTGTGGCGTGTGGTGCGGTGCAGCGGTCCCAGCAGTGCAGGTGCAGGTGGGATGGTTGCAGTCAACAAGGCCCCTCAGTCCAGGTCGGCAGGTCAGAATGCGGCAACCTGCAGGAGGAAGATCGAAACGGAGTTGGGACGAGCCGGGGTGGGCAGGGTAGCGACAACGAATTAGGGGGCGTGGCCAAAGGCGCAACAGAACAAGGCGGGCGAACTGGTGGCGTCCAAAAAGCGGCGCCACGCGGCACGAAATCGTGTCGTGGTAAAGAATCGGTCGAACTGACTCCAGTTGAGTCGATTAGAAGAATTATAAATCGGTCTTCGGGTTGCTGCTTGAGAGACACCGCAGTACAGGCCGGTTAAGACGACTGTGGTGGGCAGGACAAGCCAGCAAGGTCGGTCGCAATCGCTGCTGGTGCTGGTGGAGGGAGTGGATGGAGCGGGAGAACAGGGTCCCGGCTCGTGGTGAGAACAGCAACAAAGAGCAAGCAAGCAATAACTCAAAAAAAGGGTCAAGTAAGATACACAATGATACAGTACAGCCGCAGCCCAGCCCAGCGTGGAAGGCAGAGTCTGGCTGGAGCTACGGGGGCGAAGGGGAGTGGGAAGGGAAAGGGGGGAAACGAGGTCGAGGTCGAAGGTTAGGGTAAAAGGAAGAAGAAGAAGATGTCTGGCCTCGACTCGGCTCTCTCCCTCTCACACAGTCTCTCTCTCACTCTCAACGGTGTCTCGGTGAGGGAAGGGGCGCGGGCGAGGAGCAAAAGAAGGAGAATAGAGGGAGGGGGTGGGCGCGCGAGCAAGCGAGAGATTGAGATTGAGGTCAAGGGAACAGACCTCGTCGACAGGGCCGGAAGAGCAGGGTGGGGATCTAAACGAAATCGCCTGCTGAGCCTGTGATCCACATTTTCCATATTCACCCAGGGACATGGGCCAACACCTAGAGGACGCGCGAGGCCGGGATGAGTTGGGTACGGTGGTTTGAGATTTAGATATTTGCACACCGTAGAATTGCGAACCATCAATCTTCACTCGCCCAACCGACTCACTGCCACAACGCAGATGCGGGATCAGCAGAATCAACATCAGCACCAATATCGGCCAATGTTCAATGTCAACACAGGCCAGACCGGGGTGGGACGAGCGGGATTGTCAGGATGAGTAATTTGCTGCAGGGGACATCCAGTCTCGCCCGACCCCAGGAGCCAGCCCGACAGGAACTAGAACATCGAAACACCGCTCACAGGTCCTGCGCAAGCGTTGGCAGTTCGCTCTCCCGTGCTGCCGCTAGCAAAGTGACAACCCATTCCGACACACAAGGTAGACTACGTGCCAATAAGAACAGTGTGACGTGCATCGACACAGGAAGCCCGGCCGAGCCTGACCCGACCCCCAAGAAAGTCTGGTTCCGGCTGTCGGCCACGTGTGAAACGTGCGCTCATCACGGCGCATCTTCATCAAGGTGTGGAGCAGAGGCATGTCCGGCAGAAGTTGGCAAGCGGGATCTCGGCTGCTGAGGGAGAAACACGGGAATCTGTCGTCTGTGGGTATGTGCATGTGTGAGAGCACTGGGGCTTTCAGCGTCGAGGGATGCACAAAGCCCACTTTCCCCGTATTCACATCGCATGCGTGCGGGCCTTCACGCGCGACACAGCTAGCTGTCTCTCCTTCTCCATAGCAACCACGCGGCCACGCCTTCAGCCTCTATCTAGCCTAGACACGGTGATTCACAACACACGCGCGCACACACACAAACCTGCAAGCGTTTCGTGCTACCGAAACGACTGTCCTGAAGAAGCAAGTGCTCACCACCCACCCCATCGTCGATGCGCTGGCAGGAGGTGAGTCAACTCTGCCTGTTGTGAAGAAGAGTGCATAACAAAACACGCTCTACTCATTAACCGCTCAGGGGTCCCCCTTGCACATCTCTGGCCTTGGCGTGCACTCGCGTATCCACAGCCGGCACTGTTAGTCTGTGCATCACCTACTTGGAGGACGTCAACTCTCATGATATCGAGAGAGAGAGAAAGAAAAAAAAGTTTTAGATTGCGGTCATGCGGCTGCGACAGGCCGGCGAAGGAAGAGACATGGTATGAGCTCACAACCTGGGCCGTACGATCTGAACCAAGGAGACGTCATCCTCTAGACATCACACCCCTGCAAGAGAATGTGCCCACTACGGAATAGACTAATTAGTCTAGGTCAGTCAGCATGCAGCACTTGGTGGACATAAGATTATATTCATGTGCTTTCCACATGCGTCCATATCATAGCCTCACGCGCACAGAAAGTAGCATATATCTCGAGGGCTTGGACAAAATCTACATGAGGCGCAATATTGAATGAGAGGTTTGCCTGAGATTCCGCGAACAGTACCACGATGCATTCAATTGCGCCTGAGTCTTTTCCTCTGCAAACGCTCCCCAGAGCGGGTCGGAGGGGCCAGCAGACACGGCGCCTGCAAGCCTAGCATATAAGGCCAGTCTATCTAAGTATCGCCAGAATCGCCCTTTCTAAATAGGCGTATCAGTATTTTGATAGACCGAATAGAGTCTCTTTGAACAGAAGGCCAGCCTAAACAGAGATCTTCCTTTTGAATAGAGTGTTTATTTTAGACATAGGGGTTTTCATTGAACAGATGGGCCATCTTACCAGAGAAATCTATCCAGTAAAACGCTCCTTCCCTCAAAAGCATTCGGAGCTCTTCCTTACATAAAAGGTAGCGCTGTCTTGCTTTGAATTAATGTATTAAGGATAGCTGCCTTGTCTCTGTATTCCCTCTCGTGAGATGGGTGTCTTGGGTATAAGCATAATAAGCGTGTAATATATCTGTATACCATCCGTTTCTTTCTGTGCGAATATCCGTTCTCTTAAATAGGGTGACTGGGAAAGGATTCTCTATTGATCTTAACACTCGTTGGAGGAAATCTCTCTGTACAGACTGATTTTCTGTTTGGAAGAGGCCAAGGACTTCTTTTCGGACATAGACCATTAGGGAATATATCAACAGAGTCGTCTCGAATGTTGACCTTTGTCTGTATCAACATAATTGTAGACATTCTGTCCCCTGAACCCCCAAACTTGCTATAGTAGTGGAGTGTGAACTCCGATTGATCTTAGGGCGCCAGTCCATACGCAAATTCCCACAATTGATTCCAGAACTCGAACCCTTCATATTGGCCACCGCCGTGCGCAACTATGTCCCCAATCATTGCCGGATCTGCAGGAGCGACCCCCGGATTCAGCGTTGACAAGTACCAGCGCTCGATACTTCGATATGCTTCGGCATACTCGGCGAAAATGGGCCGGCCGTGGAGCACGATTGCACATCGGGGACTACCCAGGCAGCTGGCGGCCCCAAATAGTTTGCTCAGCTGACGCAGAACTTCGGGAAGGTTGTATATCGTCCGCACAGTCTCCAAGTCCCAGCCACGATCTTCCACGCTCAGAAGCCTGAAATCCTTGATGATGGCCAGAGCAAGATGAAGAATGGAGACAAAAGTGAGAGAAGGGTAGGATTCGACCGGCACCGAGCGAAAAGCGTCGCAAAGCGCTTGCGTGCTCTCTAAGCAATCCCACATGGTGCGACATCTCAATTGTGTGTTCTCGAGTACGTCACTGCTGTCACCGTGTTTGAAAGGCTCGAACAAGCGAATGCGAAGGGCGGCGCCGTGGGATCGCAAGAGGTCTAGATAGGTGTCAGCTGTGACTCCCGGCGATCATGGAGAGACTAACGGTTCCACTTCAGATGATCCGGTAACTGTTGCATGAAATCATCCAACTCCCTTCGAATAGAAGCTACGGCTATAGAGTAAAACTTCCGATGGACGCCATCATTGGAGACTTCAATGGTCTCCCAAAAAGCATCATTCACCTTAGCCGCGATATTCTGCAAGCGGACGAGGTTCACCAGCAATGGGTCAGTAGAATACTCTTGGTCCTGTATCAGTTGCTTACAGCACTGGTCCAAGTGTGAGGTGTGTTCGAGTCTCGATCGTGTGCCGACGAGGCCGCACAATCTAAAGTGGGCTGCGTGATGAGTACAGTGGAAGGCGAGAGACAAAAGGGGGGGGGGGGGCGGACTCACGAAGACGTTATATACTACACGCCTAGTATAGCTCGATGACCGTCGCTGGTTTGCTTGGGCTGAGGTGGGAGGTCGTTTCTCAATTGAGCCGCGTCCTCGACGATGGATGCAAAGGTGGAATTCACGGGCCGGCGGGGTTTGTTGAGGCCCAGATCCCCGACCAGGCCTATCGCCAGTTGCAAAAGGCTTGTATCCTTACACGCGGCGTAGAAATATATATTGTTCCTGGCAAGTAAGCCCATCAGTAACCAAATATGTAACAAAACAGCTGCGGAGAGACGAATCATTGGTTGTTCTCACCAGGCAAGAAACACCAGAATAGTTTGGACAAGCTCCAAGCTCTTGTTCGCAAGAACCACAGTCTGATGTGCAATATGTTGTCGCAACCGGCTCTCAAAAGCAGCGGATGCCTCCGGCTTCGGAGGCCTACAAACCCGCAATATGGTCTTCAGAAGGAGCGGCTTGTCTTTAAACATGTCGTAGGCGTTGTGGCAGGGCAGCGGGACGAAAGGAAATTGAGGAAGCATGAAGGTCACGTATTCTTGGAGGACCTGGTCCGCTTCAACGAAAGGGATTTCGAAACCTGGAACTATGGGAATAGAGCCAGATCGCGGTGGAAATGATGCCTGGACAGGCTGGATCAATGGGATTGAGGAAAACTCTTGGTCCGATGCTTGCGTTGTGGCTGGTGTGTTGCTGTTCCCTTCTTTCGAGAGGGGAGGCGTGTTCGGTCTACCGCTCAGCAGGAGCCGGGCGCTCATGGTATCGATCCAGGAGCATCGCAATGTCATCCAGCTTTTTTACGATTATTTTTGCGCGGCTACAAATGAGCGACTCGTCAGTGTGTCTTCTCGATTCTGTCGTTACCGTCCATTTCGCCTTGGGGAGGTAGGGGAGGGGCAGGGAGCTTACGTCGCCTTGCCTCGCCTCTTGTCTGAGACAGGGCGCGACTTAGAGCAAGAAAGACTGTTTTTAAAGCATCTTCAGGATGGTTGGATGACCTGAACCAAGATACAGGGAGAGAATAGCAAACCTTTGGCAGACATGGCCACTGTCATCTTGTGTGGCCGGCCAGACACACCTCACCTTAGCCCGGGGAGCAGTTGGCGCAGGCCCGGGTCTTCTCCACGTGCGACGAGTCGGGCATGCTCGCAAAAGAGCAAACAGAACAGCGAGAAATTTTGCTAACTCAAGGGGTGATTCCAAGTTTGAATTGGTCAGGGGGTACGAGACATTCAAGAGTGCTAAAGGAACCATGAGAGCGGAGCGGAGGGCAGAAAGGCACCCGACAAACTATGAGCACGGGCTACCCATTGTGTGACGACCAATGACATAGCCGCCTTGTTCAACGACCTCGTCGGGGCGCTTTTTGCTCTCCGCTGCCGCCGGCCTTTACACCAACCAGATCTGCAACCCCCGTTCGGCCCCGTTGTTTGACCCTGACGTTTTGCTTTGCTTCGGCGGCGGCGATTTCTTAGCCGCCGTTGCATCGGCTTTGAAATGTAAGCACCTCTACCCGATTAAACTTTCACCGGCACTTCATCCTGACACTGCAGCACCTCGTGAGGACTACGAAACGAGAAACTATGGAGGAGAACAAGGCTGCATCGTCAGAGACGCCTGCGGCGCCCGTCGCTGTCTTCAAGAAGCGAGGCGCAAAGGCCAAGATGAATTTCAGAAAGAGGCCTGCGACGCCACCACCTGCAAACAGCGATAGCGATGACTCCGACTATACCTCCGCAGAAGATGACCAAGGCAGGAAGGTCAAGCGCAGGAAGAAGAGCACGGGTATTGTCACAGCATCTTCAAAGGACAACCCAGCGGTAGATAAGGACCTGTCCGCCTCTGTCTTTAGTGCCGACCGCAGCGTACCCATAAGTAACTCCAATGATGCTATGAAGCAGAGTAACTGGTATGACGAGGAAGCGAAGGATGCACTGTTAGCAAAGAACCTCCTGGGTTTAACTCGAGCCGTGCCGGGGACATAGGCGCCGGATGGCACATACAAGGGGCTGGCAAACCAGACCTCCTTCATTTAGAAGAACCCCAATGCACCCAAGAAGACGGTTGGCCCTATCAAGGCCCCCACGAACATCTGCACGATCATAGTTATGGACTACGCCCCCGACGTGTGTAAAGACTATAAGCAGACCGGCTTCGCGGCTTTGGCGACAACTGTAAGTTCTTCCACAGCAGAGAGGACTATAAGCAGTCGTGGGCCCTGGATAAAGAGTGGGAAGACGTCATGAAGGGCAAGAAGAACCTCGGCGGGATAGTGGTGGCTAGCGCGGACCGGAAGAACAGGACGGCGGAGGATGAGGATGACGCGGAGGACGAGGACGACGCGGAGGAGGCGCTGCTGGAGAACATCCCGTTTGTCTGCTAGATCTGCCGAGGACCTTATAAGGCGCCCGTTATTACGCGATGCGGTCATTACTTTTGTGAGCCTTGTGCGCTGAACCGGTATCGTCGAGATCCGAGCTGTGCGCAATGCGGCGCGGGCACGAACGGGGTGTTCAACTTCGGTAAGAGGTTACAGAAGCTGTTGGATAAGAAGAGGGAGCGTGCGGCGAAGAGGAGACAGGAGGCTATCGAGAGAGGCGAGGAAGTCAGTAGTGATGATGAGGAGGGAGGGGAGTAGGGATGGGTCACGCGAGCATGACGCTGGCATACCGTAGCCGTGTAGCGCCCACGGCTGGCCAGGTTGCCCGGAAGCTGTCTGGGGCCCCATTTTCTGGTAGAGTTGCAGCTCTCCAAACGAGATTAAGCCTGAGGGCTATCAAAGATTTATGTCCAGTCTTGGTGCTATTCATAATGAGACAGAATAAACGTATGATGATTCCCAAAAAAGCATAACTCCTGAAGTGAGGTACTGTTATAAGTCATGCAGGCAGAGCAAGGTGCCTGGATAGTGCAATGTATGGAATTGGTCTCGAAGCATGCAACATCTTTCAAAGGCTCTCCTCTAAATCTACCCTAAGTGGTCCGGATTCGTATGCTTCATTGGTAAATACGGTCTGCTCGCTTCAGCCCTTTGACAGTTCGACTCATGCAAGCATAAAGCCGCCATTTCATAGAGCGTGTCCGGCGTCGCTAGGAGACAACCGGGTATCCACTACTGAAAGCCAGGCTGACCCCCACCTGAGCGAGGCAGCCCTGCAGCCCAGCTGAGACAAGCAGGACAAGCAACCCATGCCTGGATGGGTGCAGCAGCTGCCCCTCGTCCCATGTGATCTCGCCTTTTGTCCCCTGGTCAGTTGCATCATCAGACGTGTTTCCCTCTCTTATCGAGCCGCCAGGCAGCCTCGGGTTTTGATGACCTACGGACCAAAAGACCGCGGGTTCCTACTTTACATCCACCTAGAACTATCCTCCTGCCTCTTCATCAGCGAACCTAGCCTAGACATCCCTTCTTCTGCAACACACAGCTTCTCTACAACCCCTCATTTCTCCGAGCAATACCGAATCTCACAAGGCGAACCCCCGGCGCCGATCGCGCAATCCCCACCATGAACATCGGCAACCCACTCTATTCCATCGTCAACAAGCTGCGGGACACATATACACCCGTCAGCAACACCTCGACCTTCCGCAAGACCGGCCAGATCACGCCGGAGGAGTTCCTCGCCGCCGGCGACTACCTCGTCTTCAAGTTCCCAACCTGGTCCTGGGCCGACGCCGACCCCTCCTCGAAACGCGTCAGCTACCTGCCCGCAGCGAAGCAGTTCCTGGTGACGCGCAACGTGCCCTGCCACCGCAGGTTAGATGCCGACTTTGCGGGTGATGCCGGGCACGAGGAGGCGCTCGTGAACGACGGCGACGACTTCCAGGGCCAGAAGGGCGGCGATGAGGACGGTTGGCTGAGGACGGGCGGACTGTCGAGTAGCCAGCCCTTGAAGGTTAGGGAGATCAGGACGGTAGACGACGCTGGCAACGTGGGCGACGGGCAGGTCGTGGAGGATGATGATGATATCCCTGACATGGAGGACGAGGACGATGATGAGGCCATCATCCGGGATGTGGAAGGCGATGGCTTCAACAGGTATGTCTGCGCCACGGAGCTGCTGGCGCGCAGATACATGTCCATGGCACTCTAGCTGACTGATACTCTGCAACAGTGGCCGTCGAACATATACACTCTACATCATGTACTCGCCCTACTACCGCACACCACGGCTCTACATGTCCGGCTACCTGCCAAACAGCCAACCACTCCCACCACACCTAATGATGGAGGATATTGTGGGCGACTACAAAGACAAGACAGTCACGCTCGAGGACTTTCCCTTCTTCGCCAACAACATAAAGATGGCCTCTGTGCACCCCTGCAAGCACGCTTCAGTCATGAAGACGCTCCTGGACCGCGCGGATGCGGCGCTCAAGATCCGGCGCGACAAGCTCAAGGCTGGCACAGCCACGGGCTCTGTGGATAAGGGCATGGAGGGCCTCGTCGACGAGATCAACAAGCTCGATGTGAGTGGCGCCGCGTCTGATGCGGCGGAGAGCAAGGGGAGTGGGGATGAGTGGGAGGAGGTCGGGCATGACACGGACGACGAGGTTGCCATTCGGGTAGATCAGTACCTGGTGGTCTTCCTCAAGGTATGTACCGCTGCAGCGAAAGGAACCTGCTGGTGGTGGCTACAAATACTGACTCTGCTCGACTACAGTTCATCGCGAGCGTGACGCCAGGCATCGAACATGATTTCACCATGGGTGTCTAGACACAGGAGTGCGGTTTCTTTGTCTTTGTCCTTCGGCGTTGAGAAGGAATCTAAGTTTGCGCAGCCGCACCTAGCGTGAAGCGCTCCAGGTGCAGGTTTATAGGATCGGCGTTGGCATCAAGAATGTATCTGGTCATGGGCAGCACGAGAGTTAGGTCCGGATTGGAATAATCATACGGGTGCCTTTGTGCTCCAACTCTGAGATGCGTAAGCCACTCGGATGCGCGACATGTGCTGTCTCACTTCTTGAATGTAGCCTCGCAAAAAACCACAGAGACACTGTGCTACTCCATACCTACTCCTGGTACCCAAGTACAAGGTTCGGCTTAGACACGGTCGGGCCGTCTTCTTGCTTGCCGCAACCCTTCGGCTTCAATTCCCGGGAGTGCGAGCCCCGATGCATGTGTTGTCGTCGTCCCAGCCTATGACCTCATAAGCCCCGAGTCACAGCTATTTACGAGTCACGAGACTGAGATGTTCATTGCTCACTGCCATGTTCATCTCGGCTCTATTCTGCAATGAAGAGTAATCTCACCATTCAGGGGGCCGGTCAATGGCAGGCTAAGTGTCACTAGGGGCCGTGTGGAGATAAGAAATTACGTTGCCCCCAAGACTTGGGCTCCGGCGCTGTGGAGAAGGTGCGCCTGAGAGCTTGCAGCGGGCGGACAGGCGGGCACGCAGGAGAGTGGGCAGTGCCTAGAGCATCATACTCCACGCTGACGACGTGTCTCGCATCCATCATGCTTGGCGACACCTCGTAGCTTCTTCTGTGTCGCAGGCAACCTCTTTTAACTCTTGTTGCATCTCTTTCCTAATCTTTGCTTCCTCGGATGACCTACCCCTGCCGACTGCCCCTATTCGAGACGAGGCAATTCACAGCTCTCGGCCCGGCTGATGACGGAGCTCCCCAACACATCGGCCTAAACCTCGGAACCAGCCTCGAGACACTCAGCAACACCATTCTAGACCGTTTCGATGGCTGCTATTCGTAGCTTGGACCATTCCAAGCAAGTTTGATCGACTCCGTGGCTCTGGGAGGCATTCTGTGGAATACGAGACTGACCGGAAGTTTTGCGCAGGTCCGAGCAGGAGTTGGCAATCAACATCAAGAAGGCGACGAACCCGGACGAGACCGCACCCAAACGAAAGCATGTGCGCAGTTGCATCGTGTACACATGGGACCACAAGTCCGGCCAGTCCTTCTGGGCCGGCTTGAAAGTGTGCGTCTATTCCCCAGCGTGTGCTCTTCCACCCCCGAGACGAGGAGACATACCACCACCGATTCTACAAGGAACATCTCCCAGAAGGAAGCGCGAACATCCAGATCAGACGCACGCACGTCGTGTGAAGTGCGCATATGGCAGGCGAAGCTGTGGCGGCCCATGGTCCCCCATCACAGCTTGGTGCGCTGGTTACAAACCACAGGAGGCAACAGTCAAGAGGAGGCCGATCTTCCAAGTGGAAGCTTCATCGTGAGGACAGAGCAGAAGACATCACCAGTGGCGGCGATGATCCATTGCGATTGCACTTAATGGGAAATGCGCTGACATATCTGTAGACAGCCCATTCTTGCTGACGAGGTCCAAACCTTCAAAGCCTTGATTATGGTCCACAAGGTCATTCAAGAAGGCCACCCCAACGTAATCAGAGAAGCTCTGGCGAATAGAGGATGGATCGAGAGTCTGAACAGAGGCATGGCCGGAGAGGGCATGCGTGGATACGGCGCGCTTATTAAGGAATATGTCTACTTCCTGCTCGCAAAGCTCTCGTTTCACCAGCAACATCCCGAGTTCAACGGAACTTTCGAGTACGAAGAGTACCTCAGCTTGAAGTCAACCAACGATCCAAACGAGGGCTATGAGACCATCTCAGACCTCGCGACCCTTCAAGACAAGATAGACCAGTTCCAGAAACTGATCTTCTCCCACTTCCGCAACGTCGGCAGCAACGAGTGCAGGATATCAGCCCTGGTACCGCTGGTGGCAGAAAGCTATGGTATTTACAAGTTTATCACTAGCATGCTGAGAGCCATGCACTCGATGACCGGTGACGTGGAAGTGTTGGAGCCGCTTCGTTCCCGTTACGACGCCCAGCATTATCGCTTGGTCAAATTCTACTACGAATGCTCAAATCTTCGTTACCTCACGAGCTTGATCACAATTCCCAAGTTGCCTCAGGACCCACCAAACCTGCTTGCTGAGGACGAGAATGCGCCAAAGCTGCCTGCAAGGCCGAAGCAGGAGATTGAGCGAGCACCAACACCCCCGCGGCAGCCCAAGAACGAAGAGCCGGACGAAATTTCCGAGTTCTGGAAGAACGAATTGGAGCGCCAAAACCGAGAATACGAGGAACAGCAGCGAGTTCTGGAGGCGCAGCAGCTATCACAACAGCAGGCGCAACAGCAGGCGGCGCTTCAGGCACAGCGCGAGTTCGAGGAGCAGCAGCGACGACTAGCGGAGCAACAGCGCATGCAGCAAGAAGCTCTGATGGCTCAGCAGGCACAGTCTTTTACGCAGGGACGCCTTGCAGAGCTGGAACAGGAAAACCTCAGGGCAAGAGCTCAGTACGAACAGGACCAGCTGATGCTACAGCAGTATGACCAGCGAGTCAAGTCTCTCGAGGGAGAACTGCAGCAGTTGCAGAACAACTACGGACAGCAGATTTCGAGCAAGGACGACCAGGTTCGCGCTCTGCAAGAACAGGTGAACACTTGGCGCACGAAGTACGAGGCGCTGGCGAAGCTGTACTCGCAGCTGCGGCATGAACACCTCGATCTTCTGCAGAAGTTCAAGTCTGTACAGCTGAAGGCGGCATCGGCTCAAGAAGCCATTGACCGACGTGAGAAGCTCGAGCGCGAGATCAAGACCAAAAACCTGGAGCTGGCAGACATGATCCGCGAGAGAGACCGGGCGCTTCATGAGAAAGACCGACTTACGGGGTCAAACAAGGACGAGCTCGAGAAGCTCAAGCGAGAACTGCGCATGGCACATGACCGCGCAGACAACCTCGAGCGGAGCAAGGGCAACGAGCTCTCTACGATGCTGGCCAAGTACAACCGGGAGATGGCAGATCTCGAAGAGGCGTTGCGAAACAAAAACCGTGCTCTCGAGGAGGCACAGGCCAATGTCAGAAACGGCAGCGCCGACCTAGAGCAGCTTCTGCGTGACAAGGAGGAGGAGCTCGAGGTCTACAAGGCCGGCATGGACCAGGCGCTGGTTGAACTCAATGAGCTCAAGCAGAACCAGGGAGACACAGACCAGGTCCTCGATGGGCAGCTGGACGCCCTCATCATGGCCAACCTGGACAAGATCAACGAGATCATCGACTCAGTCCTCCAGTCCGGTGTCGCTCGTGTGGACGACGCCACTTACGAGCTTGACTCCACCATGCAAGCTGGTAACCAGAACGCATCTCCATCGTATGTGCTTTCTCAGATTGAGAAGTCATCCTCGAGCGCCATGGAGTTCGCGACGGCGTTCAACAACTTCATTGCCGATGGACCTAATGCTGCCTACGGCGATCTGATCAAGGCGATCAACGTGTACGCCAGCTCAATCGCCGATGTGTGCAACAATACCAAGGGTCTCACCCGCCTCGCCACGGATGAGAAGAAGGGCGAGTCGTTGATAAACGGGGCACGCCAGTCTGCACTGTCGACGGTCAAGTTCTTCCGTGGACTGCAAAGCTTCCGGCTGGAAGGCATGGATCCTATCCAGAAGACCGATGTTGTCATCAACAGCAACAACGATGTTCAGATGAACCTCCAGAAGCTGAACAAGCTGGTCGAGACATTTGCGCCTGGATTTGGCAAGCTTGCGAACAAGGGTGACCTCGGCGACCTCGTCGAGTCAGAACTGAGCAAGGCTGCCGATGCGATCGCCGCGGCGGCGGCGCGATTGGCGAAGCTCAAGAACAAGCCTCGCGACGGCTACTCGTCATATGAGCTCAAGGTGCACGATTCCATCCTGGATGCAGCTCTAGCAATCACAGACGCCATCACGCGCTTGATCAAAGCGGCGACCGCAACGCAGGACGAAATTGTGCAGGCTGGCCGCGGTTCATCCTCGCGCACGGCATTCTACAAGAAGAACAACCGATGGACGGAGGGTCTCATCTCGGCCGCTAAGGCCGTGGCAACCTCCACAAACCGGCTGATTGAGACGGCCGACGGCGTGCTCTCTGGGCGCAACAGCCCAGAGCAGCTGATCGTGGCGTCTAACGACGTGGCAGCCTCAACGGCGCAGCTGGTGGCCGCATCTCGCGTCAAGGCTGGATTCATGAGCAAGTCCCAGGAGAGCCTGGAGCAGGCCAGCAAGGCTGTCGGTGCGGCGTGCCGCAGCCTGGTGCGACAGGTGCAAGCCATGATCAAGGACCGCCAGGGCGAGGAGGAGCAGGTGGACTACACCAAGCTGGGGGCGCACGAGTTCAAGGTGCGGGAGATGGAGCAGCAGGTAAGCCCTGGGTCGACTCTCTTTGGTTCTGATGATAGGTCAAGCAACGGACTTACTGACGTGTCTGTCTTCACAGGTCGAGATCCTACAGCTCGAGAACGCTCTGTCATCTGCCCGGCACCGGCTGGGAGAGATGCGCAAGATTTCGTACCAGGAGGAATAAATTGTGGGAAAGGGGAGCTGAGGTACGGGGAAGGGAGGCTTTCTTCAGTTTGGAAGTTGGGATCTGTGCACTGCCGAGACACGAGCATGCTCGTCCTCTACCGACATCTGGTGTCCCCTGCGGAACATTGCCATCGGCGGAAGGCCGTGCTCGCGGCGATTACGAGAGAAATTAGATTGAATGACCGAGCCATCACATTACATTGCACGCACATCAATGATCGGTCAGGTCCAAGTGGCTGATTTCCTGGGTTATGCCCGGATGTCAACCGTAGAAATGGCCGAGCCACCCCTTCAGCTACTGCAGACTGCGCCCCGATTGGACACGCCCCTGGAGATCCCAGTAATGAGGGCGACGTCTGAGGCGTCGAGGGCATACAGGACTCATTCCGGACGCATTAGGCTAGCTGCCAAGAGTGGCGCGGACTAAAACAAGGGGCGGGCGAGCGGGAGCCGAAAGAACGGCAGCTAATGCTCAAAGGGTCCCTGCGTGCATACGCATGTGGCGCCTGCATTTCCGCCCGCATTGCCCACCGGTCACGGGGTGAGACACATGAAGCCCGTATCCTCACCGTCGGTCAGATATGCAAAGCCAGCCGCAGCTGCCCCTGGCCCCCTCCTCCTCCCCACTCCGCCAACGCACACAGCTCCCTCCTCTTGGCTTTCTGGGCAGGATAGGCTGGTGCAACAAAGCCCGGCGGGTGCACTGGGAGTGCTGGCTTTGTTGAGCCGGCCCAGCTGCCCAGGTGCCAAGGGGAGCTGGGCCATGACGGGCGGGGGAGGTGATGCCCGGTGAATTGAGCTCTTCGTAGGCCATACACCCATCAGATCCACTGTCCCACCATTGCTGCCCGTATTGCTGCAATTGAGGGGTTGCAATTCTGAGGGCAGGGGAGCAAGGTGCGGGTGTGGGCGTGGGTGTAGAAAGGTCGCCGTGGTGACACGCCCTGGTCTGATGTTCTCATTGGTCAGGTCCGGGTGGGAAATATTCAGGCCAGTCAGGATTTCCCGATCGGGCGGGCCTGGAGCTCTGGCCGCAGCTCACTGGCCAGGTTTTCGGTGCGGTTGGCTGGGCCAGGACGACCCCGCCCCAGCTCAGTGAAGCTCTCCTGCAGGCTGAGGGGAGCTCCCTCGGCCATTCACCCCAGGTCGAGGGGCTGGCATTTCGAGAATTGTTGTGGAGGGGCAGACATGGGTGACCAGGGCTTAGGAAGCTCGGGGCACACGCACAAATCGTGCGATTTGGGAAATCCAGGCACCAAGTGGGCAAATGGTTTGGCAAGCTGCGCGAGGGAAGGGGGGGGGGGAAGCACATGGGCGAGCAGGCAAGCCTGCAGAGCTGCGCAATGCGCCCGCCCGCCCGTCACGCCGTGTCCGGTCTCAGGCACAGGGTTTTTAGAGTTTGTGGGGGTCGTCGATCCGGCTGCGGGTTAGCGTTGCACTGGGTCCCACCACACACAGATTCCCGTAGTTTGCGGCTCTGCAGCACCCCGGGCTAAACCTCGGGCCAAGATCGACGTTCATGCATGACGGCGGGTCCCCTGTCTTCTCTTGGCGCCCGGCCGGTTGACTACACACCATCCTTTGTCCCCGTAGTTGTGACTGCTCACGCGCCCGACTTGCTCTTGTTGTGCCTGCTGGCTTTGGGAGGGTGTCACAGGGAACGGAACTGATGAGGGAGGGCCTCCAAAGGGAGGGTGGCGGCTTCACACGAGCAGGTGGGGATGCGTTCATTTTAAACTGTGAGTCAATTGAATTCCATTTGGTTCAATGCTGCGAGCTGGTGATGCTCGAGCTGTGACTCCAGTGCTATGTACCTAAGAATAATGTGCAGTTGTCCCGCGAGTCCATTCCATTTTGTGCAGAACCATCAATCAATCAGTGAAGTCCGAGTGTTCCACGCCCTTGCGACATGAGCCGCCACGGACGACCACTGCCCAGATCCTCCAAGGCCCCCTGAGAAGGCCGATCTCTTTTGTTCAGCTGTTGACTCTCGACGAGGTTGCCCACTTTTGTGAAAGCCGTCCGAATGTTCCACGTCCTGGGTACCATTTTGGTGCCCTAGACAACCACTGTCCAGACCCTGAATGTCGATGCCCTTGTGCCCTTATTTTTTTTTGTGATTTTTTCTTGTTGTTGTTGTCGTGATCCGATGACGGTGGCCGATGGTGTCGGTGCATCCCGAATGTACCACATCCTGGTGACTGTTTGCCACAACGGATGACCACTGTCCATATCTGCCACTGTCGAGGCCCTGTTTAGGCGGCTGAAGTCGACTCCAAACATTCTCGTTCTCCCATCGCCGATCGATCTTTGAGCCGCTCGTAGTGATCACTCGGAGTTGTTCGTAGTCTTCTTGTTGCGGCGCTTGACCTCGGAAGACTTGCGTGGCTGGTACTTGTAGTCAGGGTAGAGGCGCATGAACTCCTCTTTGATGGCCTCAGACTTCTGCTTGTACACGTCGCGAACTTCCTCCGGCTCTTTCTGCCACTGTTGGCCAAGGATCTTGGAGATGTCGTTGTTCTTGGCATCTGGGTTTGCCTCCTTGACAGTCTGGTGTCGCTCGGTGCGGTAGATGATGAAGGGGTTAGGCGGGCGGGGCAGCTTGATGTTGGTGACCAAGACATCGACAGCTCGAAGAATTTTCTCGGGTCCAACGTAAAGACGGGATGGACAGGAGAGGTCACGGACCGCGATGCACTGCAGTCGGGTGATCTCGTCGAAAATCTTGATGATCAATTGCTGGTCATTCTGACCCAAGCCATCCCATGCGACCGCGTCCACGGCGCAAACCTTGGCGGAGTTGTGAGCATGGAGCTGGATGCCCATGTTGTCAATGATGTTGAGGAACTCGAAAGGGTTGCCTGTGCCATTGGGGATGGTGCCATTGCTTCCGATGAAGTTCAGAACGTAGGTGAGGGTGGGGGAAACATGGAAATCGATGGGGAGAGAAGCCCTCTTCAGCGCCGCGTTGGAGGCGACCAGATTCTGCTGGAGAGTGGCCATGATGACAGCGATTGAAGTTTCAGCTGTTTGGCTTTGCTGGAGTGATCAATTTTGCTGAAAGTTGGTTTCGCTGAGGTTGGCGTTGCTGGAGGTTGATGTTGCTGGGGCAAGGTAGGTCTCACAGAGATCGATGGATGAAGAAGGATGGGAGAGAGGGTTTAAATAGTTCTGAGAGGAAAGAAGCGAAAGATGAATCTTATTGTAATCAGGCCCGCTGATTGAGAAAGGAGGTGGTTGTATTGAAATATTACGGAAAGGGATGGGATGAAAATTGAGAAGCGCATTGTACCTTTGTTGTTGCTATTCATTTGGCAGCCAATCAGAATATTTCCCTTGGGGCCTAATTGGAAGATCAGATGAATTTCGAAGGGACCATACAATTGGCCCTCGCCATTGTCTACCCCCAAGCTGCCCACAGCTGCCATTCACTGCCCCACTACACACACACTCAAAACAAACCTCGCGCGTCAGCGACCACCCATCCACCTTCTTACCCACGACCTACCTTTTCCAAGTCGCAACGCGTGACGCAAAACTTGCAACACGCGACGCAAAACTCGTAACTTGCAACCCAAAGTCGCAACCCACCACAGTTCAGCGCCCCTGGCCGGTGCTACTCAGCCAAGATGGACATCGAGAATCATGGGAAGGTCTATCTCCCCGACAGAGTCATTCATGCCAGCAGAGAGGATGGTAAGGCGTACCGCAACGACATTTCGATGCGAATGGCTGGAAACAAGTACTTCATCCAGATCCTCCGACAGGGAGGAGTCCAGAAGGACCAACGCATCCTGAGAGTCGCCCGACTGTTGGATCAGCTCAATGGACAGGAGCAGAAACTTATCGACTTGACTGACGAACTTTTCGACATCTGCGACAGAGAGAAGTTGCGGTACGTAGGCTATCATCCCCGTCTGGAGCGCCTCATGAAGGACGTGCGCTACGCTGCAGACTTCGTGGATGAGTACGCAAAGAGAGTCGGCCTCTGGTTGGACTACCACCGCACACATGGCATCGGACTTGGTGATACTGCCAGATCTTCCCTTCAAAACAGCATCTCAAAGCAGCGAGAGTTCACTACAGGCCTCGTGTGGTCTGCGGCCATGGCCAATCCCGCCGGAATGATTCGACCCCCTGGTCCAGGCAAACTTCCCTACGGTGTAAGAGCCTCTTTCCCACACACATACGCTGCTAGTTCACCTCGACTGACTTGACTTTTAGCCTCGAGGTGCCCCCAACCCTGAGCTGCAGGAGCCTCGGAAGTACAAGGATGGCAAGGTTGTCCCTATCGCGGAGAAAAACCCCCAGACCGGTGATTTGCAGCCCTTGAACTGGCGATACGACCCAGACATCCGTTACCCCACTTCTTACAACAAGTTTCTGCGTTTTGATGGTCCGTACTTTTCTCCCAACAAGCCGAAGGATTCTGCCGAGTTGAACGAGTTCTTCCTGCCCGCGTCTTTGGTCAAGATTCGGGACTACTACACCAGAAGATACGTTCATGCCGAGAACATCGTCATGAACTCAGGCCGTATGCCTTACCGAAGCCCGGAGCAGGAGGCAGAATTTCAGGAAGAGCAAAAGGTTTGAATCGACATCTTCACTATCTAGCTCAGCGCTAACCTATCTCTATAGTTGCTTGGAGATTCGCTTGCACTTTCATCTGGTGAGAATTATGACCGTTTCTCGATTGTGGTGAGTACTGAATATTTCTAATTTACGTGGTGTGTCTTGACTGAGATGTACCAGAAAGAACTGCCCCACGATGAGCCGGTTGAGAACGCAACTCGGCCATATGTGTGGATCAAGCCAGGAACTTCCACGAGGCAGGTCAATTTCGGAAGCGGAACAGGAAAGTTCAAGCCAGAGGACCTCAACCGGGCAATGAAGCATCACGAGACCAACATGCCGCACAATGTCCCTACTGTTGATCACGGCATCCGCCTTCTTATGAACCGGAACATTGAGAATGAGGAGGTGCCCTGAGGGAAAGTAATGAATCAAGGTCAACCGGTAAACCCGGTATTTGAACAGGCTTTGAGAAAAACATCAGATCGAGGCGTTTCATGGCAAGTTGAGTAGTCGAATGCGTCTTGGGATTGAATTACCAGACCGAGGTGACCGAGAAGACTACAGCATGAGATAGAGACACGAGCCTGAATTGAAGTCCGCTCATTGAACATAATTGGGTGCTCCATTGCGAATGGCAATCAAGCCCTTCTTGATTTTGACTGACCACAAACGCAGGTCTTGGTTCTTCCAACACAACTACCTGAAATGTCCCAGTCTCCCACCCTCTGCCCCACTACACACTCACCCCTGTACGTTTTCACCAGTCCACGTTTTCACCATTCCACGTTTTCACCCATCTATTCACACGCGTAGCTTTCCAACTCGTACCTTTCCATACTCGTGCCCCCGCACCCGTACCCTTCCACACTCTCAAATATCCAAACTTGTATCTTTCCTCCCTGACGATCTCCTCAGTCTAGACGTTGTCAAGGTCACTCCGCGTTTCTCCTACAGCCAAATTACGCACAAACTTCAACACCAGGACCCAGGATGGCTGATATGAAGCCCAAGGTGACTGCCGTCCATGATGGCCAGGGCAGGATGGCTCTCTACATTGACGAGAGCTTGGGACAGGAGGACGTCGTGTCGCGCATCGCGCCGAGATATCAGTAAGTCTGGCCGCGAAAGCTCTGAGGTGCATGACTGATCAAAGCTTCTGAAGGCACATTGCCATCCGTGGGGAGCCTTGCGTTGTCTTTTTCGACAAGAATGCGCGCATGTTTTGCATTGGTCCTGTCTTCTACAAGCAGGAACTGATGGACAGGCCTGGTCGATACGAGCACATCACCGATCTCGATTGGCTCCCGAATGCTCGCCCCTCCGTCCCTGCTCTTCCCTCCGGCTCTGCTGGCCCCTCCGGCTCTGCTGGCCCCTCCGGCTCTGCTGGTCCCTCCGGCTCTGCTGGTCCCTCCGACCCTGCCGGTTCTGCCGACCCTGCTGCCTCAGGTGCGAGCACCAACAAGATCCATCGTCCACCCACACCGTGGACCGTTTTCATGCAGGAAAAGTTGCATGAGATGCGCGAAGAGAACCCCGATATTTCCTTCGGTGAAGTCTCGAAGGAGGCGTCTCGTCAGTGGAAGGCCGCTTCCGACGAGGTCAAGGGCTTTTACCAGGAGTTAGCGAAGCATGTGGCTGACATGAACCCGTGAGGCGACATGCGAGCCAGCAAGACACACGGAGCAAGATGACCCGGACAACTATACCTACGTCCTCACTCCTCTCCTTCACTCAAATCTGTGAATTTGCGGCGTCTCGGAAGGGAGGCACGGCACTTTAACACATAATAGAGTGGAGCCAAAAAAAAAAAACGAAAAAGAGAAAAGAAAGAAAAGACATTGATCGACATCGTGCATTCTGCACAAAATCGCAGCACCACGCCTTCACCAGGAAAACGATCAGGGAGGTCGAAGGTATACATAAGGCGGTCGACTCGAAGTACGGTTTGTGCCTTGCTCTTAGGTGAGCGAGTGTACGTCTTGGGGTGCCATTGCTCTTAGATGAGGGAGGCGCCATCTTCAAACCAAGGAAACTCGAAACGACAGACACACCAACAACCACGACCACCATCTCTTAGTACAGCCGAACGACGACGAAGGATCTGGGGGGCTGAGATGGATCTGGGAAATGCATGGAGCCCTGCGAGTATGGCGTCGGTGAGGGCGTCAGAATGGACTTTCATCATGGACACGGACGGCACTTTCCCCCCTCATCATCACTCAGTTATTTCGCATGCCTCGTCAGCAGGACATGCAGTTTTGATTTCACTGGCACTGGAACGGGGTGGAGGTTCCACTAATGCATGGGATTTGGACTACGGCACCGTTGAGGGCGTTGCAAAAGGAGTTCACCATGAAAACGGACGACACACCCCTTTCATCATCACTCAAAAGTTTGGCACGCCTCGTCAGTAGGGCATGCAGGTTTGTTTTTCATGGATTCAGGTTTGACTTTTCACGACACTACGAGGGGGTGGGCGAGTTCCACTAATGCATTGGAATCTGGAGTACGGCGTCGGTGAGGGCGTTGGAAAGGATGTTACCATGGAAACGGACAGCATAACCCCCCATTCACCACAGGATTCAGGCTCGGTTCGCACCGGCTCGACTGGCCAGTCATCATGATCCAGATAGTACAAAATCAAAAAAAGGCTTTAGGCCACCAAAAGAATTTCGTGTGTGCGATGTGAAGCCTCGTGCGTCTGGTGTGTGTGCCCTAAGCTACATGTGACTACTGCTGCTGCTGCGGTGTGCCCCCCTCCTTCGAGTCCGAGCTGCGCGCCCAAATGAAGGTGGCACAGCGCCACTGGGAATTCTTCTCCTTCTGCCCGGACGGCCCCAGCGGCCGTGAGCACATGTAGAATGTGCGGCCGCAGTTGATCCCGGCCTTCTTAACGACGTAGCTGATGCAGGGCTCGCCGTGCTCGCACAGCGGTGCGACCTTCTTCTTGCCCAGCAGCTTCGACCACGACTCTTTAGACTCTACAGGGTCAAACACCCTCCCGCGGTCTCCCTCGCCACCATTTGCAGGTTCGTCTGCCTCCTCGTCTTGGTCAATCGTACCGTCCGACTGTGATATGGTAGTCGAAGCCGCCTTTCCATTCTCCTGCTCTCCCTGTTCCTCCGCGATAGCCTTCGGCGCCGATGTCTTGGGCTTGAAGAAGCCCATCAAGCTGCTCTGCGCCGGACCAGACTTGACTGTGTCTTTTCCCGTCCCCGTCTTCGCTTTCTTCTGAGGCCGACTTGATACGCTCGGTGCGCTACGTTTGGGAAGAGCCGCTGGGGATGTGGTCTTGCTTGGGGACTTGAAGTCCGTCGTCAACGAAGCTGAGGGCCGAATGGGGGTGGCGGCAGGGGACGGAGATGGTGGAACGTTGGATGTCTGTGTGCTGGGGAGCTCATCAGTTTCGCCGACGGACTCGGTGCCGGTGGGAAGGTTCGGAGTTCGCTTTACGGTCGGTTGAGCGGGCTTCTTTGTGAACATGTCCTTGATACTGCGGCGACGGTGGAACTCATTCAGCAGCTTCGCTGACTGTGGTAGCAGATCTTTGGTGTCCCAATCCCTGAGCCGCTTGCCCTCCTTGTACATGCCTTCGGGGTTCATCATGTCTGAAAGATGGACACCCTGGCCTCCCTTCCTGACGCAGTCCGCTAGGGTCGCGTAGACAGGGCAGTGATCGGATCCCAGCAAGCCCTCCTGAATATCGGCGTCCTCAAACCACTCTTTCAAGCCGGCCGTGCATAGGATGTAATCGATTCGGCTGCCAAAGTTGCCAGGCCGGGCATTCTTCTTGGTCTCCCAGCAGGTGAACATGCCTTGTCGGTCGGGGTGGAAACATCGGGTGGTATCCCACATCACAGGCTCCTCTCGTCCCTCATCCCTTTCTCCGATAACTTGACCCTCGAAGACGAGCTGGTTGAAGAAGCGCCTTGAAGGGGAGGAGAGGAAATCCTCCAAGGTCATGCCTTCCTTTCGGAGGTGCTCCGCGCAACCAGCGGTGTCGATATCTGTACGTATGATGTTAAGGTCTCCCGCAAGAACCACTTGCTTGCCCATGGCAGCAAGATTCCGGATCCTCGCATCAAGAGCACTCATGAAGCCCATGCGGAAATCAGTCCTGGTGTCGTCTCGGGTGGCAGGCACGTAGACGCCGATGAGGACAAAGGCAAGGAACTCGAGGACAACACAACGTCCCTCGGAATCGAGCATCACCTCGTCTACTGGTCCAATGATTTGATCCTCGCGGGGATATCCGCCAATTTGTTGATCGGCGGGGAGGTCTCGAAACTTGGTTGTAGACTTAGGGGCGCAGAGCACTCCGGTCAGGCCCTCCTCGGCTCGGATGGGACAACACTTTGAGTTCCTCGTGTATACTGCAACTCCCGAGTACCCTGAAAAAATGTCAGCGCGGATGTCCAGGAACAAGAACATGCGAGCCCAGTGCACCTACCTTTCTTGTCTTTGGGTAAGCTGAAGAAGACGTCCCAGCCGGAAACCAGCACCATGTCATCCGTCAGATCTTTCCGCTGGATCTTGGCTTCCTGCATGATGACAATGTCCGCCTCCAGGATGTCAAACATGGCCTAAGGGCTGTCAGTCTTCCTCGTCTTCAACAGTGATCGAGTATGGGGAAGCTTGCCTGGAAAGACCGCTTCTGATTCCATGGCGCATATCCGAACGGGTTCCTGGGAGAAAGAGGATAAGCACATGGCCATTGGGTCCGTATCCCTCTCGATATGTGTAAGACAGAGAGCTGGGAGGCGGCCTGCAGCCCAGCTCAGGCGCAACATACCTGATGCCGTTCACTGCAACGCCGGTCAGTCACGGACCAACACCAGGACAGGAAGGTGCGGGGGCTCACCATTCCAAGTAGTAATACGCAGACCCATTGTTGCGGCTGTAAATTTTCATGTGGTCCGGCCGGCAGTGCTCGACTGCCTGTCTCAGTCTCCTGTCGTCTCGCCGTGCGAGTGGTTGCGGTTTTCGGGATTCGCGGACATCCCAACAAGTAGACGGAAGAGAAAGGTGGCAGAGAGGCAGGGTAACAGAAACAGACTTCCCCAAACAAGAGAGCTTGGATCTTCTCAGGAACATGAGACTACAGCTTGATCTCCCCAATTCCCACAGTATCACGGCGATGTTTCAACCTTGGCAACAGATATCCTCCGCGTATTTCAATCCGCCGTTCAGCTCCCGAGTCGCGTTCGCCACTTACAGCAGGAGCGGCGTCTCAGCCATCTCCCTCGCGAACCCCACACGCGGTCGCGCTAGAGCGGGAGAGAGCCAGCTGCCAGAGCTTGGCTAGCCGGGATGAGCTCGCTGACTAAGCGGCCGCCCATCTCCTAATCGTCAGTGGTCTGATTCAAACCTCAACCGCCCGAATCCCTCCTCTCCCCAGCGAAATACCCACTACCGAAAACAATCGAGCCTCTCCACTCCCACACCACCATCGAGAATCCGCCGAAGATGTTCCCGCAGCGACAGATCATGCGCTCCGCGCCGCGCTTCCTGCGCTCCCCCGCCGTCCAGCGCCGCTTTATGAGCTCGCCCGCCCCCAAGGCCGGCGAGAACGCCTTCGTCAAGGAGCGCGAGGCCGTCAAGGAGCACGCCGCCGGCACCACTGGTGAGTCTCTCCGAGGGCCCGAGGAGTACGGGGGCCGGCCAATTGGCTGGCAGAGGGGCAGCTAGACTGACACGGGGCCCGTACAGAACTCTGGAAGAAGATCTCCATCTAGTATGACATCACCCTCACTGCCCCGAGTACATCCCTCATCACCAAGCTGTGCCAATTGCATTTCCGCGAACCGAAGCTGTGAAGCCTACTGTGGGACGGAGGAAGGCCATCGGGGAAGAGGAATCAGAAGGGCGGCCCAGCGTCCTGGGGACGGCAAGCACGATTTCCCCAGGGAGCAGCCGGGAGAAGCCGGGCCAGCGGAGGGAAGGGCGATGGGCACACATACGACGACGGCATTTCCGCCGCAGCCATCATGAAACACGGAGTGCTAACCAACTCGAACTACAGCGCCTGCATCCCTGGGCTCGCCCTCGCCGGTGCCAACGCCTACTGGCTGTGGACGGAGCACTGGGAGCACTGGTCTCACATGCCCCCCCTGGAGGAGCGCACCGAGTACCCCTACCAGAACATCCGGACCAAGAACTTCCCCTGGGGAGACGGCGACAAGACCCTCTTGTAAGTTTGGCTCCGCGTTGTCGCCAGCCTGGGCGGAGTCGAGACAGGCGCGGCTAGTCTGGCACGGAGTTCGCTAATACCTCCTCGCAGCTGGAACGACTCAGTCAACTACCACAACAAGGACAAGACCACCTAAGCTGGGGACGAGTCTATTTCAGAATATGGAGGAGGAGCCTGCGAGAGCTGGCATGGCGAGATAGAGCGCCGGACAACCGTCGCAGACAAATCGACCTGTACATGTTTTCCTAGAGTCACAGCAATCGATTATACCATTCATATATGACGGGCATTTGTGTCTGAATTACACGGTGGCCATGCTATATTACCAGCGGCAATTTGCTCACTTTACGCTTACGGTGTCGCTCGCTCTCTTGAACATGTTCAGCAGCCACCGCGATGATCTCTATCCACTTGCCGTCAAGCCAAGGTAGATTGGAAGATGACTGACCTAGCCATGTCCTGATGCGACTGACTGACAACTACCTTGCCCTGGACAAACCACACCCAGTTCACTTCCGAGAAGCAAGCCCTTCGCGGCGATCCAAGCAGCCCATTCTCTGTGACGGATGCGATTACCGAGGCCCGCTGGCCGTGTCGAGAAGTGGCTGGGTGGTGGGCATTGGCGACGAACGATGTGCCTCCATACACGACGCCTTTGGCGTCGCTCAAACCTTCGTCGCCTCGCTCCTTAGCTCGATGAATTTAGCCGCCAGGTCATTCGAAACCTTGACGTCGCCTCTTACCCTCATGATCGTCGACATCTTAGCGGTTACCTCCAGCTTCTTCTGTAGGTCCTCCACGGCTGCGTAGTAATCGAAAGCCCGTCTCAAGGCTCCCATGGCCTTATTGAGATATTCCGTCCTCCTGTTCGAAGGACCAGGACCGGCGCCAGGCGCTGGCGCCATCTTGCCTGCGGTGCCTACGTGGGCATCTGCGAGGCTGGAGTACATGGTCGCGGCCATATAAGACCCATCGCATTCGAGACACCGCGGTATGACGACAAGGAGAAGCTTCTCTGCGGCCTCAAACTCGTCGAGCGAAATAAGCACGTCCGCTATGGTACCCATGGATTGCCACAGCAGATTCATAAGCCGTGCTTTCCAGGCAAGGTTGGCAGCGCGCATGGCGGCAGAAAAGCCGCGCTGGGGACGCCCTGCCTTTTGGAATAGCTGCGCCTTCATGAGGAGCAGGCGTGTTCGGACGCCAACGTCCTTGTCCTGGTCGTGGCTGTCGGAAATCAGCTGTTCGACTTTGGCGAAGGCGGCTTGGAGGTCGCCACGTCGGATGAGCAATTCGTAATGCAGCGAGTCGACGACGAAGGTGAGATCGGATTCGAGGTCGTCAGGCTTGGACTGCATGATTTGTGAGAGGAGGTATTCTACTCCGTCTAAATCATTGCGGTGGAGGTCTCTGCGCAGCTTGACAAGCGCACGCAATTTCTGCCAGTATTTCTTGGCCCTCCATGTCCGCAGGGAGTCCTCGTTGATGCTTTCGAGAAACTTCATTCCCTCATTGTACTTGCCCTTGGTTGCCAGGATGCTTGCTAGCCGACATGTGATCTTCAGTGTATCATCCAGCATGGCGTTGGGCGCATGGCAACGAAGAAAAACCTCACACATCATCTTGGACAGGAAGGCAACTCCGACTCTGTCCCAGACGGCAATGTTGAGTGATATGTGGGTGCCAATCATGTTGACGAGGTTCCGTTCGACCAGGAGATGTGAGCTGCGCGCGATGTTCTCGAGTGCAGTGGCAACACTATCGCCACTCAGCAGACCCTGCTTAGCTTCGCTCAGCAAAGCTGAGCTCCAGGTTGACCACATTCCCGTTTCCTTGGCTTTCACTCGGAGGAAGGCGAGTGTTTCCCGGCCGGTGGCACTGATGCTGCTCGACTCTAGATCTTCCACCAGGCGTGGATGCTGGAGGCCGAAGTTGTAGAAGAAATTCAAGGCAAAGTTGAGGCAGTTTTGGTCCCGTTTCTCTCGGGCGGTCGCAATTGTCTCCAGCATAGTGGACACAGCATCCTTATAGCAGCCAAAGTCTGCTTGGAGCACAGCGAGGTTCAACAAGGCATAATGGTAGTGCTCTCTGTCACTGTTCTGCATGGTGTAGTCAAAATACCGATGTAGGTAATCAAACGACGTGGGGTAGTCTCCTGATTTCCAAGCCTCGAGGAACCTAGCCCGGGTTAGAGTGGTTGCGCCCAAGCTGATGTGATCGATGGTCTCACCTGAGATAATGCCCAAGTTTGGGGTTTGTGCGGCTCGATTCCAGGAGATCAGAAAATTGTCTCTGGATTGGTCGAGGGACGCGAAGGCCATATCCTGGTGGCGGCTGTGTTAGATGGCTGCTGGATAGTTCAGCGAGGCATGTACTTACTCTGCATCTGAGCCACTTGGAACTCGATCAGGCGATCCAAGCAGTGAGCGCTGACGGGAACATGAGAAGAGCTCAAATCTCCGTAGGCAATAGACTCGATAGAGGCGGCGCCCTCTCCCCAATCCTGCCGACAGATGTCGAGAACCTTGTCAAACCGGACTGGGCCCGAGGAAGGGTTGCGTCTGGTCCAGGCTGAGGCTGTTGGTTGTCGGTAGACGATCAGATCCTTCCACAAATTCGAGGAATCCGAGAACTGCAGCCTGTTGAACTCCAGCTGTGCTCGCCGAATGAACAAGGCCAGAGGGGAGTTGGGCACGAGGGGTATTCTACTTGTTTGGGCGCCGGGCTCGGGATCGACCATTTGCTGGATATCTTCCTTGGTTGCGAGTAGGGATGACCGTCGGTCAAAGAAGTCATGTAGAGCGTCTAACGAATCGATGGCCCATAATTTGGAGAGGAAAAGATCCCAGAGTCGGCGGCCGGGCAGACCGACGGCGGTAGAGAAGGGGAGCAGCAGAGACTCGAAGGTCTTGATGGACTTCACAAGATCGATGTCATCTTGAGCCTTCTGCCAGAGTCCCTGGGGGCCTGGCAGGTCTTTGTTTACGTCGGTGCCGGTGTGAGAAGCCAGGAAGGACAGGACGGGGATGATGCCGTCGCCAGGAACGGCGCCTTCTGTGTAAAGCTCGACAAGGACCAGAAGGCCAATGTCCGAAGGCATGAGAAATCGAGACATGGTGGGGTCTTGAGCATCTGTGCTGTGCTCAAGATGACGGGTCACGAGACTTATCGTGGGGGATAAAAAGCCATGAAGTGGTCTTCATGTCAAATTGTGAGAAACCTGAAAGATTGAAATGCCTTGCTCAACGGCGACGTTGAGTGCTTGGCAGCGTCTTGCCGTGTGTTGAGGCTGCAGTGGAAGTCGCGATGCAAACGCGTAGAACTGGACCAATTGGAAGTTGCGATCTTACCGCAGGTACATGCACGCCCAGTACCTGACCTGCCGAGCTTGGCCTGGAGCCAGCGCCGCTGTGCGGCACCACCAGACCTGGCAGACTGCCTGGGTACCTAGGCCAAGCAACTGTGCTTGACTTAGCAGTCAATTGCGGGTTTCAAAGCTTATAATTTGCTTCCATCAAGACGGCCTCGGATGTCAAAGCATGTGTGTGGCCCTACCTGGGTAGCTTGGGCGTTTACTCCGAGTTCTCGAGAGGATAAACAAGCCCCTTGTCAGAGGTTTCATCGAGATGTCAGCCAGGGGCTCATTCATATGGGAGCTCCCGAGGGGCGCTGGGGCCTCCGGACCACGGGGTTACGAAGGGGGCCCCGGATCGAGCAGTAATGGCTCTGACAGGTGAGACAAGGTGGAGCTAAAACAACAAGTGCCCCACCGCCGGGAGTCGATGGTACAAGTGAAGCACGCTTGCTGTCTGTGGTTGCACACCTAGACTGACTACAAGTAGTCCAGGTCGTCTGTCTTCTGTTCTGTTCTGTTCTGTTCTGTCCTGGTCCGTGCTATTCAGTTCTGTGTTGCCATGCTGCAGGGTGTGGCGGTCGTTGACTCGTCCGGCGACTGCGCTTGTAAAGCTTAGGAGCTTGCCACAGGCAGTCCTCTGACTCCAGGAGGGCTCCGCGAGTGGCCGGGCGGACTGGCGGGAAGGGTGGGATGGTGGGACGCTTTCTCGAGGCGGCCGGAAACGTCATTTGGGATAGACACCTGCTAATAAAGTGCCCTTGTCGCCGTCATCGAATGCAGCCACTGATCAAATCGCACACCCGGTCCAAGGACACTACGATACGTGAGCCATGTCAAAGGAATCATGTCTCTCACAGACTACGTGCCCACAGTCAGGACAGTCTGACCACTGGGCGCCTTTGCCCTGTACAGTCAACTTCCGCAAATGGACCCAACCTCGAAGGCGAGGCGATGGAAGGTCACCGTTGTACCTTGCACTTGGAATCTCCGAGGAAGGGGTAGATACTGTACCTAGGTAGACTGTCCTCTGTAGTCCAATGCCATGGAGTTGGGCTCGATGAGGTACGAAGGCTCACGAGTACTTGGTCCCTTGGGCTGCCCCATGATCCTTGGACATCCCGTGGCCCCATGTGAAGGCCGGTCAAATGTAACCCAAGAGCAGGAGTTGAATCAGTGGTGAGGTACCTAGGTAAGTTATCTCAAACACCCACCCACCACACACACCAAACACCCGGCTTATCAGCCACAGCTCGTGCACTGTCGAGAACACGAGAGTCAGGCACCACTTGGACGACCGGCGTTGCAGGGCCCAGACTGCCTGGGTATACGTGAATGTTCCCACCTGCACCACAGAGACGCTCAGGCCGCTGCCGCAACGTTATGGGTCTGGACTAGCCGCCTGCGGCACTGCACAGGAGCACAGGTGCCAGGCCCCTGGTCTCCTGGTCTCCTGGTCTCCTGGTCTCCCCGTCTTGATTCACACTGGGGGGGGGGGCAGCAGTGGTGGGCACCTGCCACAGGCTGAGCTGGGGTACCTGGGTACATGCTTTCATACGCCCGGGTACAGAGAGTACCAGCGGCCAGCCCCTCCCCTCTACGTAACAGTAGTACGGTGCATGCAGCCCGGCCAGTCAGTCAGTCGACGGGACGGATGGTGACCTGGACTGCCCACCCACCCGACAGCACCTCTCCTCCCCCAAACAGCGCGGCTTGGCACCTGCCCTGTCGTCCGATTACATCGACTCGCCGGATCTACACCCTCTAGCCCTCCTTTGTTCTCCCTCTCTCTCGACACCTGCAAAACCTAGACCTCGACGATCTCTACATTGTGTATAATTCTCCCAGGCCCGCCCCTTTTGTGCGGCTGTCGTGTTCATAGACCTTTGCGAATGATTTACGCGCGTGTTGACCTGCAAGACACTGACCCCTCCGCGGCTGTTTTGTCTGCCAGCTCGAGGCCGGCCCAGGTCGGCGCTTCATAGCCCAGCAATCCTGCGCCCACTCCATCATCACACGACAACACAATCGCTCTGTTGACTCCTCTCCCCCTGTCCCTCTTCTCTCCTCTCCCCCATCCTCCACGGACAACGCCCAGTGCCGCTCGTTGCTTTGTTGTCCATCGAGATGCGGCCCCCGAGAATAGCCATCCTCGTCCTCTTCCTCGCCGCCTCCCTCTTCCTCTTCTGCCGCTCCGTCGTCTCGCTGCGGGATGCCAACCAGTCGCCCGCCGCGCCCCTGAGCCCCCACAGGACCGCAACGCCCTTCCGGTCCTTCCTCTCTTTCACCGCGCCCTTCACCCTCTTCCCGCCAAATGCCGCCATCTCCCTCACCGACGATAACAGCACCTTCTTCCCTGCACGACCCGCCGCCTTCGGCCCTCCCCTGCCCGCCAAGGGCTTGAGCGGCCAGCTGTGGATCGGGAGCGGCTTTGCCGATGAGAACCTCCCGGATGGCGAGGGGGAAGGCGAACTGGGCTGCAGCGACTTGCCCGGCTACGGGGATGGGACAGCCATAATAGGCTTGAAGGGTACAACCGGCGGCATGAGCGCAAAGGCCAAAGCCGTCGCCGCTGCTGGGAAGGGCGAGAAGTCAAAGAGGTCGAACCTGCCCAAGGGTCCTGCAGTTGACCCTGCAGCAGTCATCGACACAAAGGAAAAGGATAGGACCGGCCCTGTCGACGACGGCACCGACGACTACCTACACCAGACGCTCGCCTCCAAGGCTCCCGGCTACGAGATGACCACGGTGACGTCAAGCCATGCCGACATACAGTCCATTCAAGAGACGGCAGAGATTACCGGAAAGGTGGTTCTGCTCAGTCGCGGAGGGTGTGGCTTCCTGGAAAAGGTCAAGTGGGCCCAGCGGCGAGGCGCTGTTGGTGTTATTGTTGGGGACAACCAGAAAGGCAGCCCGCTCATCCAAATGTTCGCACGAGGCGACACCTCCAACGTCACCATCCCCGCCATCTTCACTTCTCGAACGACGGCCCACCTCCTCTCCTCTCTGATGCAACCTGGGAGCTTTATCGAAGACATCTTCGACGAGAATGGCAACCCGGTTCTCAAGGTGCAACAGTCGGACAAGCTGCGGAAGAGCAAGGCTAAGACCCAGACTAATACTGCCCAAGAAGCAGCCAGACCTGTGGTTGAGTCCAAGTCTGCTAAATCGAAGGTGACAAGGAAAGAGTCCTCGATTGCTGCGGACGACACCCTCCCCAGAGAACAACGGTCGAGGAGCTGGATGGCACGCTTGTTCGGCGATGGCAGCGGGCCCAGGGCGGCAACCGAGCAGAGCCGGCCTCCGAGTAGCGGTCAGCATGACTGGGTCCTCGTTGATGACTGGAGTGACGAGAAGGATAAGGTGATTCGCAGCAGCCTAGAGAAGGCCTCGAAGAAGGACAAAGCTGCTGCGACTTCGGCAAAGAAGACCTCAGGAGATGGGTTCCAGATCGGTGTGCAAGACTGGCGTGATCCTGACTTGGTGGATGTTTCCGGGACAGGGGCAGACAAGAGTGCGAACAGAGGCAAGGCCTCGAATACCAAGGGCAAGGATGTGAGTGGAGAGTCGCAAGGGGCAGGGAGCTCCGGAAAAGGATCAGATAAGAAGTCCGCATCGCCGAAGGACGCGAACGGGCCAAAAGGTGGCAGTATCACGCCTGGAAGTGGCCAGTATCCTCCTACGTCGTCCAAAGACAGGCAAACTCCATCGTCCAGGACAGGAAAACATCAAGGCAGCTCATCAGGCCTGATGTCCAAGCTCTTTGGCGACGACGACGGGGCGGACTTCGCTCAAGCAAACCCTCCACCAAAGCCGATAAATACGCCCCTGACCAAGGAGCCCACACCCAAGGAGGTTGTACATGAGGGTTTGTGGGTTACCATTACGCCTACCGGCAGCACTGCGCCTTTCTTCGACACACTCCTGGTATTGGTTGTCAGCCCACTGATCACGTTGACCGTTGTGTACGCGCTCCTCATCCTGCGGGCTAAGATCCGAAGGCGGAGGTGGCGCGCTCCCAAGTCCGTGGTTGAGCGCTTGCCCGTCCGTACATATCACACCGTCGCATCGACCACCCCTAGCCAGACACCACGGCTGCCATCACCTACAAGCTCGTCGCCGACAACGCCTTTGCTGCAAAGTTCATCTCGCCCTAGACCGCGCTCACGGACTACTACTGGTGTTCCGGAAGCTGACGATATGTTGCGTGTTGACTCGCCGCTACAGCAATCAAGGTCTCCATCACGTGCGTCGCCGCCCCATGAGAAGGAGAGCCAGTGGAAGAAGTACATGGGACGACAGGTCGAGTGCGTAGTCTGCTTGGAAGAATATGTCGATGGTGTCAGCCGTGTCATGAGTCTACCTTGCGGTCATGAGTTCCACGCCGAGTGCATGTAAGTCCACGACCAATCCCAAACGTGCCTTCAGGAATATCTCGCTAATCAGATTGTCTGTAGCACACCGTGGTTGACAACCAGACGGCGCACGTGTCCCATCTGCAAAGGCGACGTCGTTCGATCTCTCGCACGCGGATCGCCATCCAGCCCGAGATACGAAGCATATCACGACGATAGCGACGAAGAGGATGACGCTGAACCAGAGGCCTCAGGCTCGGGGAGGAGGTCACCGACTGCCCAGGATGCGGATGTTGAAGAGGGCATCTTGTCGCCGGCACCGCGAAACATTTCTCGTAGGACCGGAAGAACAGACGGCTGGCTCGGTTTGCTATCCAGCAGCTTTGGCACCAATGCTTCCGCGTCATCCTCTCGCTCTCGGGTCCCAGATGAGGACCGTGACCGATGATAAGCCTGACACCATCAAGCCGCGAGATTTGTCAAAAAATGCGTGGTTGCTCGCAAATGGACACTCACAAGCTCGACATGCGCAGGATGGAGACGAGACACCCTTCAGATCGCCCGTCAGCAAACTTTGATTCCCGCTTTGAGCGCATGCATATTTGTTTTCACCTGGGACGGGCGGCCCTGTTCCAACTCGATACCCACACACTCGCTAAGATACCACGCGCATCAGTCTTGATTTTCCCCCCTCCCTTATTTTTTTTTTGCCCCTCTCTGTCTCTACATCATCGTGTCGTTTGGCGTTGCGTTGCTTCTTTGTTTAATCATCATCACATGTTTTCGGGTCACGGCGCAGGAGGAAATGGACATGGCACGGGAGGAGCATAAGGACAAGGGCAGGCACGCATTCCGCACATCCTACACAGGGCGAGGGATCATTCACCGCTTGGAGTGGTATGTTTGCGCTTAGATGTCACTGGGGCTTAGACGCACGCAGCACAGCGGAACAGGATGCTTCTTTCCGCGTTCGTATCTTATGAAAGAGAGAAGTGGGGAGCCGAGGCATGAGGTGGCTTCCGGATGTCCCAAGGAAGCATTGGGGCAGTGGTTATAACCCCTTTCATGGTTGCGCTTATATTGTGCGGATGGACCCTGTCACGTTGGACGGGGCGGAGTTGGACTGGACTGGACTGGATTGGAAATAATAAACCGTTTCAGAAACTCCTAAAAAGTTGACGTTTATCCACCATAACGACTTTGCCTCCTTGCTCTCACCCACGAGCTCTTCCTCTCCGCGGTCTAAGCTTTAGGGTCGTTGGTAATGGCTGTGATCTGATTCACTTCACTCTATGTTCTCCCAGGTGATCGAACCCCCTTGCTACTGTCGCGGAAAACCGCGGCGTCCACGCTCTCGCCGATACAGAACGAGTCCCCCAGGCAGAGCACGCCCGTGTCCCCAATGGGACCGCCGCCATCACGAACAGCCTTCGCTAACCTCGTGCCTCGTCTCTGGGGGAGTTTGGGGGAGGAGCTGGCGCGGGCTCGGGCGAAGGTGGCCGAGAGTTGGAGTCGGAGTAGGGCATCTCGCCAGGTTTTATTGGTTGTTGTTTTATCCTTGTGTCTCTTATTCAGTGTAACTGGGCTCTGTTCGATGATGTACCTCGAGTTTGGGCCCTGGCTTTGTCGTGATCTTGGAGGGGTGAGAACAAAGTGCGAGATGGGGCGTGTTTTCTTGGGAACAATCCCGGTAGGTCAAGATTGCGAGGGATTATTGCGTGCCCACTTCTCAGGGTATATCGTGTACGCCTCTGATTGCTGTCTGGGCTTAAAATTGATGATTCGAAGCAGGTAGATAAATTTCTGTGTCCTTTCTTTCCCCTCGTGCAGTGACAGAAGCAAGTTCAAGGCCGGCTGGGCGGCTAGGGTGTTGATCCATGGGAGGCAAGGGATGACCAGCAATGTCGTAAATCACTATCTCGCTGGTTGCCTGTGGATATCTTAAGCTTTACACCGCCTGCTTGGTTCTGGTAAGGGAGAATGCAAGCAATCGATGGGCGTGGTTCAGTGTAGAGGCGGTCACCGTTAAGCGCTCGGAGGGCCACCCACTTTGGCTTGCTTGAATCTAGAAGGGGCCCTCCCGGCCCGATCAGCGAGGCCGATGGACGACGAGGTGTCTGTACGGAAAGGTTGTGCTGAGCCAAGGATATATACAGGCTTGTGTGCAGAATCGCTGATGTGATATGACGTGTGGAGAGCGAGCGGGTATGAGAATCGGGCAGCCTGACGTTCAACGATTTTTGCGGTGCCGTGAAACCATCCAGCTTCATCTTGAAAATGATGCTCACGGCAGTCCACGTGCGAAGCCGAGGCGAGTGACGCACGAAATTGTGCCTCACGTGTTGTGCTGGAGATCGCACCAGTGTAAGGTAGTATCTGCCCCTTGTATCATTGTTGAGGGTGCACATTTTGGGCATCCACAGTTCCAGAATCGCAGCATAGACGTAGAGAAGTGAGAATGGCACGCTATATCAAAGCAACAGGCGATGAGGAAAATGAGCACATGTGGATGAGCGTAAGTATCATACAGGAGGTCACAACAAAGACGCTCGCCTCGCAGCCACAGTCCACTTGGCCTCGGTATAAAACATTGCACAAGACTGTGACAACGTCATTGAAGCTAGCAGTGCTCTCCAGTAAGTTGCGCAGCCTGAGACGCCGGTCCTTTCGCACGAAGCCGTGCGGATGTCTAAGAATGAAAAGGCTGGGGTAACGGGTGAGCATCAAACTTCTCCTAATCTGTGGACCTCAACTTCAGCATTGGCCTGCATTCCACGGCTGCTGTGATGCAAGACGCCGTTCCACAGATCTGCGGCTAACGTCTTTGCCCTTCACTGTGGACTCTATCGCTGTTGTCCTCGAGTGGTTTGTAGAGTGATAGTGATATGACGAGCGGTAATCTTTACACAATTTCGCAGCTAACCATCTTGACAGCGAGCTCATCATGCCGTTACTCGCTGGTCTGAAACCAGCTGGGGTTGAGGTGATCGTTCCCATGGTGGCGAAGGTCGAGTGCGGCTTGAAAAACATCCTATGCGTTCACCGCGTTGCTCGGACCTGCCTCAGAAAGAGCACCGTCAATGATGGCACCATTAGGAACTGAAAGCGGGTCCTGAGGCTCGAAATCGCCGAGAGACTCGCTGGGAGCAGTACCGCCAATCCCTTCTTGCGCCAGCATTGGAGCCGTGGGCGCGCCTCCCCCAATGGGGGCCTCGGGTTGCATTTGGGCCTCTTGGAGGGCTCGGAGATTAGCGTCATCGACAGCGTCGGCGGCGACACTCTGGTAATCTTGCGGCACTGGTGCCTCATTGGCAGCTTGTCTCTGATGAGCCGCGGGGTCATAAAGCGTATTGCGTGGTGGGCCCTGGTCGGGATCATTGTCTTCTTCTCTGCGCTCGGGGTTCCTTCCAGCAGCAATAACCATATCCTTCTCCTTCCTGCCTAATACAACAAGGTCAAACCCGGGCGGAAGATGCGAATCGGTCCTGCGTAGCCCGAGTCAGTCCCGTACAATAAAGGATCGAGCCCGTGGCAGTAACTTACTTCAAAATGTCGACCTTGACGAGGCGAGCTTTGTCGCAGGCCTTGCTGATCACGCTCTGGAACATTGAAGGGAATGTGATCTTCCTTGATAGCCCTCTCAATGGTGCTCCACTTCGCCTTGTACACATTCACCGCTCGTACGAGTTGCTGAGTATCGTGTGCTGTCCACGGCCTCCTCTGCTTAGGCTGCGACGGCTTTCGATTGGCCTTTGAGATAAGTTGGGAGGCCCGTGACATAGCTACGACATCGATGAGCCCAGGTATAGGCTCGGGCATTGCGGAAGATGGAGGAATCGCTCCACCTGCGTTTTGGCGAGGGGGAGGAGGAGGCATAGCAGCGGCATCAGCCGCCCGGGCTCGCTTGCTTGCGGGGTCTTCTTCGGGACCGCTCTTTCGACCTCGCTTACGAACTCGTCTCGTAGCGTCGGCGGCGGCGGCTGCATACATAGACCCATCGTTGCCTCTGATTGCAGCTTGGCTAAGATCGCGGGCCCTTTGGGCAGCAAAGTTGTCAGTACTAGCTAGGCTGAAATTGGCGGATGAGGGCGCTGGAGATGCACGATTCTCTGAGAGATCAAAGGGTTGCTCTCCGCTAGAAGCATTCCTCATGTGATGGCGGATACGTTCAAGACCGGCACGGGAGAATCTCAAGGCAAGAGTCAGTCTCGCTGGAAACCAACCCAGAGATGTGTGGAAGGTGGGTGATATAATGGGACCAGTGAACTCACTTTCCTATGTGCGCAGCTCTCATGTCCTGCTGTAATTGTTCTTCCACAGAGTAGGATCCGTCACCGTTCAGGGACACAGGCTGAGTGGGTGCGCCGAGCTTGGCCTCGAATGACTTGATCCAATCCTTCAGCTCATCCAAGAAGGTTTGGAACGGGTACTCTTGGTCTAGGTTACTTATGATGGCAGTCGTGTCCATTTCCAAGATCATGGCGCGGAACCCGTCGATGGCATCGCGGTATTTCTGCGCGTTGTCGTTGGAGATATCGAATCCGGGGAAAGCTCTGAGGGGCGCTCCTTCAATGTATCCGCTGATCGAGTCGTCATCCACGCCCTCAAGGTTGATATCAAGAAAGACGCGAGCAAAGAGGCGGAGGGGAACGGCGTTCTGCACCCCGCGAAGGGTCTCGATGTAACGTTGGGTGCGGATGTGGAAGGCTTGCCTCAGTATATCATCATCAGGTACGGAGGCATCCAAGCCTTTACTGCCTCCGGGCACGAACGCAACCGGAAAGTGGCCATCAATCTTCTCAAGGCGTGGCAGGCGCTCGAGGACCAGGTTCGGGTCGTCCTCCAGCTCTTGAATGCTGCTCAGCAGTTTTGCAAGATTGGCGTTTGCAACGGCCTTGGTCATCCTTGACCAGAGGGGGGATTCTTCAGCCTTTGTTTTGTCCGAGACGACATTGATGTCGATGAAATCGTCGGACTTCTCATTGTAGACTTTGTAGTAATTTTCAAAGATGTCCTTGTGAGTCTGGAGTTCGTCTCCCCAGGCCTCATCCCTCTCAGGACCTTCAAGAGCCAGGTGGGTCAGCATGTCCGTAGAAGCGTAGTAGAGCCTGTCGACAAATTTATTCATTAAGTTGACTTTGGCGTCTCTGGTCCTGGGCGTGAGAAAAGGAGTTCCCGCATCAGGGTGATCATATGTGACAGCCGGGTTCACCTGGTGCGGCGTCATAGGTCCTTCTGGTCATGGTTAGCAAATGAGCATGACGAAAACTATGCAGAAGCTCGTGTTCACCTCTCGCATCAGGCTGGGTCGGGGGCAAGGAGGCGGGCGCGCCAGAGCTGGGTATGCTGTAGACGCTGGGTGCCATGGTCTCGCGTAAGGCGCGGCGCGTCCCTCGACGAGCATATTGCTCACCTGGGGCTCTGCCTGTGCCGCGACCACCCTTAGTAGAGCTTGGAGGCACAGGAGATTCTGGGGTAGCGTCGTCATCGACGTTGTTGTCATCATCATTATCACCAGGAGAGGCATTTAGAGAGGCATCGGTATCATGGGCGGTGTCATCGTCAGCAGCAGCAGCAGCAGCAGCAGTGATGACGGGCTCGGGGGCGGGCGCAGTCTCTTCGGGGGCGGGCTGGCCGGCGGCTTGTTGTGCTGCCTCCATCTGAGCAGCAATACGCGTGCTCTGTCTGCCGGGAGCAGCGGAGCTGGCGGGAGCAGCGCGCCCTCCTCTTGTCCGTGGAGGCATGCTGCCAATTGGCCTCCAAAACACCGTGAAACCTAGAGATGAGAGTTGAATATCTCTGATGAGAGATGCTCGCGATGGAGGTTCTGGCCGCGGCGAGGGTTATGCCACTGTCATGGACAGAGACGAGAGGGATAGGGGTTTTCAGGGTTTGAGGAGAGAGTGTGGGAGTGCGAGTGGGAGAGGGGAGAGGCAGAGGGCGGGAAAAAGCCAGGCCCACCAGGGCCAGGAGCAGGGGTGTAGCCACTAAGGGAATTCGATTTAGCCCCAGGTTGCAAACCCAGTCTCCAACGGACGCGACTGACTGAATCCAGACTTGCGTCGACCAGGCAGGTAGGTACACAGTAGCGCGTCTCTTATCCATTAACTTGAACAGAAGCTGTGACACTCGTGTCTTCTGGCCCCGCCTACTATTTTGTTGCAGAAGGAGCACACCAGGTAGATTTTCATGCAGGCAGATAGGTAAGTACTTGCGTACCCAGTAAGCCTCAGAAGGAAAGTGATGTCTTGGCGTGTCCAGCTACGCACCTAGGTACCGTACAGGTCAGGCGAGTCTCAAGATTTGACAGGCACTCGGATACCGGGCATGTGCAGAGACATTTCTACTCTACCGGTTCCATGCGAAAGTGTATCTTGTTCAGGCCAGATCCGGTGCTTGGGTTCCCCGGACGCTGTACCAGAGTTTACACGTGGTCTCGAACCGAATAGCTACTGGACTCGAAGACCACTCGGGCCTCTGTGTGCAGATTTGAGCTGTCGATGTATCAAATCCCCAAGGGTATCAGCGAGAATATAGCTACCCAGCCACAGAGACATACTATGCTATCGCACAAGATCTTTTGGGTGATGGGATCTTGTGGTGGTCTGGCCCTCCCCCTATTCACATGCAGGCCTGGCAAACTGGCTGGCCTGGGCAGGTCGTGTTTCCCGTATGCAGATCTGTACGATTACGTAGATCCCTGGCCGAGCCGGCTGTGCGAAGCGTGGTGCTGTGCTATATCTGTACTATGGTACCCTGTATGCGGTACTGTCCCTGCATGGGTACCCATAGTGGCCACTGACAGCCTTGCTATTCCATACCGTCGCCCCGAGCAGGCAACGTCTCCCCTGACCCGGGAAAAACGAACATCATTGCCTTCCCAAAAAGTCAACACTTCTATAGTCCCTATTCCTTCTATCAGTCCCGTCTTTACCTTTGGACCCCTCCTCGCCTTCTCGATCCAAGGCCTTGTTGACAGCCAGGAGAAGCTGTCTGGCTGGTTGGTCCATCTGCCAAACCTGACTCTCGAGAGGCCAAAGTGTAGGGCATCTTGCCGTGTCAGAGATTCGTCCCGCCTCAACACGGCCGTCCCTCGACAGCAGCATTCCTCCCCGTCGACCCCGACACCGAAATACAATCTGAAAGTCCTCTGCCTCTTGACTACTTGTCTGCCACGCTCGCTGCAATCAATATGAGGATCCGACAACGACGGGCGCCCCTGGGCCTTCTGCTCCTGTCCTCCCTCGCTGCCACCAGCGTCCTGGCCTCGTCCTTAGACTCGGTACCTCTCAACCCAGCCACGGGATCCTCATCGAAGATAGGGACCAAGGATGCGCCTGTGGACGGGAAGGATGGCAGACCTCACGAAGGCCCTTTCGTCGAGGTCGAACACCTGACCTCCGGCAGCGACCTCAAGAAGTTGCCACCCCTCGAAGGCCGCCCCGTCGATCCTACCATCGTCGACGGTGTTAAGATCCCGCAGACCAACGACGGCGTTATGAACGATCCGGATCGGTCACAGGCTAAAGAGGGAACCACCGGCACGTCCGGCGGCGTGAGCGAGAAGGATCAGGTGCGCAAGGCGAAGGAGGGCGCGACTGGTGAAAAGGCCGAGAACAAGCCAGAGTCGCCAAAAGAGGCGCCTCCACTGCCACACAGCGAGCAAGAGAAGATACTGAGCAAGGAGGATGCCACCAAGGACAAGAGCAAGCCGGATGGCAAGACAGAGGACTTCTCCGGGCTTGAGGTACGTGCCACTACGATCTGCATCGGTTCTTGCTGTGTTGTACTCAACCGTACTGACGATGTTCCTTTTCCAGAAACCTTCGGACCTCCCTGGCAAGACCTCCGAACAGGCCCTTCCCTTACCCGACTCCGCGAACAAGAATCACCTCGATGTCTCCCCCTCGACCGGCAAGTCTTCTAGCAAGCTGCCCATCGATGACCCCGACGGCATAATCCAGCCGTTCCACTCCTTCCTCCTCTCCTACACCATGATCCTCGTCTCCGAGATAGGCGACAAGACCTTCCTTGTCGCCGCGCTCATGGCCATGAAGCACGATCGCCTCGTCGTCTTCTCCGCCGCCTTCAGCGCACTGATTACCATGACCATCCTGTCCGCCGTGCTCGGCCACGCCGTGCCCACGCTCATCCCTAAGAAGGTGACAAACTTCCTGGCCGCGGCGCTGTTCCTCGTGTTTGGCGCGCGCATGCTGAGGGAGGGGCTGGCCATGAGCCCGGATGAGGGAGTGACAGCCGAGATGGCCGAGGTGGAACTCGAGCTCGAGGAGAAGGAGACCCTGGCGCGCAAGGCCGGCCGGAGGCGGTCCTCTATATCACCCTATGCGCTCGAGATGGGTCTGAATAGGACGCACACACGCAAGTCCCGCTCCCAGTCACGGTTCCCCACGCCGCCGCGCAGCCCGTCCGCCTCGCCTGAGAGGAGCCCAAGTCCCCGCCGGGGCGCCTTCGGGGCCGTCTTCGACGGCGCGAGCAACCTCTTCTCTTTGCTTCTGAGCCCAGCGTGGGTGCAGACCTTTGTCATGACGTTCCTGGGCGAGTGGGGCGACCGCAGCCAGATCGCGACGATCGCCATGGCAGCTGGACAGGACTACTGGTGGGTCACCCTGGGAGCCGTGCTGGGTCATGCATGCTGTACTGGTGTCGCGGTCATTGGTGGGCGCGCCATCGCTGGCAAGGTGTCTCTCAGAGTCGTGACAGTGGGAGGAAGTGTGGCATTTTTGGTAAGTTCATCTCGCGAGGCTGCTTCAGGGCATATGCTTTGCCCTACCACACCCCAATATCCTAACTCGGGTCCAGATATTCGGTGTCATATACTTGGTCGAAGCTCTGTGGGCCTAGGAAGGACAAGCACACGGATTTTGTGCTCAGCAGCAGCTCCCACCCATCGCATTACAACTTAAATTCCTTATAATATGGGGCCGTGACTTTTCTACCTGGTTGTTACCCTCTAGGCCGCACAGCAGCTTGCAATGTAGCGTTGTTGCAGGTGCGGTAGCACCTAGGCACACGGGCAAAGCGGTTGGAAGCGGCAAGTGTGTTTCGTTTGAGGAATTTGCATAGGCGGAGTCAATGGAAATCTAATGGTAATTCTGTCGATAAAAAGAGTAAAAGCGTTGGGCAAAACAGGTCGGGCTCTTGTCGTTGGCAACGGCCGCGGAAAGGACAGGTTTATATATGGCTCCCTTGTATGAAATAGGACACCCCGCCGTTTAATGAAGCTGTATTTGATTAAGGCCCCTCTCTTCCATGTCCTGTGTCGAGGCTGTATAACACTCGGGGTATGATTCTCCCACTGAACATCCGGTAGGTTCGCATACTCAAATTTGGGTAAATGCAGGCCCGGCAGCAATCCTACCCAAGCCGGGCAGAAAAGTCCACTCCCATGCAGCATGCTGGCTGCAGAAGTTGAAAGCATTCGTTCACACTGAGGCATGTATGGCTGCCTGGGTAATATTCCCAACTCTGATTCTTGTTGTTAATGTCTCCATAGCGCCTCCAAGGTGTAGCTCCTTCCCACCGCAACATGCCACAGCGCCTGTCAAGCTGCAGCAGCGGATCCCCCCGGGGCAGATCCGCTCGGAGTTCAATGCCGCGAGATTGTGAGCCTCGGGCCTGACCGCACGGCCGACCGCGGACACAACCTCCCCAACACCAAGACTCATGGAATCTCCCGATGCGCGCGACAGGAGAAGCCACTCGGATTACTAAGTTCCATTCGCCCCTTGTCTGTGCGCAGGCCTCCTCCATCAGGAATCCGTTGAGACACATACACGGACACACAAGGTTGGCCTTTGTAGATGGGATGAGGATGATCTCGCTGATACACCCTCGGATTGGCCTCGTGTGCAACGACGAGCCGCCCCTGGTTTCTGTAGTACTTGTTTGTTTCACCAGCGGCATAGCGCTGGACATATTTCTCTCGGGAGTCAAGTAGCCCAGGTCCTATTCCGTCCGCGTTCAACTGCGACACCGAGACAGACAACTGTACATACAGCTAGCTGTCAGCAGACGGTGGGACTCATAGCCCACACTTACACGCGCAAGCACCAAGCTCGAACCCCGCGCCCGCCCCTTTCCCCGCTTATTACCTGCTGTATCCTCCCCCGAGCTCCGGTGTCCCTCCAGCCTCCAGAATCCTCTCCCGTTTTTATTTGGCGCCTGGAGAAGCTGTCTGTCTGTTGGTGACGAGGATACATACATACATACATATATACACATTCTCCCAAAGCAAAAACATGTCTGAACTCTGGACCAAGCCAACGGGGTCCTCGTCGGCCCTCTGGGCCAAGCCCTCCGCCATACCCGAGTCGCAGTCCCACAACCCCTCAGCCACGCCTCTCTCCGAGGCCCAGACGAGGGTCCGCCACCCCGGAAGGCGATTTGCGTGAGTGACGGTGTTTGTTTACATCTGGCGCTTCGCTGTCCAGGGACGAATTGTTTACCTTCGGTGCTTTCGGGGGAGGATGGATTCCCATCAGAGGACATGTGATCCCCGAGAGAAGCTCCGGACAACCCCGCCGATGACTGGCTAGCTGGCTTGCTGACCCGGCCCCACGACGCAGGCAAATCGTGAAGCTGAAGCCCGAGTACTACGACAAGTACAAGGAGGTGCACGCGGCCGTCTGGCCCGAGGTGCTGAGGCAGATCAAGGCTTGCAACATCGTCGACTGTAGGTTTTAGTCGTCAATGAGATCACTTGGCCCCCGTCCCGCGCTTGACAGCTGCTCCTGGCCCCGCGAGCCCGAGTCATCCGGGGGCGGGAAGCAACCCGGCCCACCCCTGGCTGTAGCTCCCCAGCTGCGCTTCCTTCAAGACCTCATGTCGACCAGGGCCAGATGGCGGGCTGACAGTTTCCTACAGACAGCATTTTCCATGACTCCGATTCAAACATCCTCTTTGCGACTTTCAAATACGTCGGATACGATTACGCCGGGGATATGGAGAGGATGAGGGAGAACCCCAAGGTGCGGGAGTGGTGGAAGATGACGGACGAGTTCCAGGAGTCGCTGGTCCCCGGGGCCAAGAGCAGCGAGGACGGCGAGCCGTCGTGGTGGAAGCCCGTTGAGGAGGTCTTTTACCAGGCTTAATTGGGTGGTGTTCTGCTTGCTTGCTTGCCGTCGCCTTTCTCCTTTCGTGCCGAGCTGTTCCGGGAGGGGCAGGCTTCTTAATCGGTCTGTGGACATATCGCCTTGGTGGTTCTTGTTGCTTGGTGTCAGGAACTAGAAGGGAGCCTCAGTCGGGTGCCAGGCTCAGATAATAGACGGCTCAAGACTCCACTCGCTGAGGCCACGTTGTACAGGTAGCACATCCGCCCGCAGCCCACGGCATCCTCGCGCTTGTCCCTCAGTGTCTCCATCCCGAGGCCACCGTCGACGCCTCAGACGGCAACACAGCATGAAGTCCCGCCCACGCGGCAGTCGTGCACGTCTGAAGTACATCAGCCCTTGAAGCTTCCAAAGAGCCCGCCAAAGATGGGCCCGCCTCCGCCGCCGCCTCCCCTCCCACCATGGCGCCTGGCCTCGGTCCTGATCCACTCCTCGAGGAACCTCCGGTCCTTCAATCGATTGCCATCTGCGACCTTGGTCTCGACCTGGGCCTCGCCGGCGTCGAAGCTCATCAGTGTGGGCACAGAGCTGATCATATAAGTAAGACCAAGCCCAGCGCTCATTACGTCCGGCGCATCAAATTCGACCTCGCAGTAGCCAACACCTCCCTCCGCCTCGCCCACTCCCGAGTCCACAAGTGACTTCAACAGGGGCGATATTTGGCACCAACTCGTCTTCCATAGTGTCAGGAGGGGCCTGCGGGAGCTGGAGGAGGCGGCGAGGTAGGTCCTGAACTGGTCTTCATTGCGGACACTGAGGTCTGTCAGCATGCATTGTCACTGTGCTTGATGCGTTGCCACGGATGAGACTGCAGCAGATGTGTGTCACCGGACGGTGGGGCACTGTCGAGCACGAGGCTGGATCTCACGGCTCCCAATGCAGCTGGCGCGACTTACGACGAGTAGACTCTATTCCTCGTTTGCTGCTGGCTGGGCGTGGATGAGAAACAGGCGCGTAGGGAGGGCCTTGAAGCGGCCTTTGGTCTTGCGTTCAGAGCAGCCTTTGGCAGGACTGAGCTTGGGAGTGGCCGCGTGGCTGCCCGTGCCAGAAACATGGGTGTTGTGTACATCGTATGCCAATGCTGCAAGTGGAGTGACTGTTGGTCTGCGGGCGGTTGGGATTGAGGGCGGGTACCTTGATATGTTGACATGACGTACTTACCTAGGTCAAAGCCAAGACCCAGACCTGCCCTTCCTTGCCGGGCGGCCGAAGTGGGACATTCAGCCCATCGAAAGCCCTACGAGCTAGCGTTCGATCCATCAACTGTGAAACTACGAAGAAGTTCACAGCAACATATATTGCCAGTTAAAGACGGCTTGCTGACCGATCCATAAGAATTACCTAGGTAGCCAGCAACCCATCCGAACCTAATAAGACAGGAGACCAAGGCAGCATAAGGGGGATAATCCGAAGGGTTGGGGCAGGACCTCGTAGCAATTGTCGAAGGTAAGTGAGAAGAGTGCAGCAGAGTACTAGCTAATTGACTAGGGGAAGGAAAGACGAAAACGAAATTCAAAACCAATTCTGCGAGATGTTCAGATGCAAGGCAGGTAGGTGCTGGCGGCAACGCAACGATGGCAGCTGCGAATCCTTGTGGTCCTTGTTTGTACTTGCCTCGTGTGTGCACGTAGACTATGTGATCGACGGATCCATGCAGCGATGTAGGCAGGCCCTTGAGTCAAAGCCAGGGCCAAGCTTCTCTGGAGAAGCTCCGGAGTCCAGGGGCGATGGAGACGGCAGGTTCAAAACCCATCGACCTTATTCTGACATATATTCATCCTCGTCCTTGAGCTTTGAAGATTCCATGTCTGTTGCAGTAGCAGCCGATCGAGGCGTAGTGTGATCAACGACGGGCCGGCCTGGACTTGAGGCCAGGGTCCGCTTTCCTACCAGCTGTGAGCAGCGTGGCCATCAGATGAACGCGGGCGACCTCTTGTAGTTCGTTCAAGGCAGGCTTCGCTGGTTGGCCACCTAGGCACGCGGTACCGAAGTAGACGCCGGCAGCAGGCCTTTTGAAAGCCTGGCGCGTCGAAACTGGCGACCCTGAAGTTGGAAAGCTTGAGCCGCCACACCCGCAAGCTAGGCCGGGCTAAGCAGCCGAGGCTCCTTGACAGGCCCCCTGGAGGCGCTGAAGGGCTGTGTGAGACCGGCTGAACACAACAGCCTGACCACTCGGACAAATTCTCACATCTGCAGCGACACTGCACCTAGGCAGCCAGCATTGGATTATTATTCCAAGATTGAGGGCCTTGATGTCCTCGAGCCCTCGGTCAGACAGCCGAGACAGCGACGCTCACGTCCGCCTGGACCCCGAGAGGCACAGTGCGTTTCGAAATGAGCATTTCGTCATTGCTCAGGGTCGCATGTCAAGATTCCTGGACAAGGGCCGAGGGCAGGTGACCATCTTGACCATGGATCACCTGGATCCCTTCCAGGAAGGCTGAGCATGTGAGATGGCTTAGTGTACGGAGTATGCACGCCCTGCATCCCGGCAGCAAGCCTGGGGGACGTGTTAGTTCAAGTAGTCCGCATGCTGTCTCACCCTCGGCTCCACCCATCTCGTCTCTGTGGTCTGCTGCCGTGTGAAGGAAGAACACGGGGATCGCTCGAGGAAAGACAGATGCGAGAGACAGCTGCGGATGCCGCGCTCCAGGAAGATCATCCCAAGCTTCTACATTGGACCCCGCTGCCCAGATGCGCCAGCATCCTCTCGATATACGTTGGGCTGGCACAACGCACCATCAGGATGCGCAAACTGGCGGTCTGTCGTGCCGTGATTTGCAGACTTTGTTATCAGACCGGCTTCGACGATTGCAGGGCGCCATGTTCTTGTTTCTGACCACCTCCGCTCCATTCCCATGGCGCCTGTCGCGCGCATGGACGTCTTGTTTTTGATTTACTAGCCTCGTTGACTCGAGCATTGTTTTTGGACAAAGCATTTGCTGGCCACCCCGGTCGTTCCTTGCCGCTCAGCTTGACTGTAGTAACTCCATAGGTTCACGTGGCTTGCGGCGACGTCAACAGACTTCATCTATTCAAGATCATCCGGTCCTGCCATCTTCCTGCACAGGCAGTACCTGGAAATAGCACATTCCTCCTGTCTTTCTGCCCCAGGCCCGTCTCTTGGCTAGTTCCTTCGTAAATAGTTAAAGGCAACCAACAGTAAGCCTTCAGGTCGAGGCCCGACCCATTTGGTGGGCCATCTCCGCCACCTGGACGGATCAGCCCTGGTACTGAGATACAGTACACTACATACCCTTGACACACATATCTTGAAGGGCAACAACGTCCCAGGAGATAAGAAGATCAGACTTCGATCTCGCCCTCTCCTGCTTTTGCTCCTGCCTCGCTCTTCCCCTTCCGACACTTTTCTTCTTCTCATGACAAGGCAGGGCCAGCCCAAGACTCACCGCGCAGGGAGCCCTACAGCGCAGAGCAGAGCTCACCTCCTGCCAACTCCTACAGGAACCTCTTTTGGGTGTTGAAACAAATTCCACATCACGTCTTTTGAGTGTTTGTGCTGCCCATCTTCTAGGGCTAGACAGCACAGTTGACGGAGCCTCATAAAACGGCGAAAGCGACATTTACATCTTCTTCCGCATTTGACCTATGGTCTCTGGACAATGGCGGCTCAAGACGATGCCCAACCTTCGCTCATATCACGTCTACCGTTCTTCGGCAGACGTAACGCTAAGGATAAAAATGTCTCTCCAAGAGAGTCCGATGGCGAGGATGAACGGACGTCCCACCGACCACCCAAGTGGAGTTTTGGCGTGCTCAATGACAAAGACACCATCGAAGTCCCAGGTGAGATCTCTCCCTCGAAATCGTCACTGGCTGAGTCTAACTTGCAACAGGATCCGTGCTGTTGCTTGCGGACCACAAGAATGAGCCACTCGGCCTGCGTAATGCGCCCGCTAGGACATCTCATTCCTCCATACCCACCAGCATTCGCCAAGGGCCAGCACCTCCATCCAAGGTCGAAAAGGAAGCCGACGACAAGAAAATGACTTCAGACGGCAAGATCATTCTTGACCCCCAGCCAGAGGACGCGCCAAACGATCCTCTGAATTGGCCTACGTGGCGCAGAGACGCCGCTCTGATCTCGATTGGTCTGTACTGCATGGTCGGCGGCGGACAGACGTCGATCCTAGCGGCTGGCTTCACCGACGTTGCTGAGGACTATGGGGTCCCTGTGTCCGAGGTCTCCCTGACCACAGGTCTCTACATGATGGGGCTCGGAATCGGCTCCGTCATCGCGTCACCCACGGCCATTCTATGGGGCAAGAGGCCTGTATACCTGGTTGGCGCTCTACTATTCATCATCACCTCAGTTTGGTGTGCATTATCGCCAAATTATGTATCTTTGATCCTCGCCAGAATATTCCAAGGCATGTCCGTCAGTCCTGTCGAGTGTCTTCCGTCGGCCACTGTCGCCGAGATCTTCTTCCTGCACGAAAGGGCGTTTCGACTCGGTATCTACACGCTGCTCCTGCTCGGAGGGAAGAATCTCATTCCTTTGGTCAGCGCAGTCATCATTCAGAACCTCTCCTGGCGCTGGGTCTTCTGGTAAATTTCTGGAATCTGTAGCACGTCGATCGTCCAAGCTAATACCTCGATAGGGTCGTTGCTCTTGTGGTAGCATTCTGCGGCTTCTTGCTGTTCCTCTTCGTCCCCGAAACGTTCTGGGAGCGTGTGCCACATCCTCGGACGAGGGCGCCTTCTAGACCTGGCCTCTTCAAGCGCATGTCCTCAAAGTATTTGAGTCGGCACGAACGAGTACAGGGTGCAGATTCTCAGAATCCCCTTGCGTCGCCTCAACAGGAAGAGGAGAAGCATCACAGGCCGCATAAGGATGTACACTTCTCCACCGGATCTGAGACCGAGACAGTCGAAAACCAAGATAGGGTCCCCGGAGGAGAGCACCATGTTATGTTTGCGCCTGCTGCAGAGACAGTTAATGACCACACTCTGGGCACACCCGAATCGAAGCTGTACCAGCACAAGAACGAAAAGCTCGACGTCCCCAGAGGTAGGTGCTCATCAGATGAGCCTTCGCCTCCTTTGGTAGAGGAGCGAAAGGACGCTTCTGCGACCGGCACCCCGGCTACCCCTGAGACCAAGACCGAGCGACCTAGCAGGTCGTCGTCCCTCCGGAGCCGCCTGACCTGGTCCCATCGCGACCCGGAGAAGCTGCAGCAGGAGCAGGCCGCCCTCAACGAGTACTGCGACCACTGGCGGGAACGCGAGGCCAAGTCTTTTGTTCAGCAACTCCGTCCATGGCACGGCCGACTCAATAAAGACAGCTGGCTCAAGGTTATGGTCCGGCCGTTCATTCTGTTCTGTTACCCTGCCGTCCTCTGGTCCGCTGCCGTGTACGCGTGCGCCGTGGGCTGGCTCATCGTCGTCTCCGAGTCGGTGGCCGTCATCTACCGAGAGAAATACTACCACTTCAACGCCCTGGGCACGGGGTTAGTGTATATCTCCCCATTTATTGGTGGTATTCTCGGGACTGCTGTTGCCGGGAAAGTCTCAGATATTATTGTCAAGGCGATGGCGAAGCGCAACGGCGGCCTATATGAGCCGGAATTCAGGCTGATTATGGCGTTGCCGATTGGTATTTCGACTGTCATTGGCCTGATGGGCTTTGGCTGGAGTGCCGAAGTCCAGGACCACTGGATTGTTCCAACCGTGTTCCTGGGTGTAATTTCTTTTGGCTGTTGCCTCGCCAGCACAACAGCCATTACCTTTTGCGTCGACAGCTACAGGCAATATGCAGGCGAGGCGCTCGTCACGCTGAACGTCAGCAAGAACATCTTCCACGGACTCGTCTTCAGCTTGTTCGTGACGGAGTGGCTCGAGACGGACGGATCGAAGTCGGTCTTTATCTGGCTGGGCGTCATACAACTGATTATAGTGGCTACCGCGGCGCCGTTGTATATCTATGGGAAGCGATTGAGAATGTGGACCACACGTCTTGGCATCATAGAGAAGTTTTAGGTGAACTTCGAGACCGTGGAGTTTTGAGCGGAGGTCTGTCGAGGCGGAGGACTTGAGGGAGGTTGATGCGTTTCATGACTAGACTGGCGTAGCATGAGATCGGCGTTTTTCACATGCATATTAATTATCATGGACCTTTTTATAGAAGATTAGTTTGAGACAATGACCAATAAGTCCAGTTTCTTGAAGCTTGGTGAGTTGACTTGAGTTCCTGGGAAGGCCAGCTGATTAAATGAGCAAGCTTACTGATAAGGTGCTGGCATGTGCGGCGCGCTGCTGGCTCAACACGCTGCTTGCTCAAGTCTCCTCAGCTCCATGCAAACACTGACGATTTACAAATCAGTTAACTGGCAGTATTGACCCTTAAGAAGATTGCTGAATGAATGATTCGGGAGCCTGCTGTGCCCTTACATAATAGTCACAACCTGTATTAACCACCCTCGCCTTCTCCACATCAAGGATCGATCACCAACAGTCTTCAGGACTATCAACGCGACCCATCAAACGATCAGCAGCAACACCTCAAATTCCTTTATCAGCCAGGGCTACATACACACTCAGAAGCGATGTGCTGGCCACTTATCACACACTTCATCTATCTTCCCCATCCCCCTCCCTTAAAGAGCAACTCTTACCATTGCTAAACTTGCTCCAACTCTCCTTAACTACCAACCTTACAAGTACTATCATAAACTTAAGATAAATATCCAAAACTAATAGCAAACTTAAACCTAACTAAATAAACCTACTTTTATATAAAGCTAAATTAATACTTAAAAACAATATATTAGCAACTTTTAACTACTTTTATTTATCCTTTTATAATAAAAACTCTTAACTATTTTTAAATATTATGGGTTAGCCTTGAGCTGCTGCTTATGACGGTACGGCTCTTATATACTGCTTGGAATAGCCAATCTTCCAGATTGGTTATTATAGTCTTTTGGCCGGGAGGTGTAATTTACAAGCAGTAATTACATACCCTTTCACTACTTAAAGATACCTATTAGATCCAACCAACGGTAAATGTATCGTGGTTAAACGATCTCATAGTAAATTCATCGTAAATTTACCAGGGAACGATAATTCACTAGTAATTCACCGTGAATTTATAGTAAATGCCTAAGGCACTAAGATTCATGAATAAAAACTAGCCCCCACCGTTTATTAACTTAAAAACAAAACAATAATTAAGCAATCATTACGTTAATAATTAAAATTAATTATATTTATAAGGATTTTATTATAAGATATATATAAAAATTAATAATTAAGAGTTTCATTACCTTTATTAATTAAAAATTATAGCTAACAACTTAAACACTAAAACTCTTACGTTTTTTTTTAGTGAAAGCAGTTAATTAAAATAATTGGAATTATGAATTTAAACTATAAGTTATTGTACATTAACTTAAATCGCATATTTATAAGAAGATATCGCTCCTTCCTATATTTAAAATGCTAAATATACGCTGCAAGAAATATATAAAGAAACCATATATATAACGAAACATTTAATTATAAACGATATAAGGTGAGGAAGAAGATAAAAAAACTATTTAAGAAAAAGGATAAGGCACTTAAATAATAAGCGATTTAATTAAAAACGAAGTTAAATTCTTTAATTAAAACCTAACTTAATTTAAATAACTTAAAGCAATTTAAGAAAAATAGCAGAAAAAAGTAAATAAGTTTACTTAATGGATATTTTAAATAATATTAAAAATCTATAAGGCAATATATTATTAACTTAAGGATTTATTATAAAAGTAGCATGAAAATCTTTAAAAATAATATGCCTAAATTATAAAAAATGAAATAAAATAACTTTACTAAGTATATAAGAAAGTCCTTTGCTTATTAAGATTAGCTAAGGATGCTTATATATAAATTAATTAATAAAAAGAGATAATATCTAAGGGAATTAAAAAGAACCTCTTAAAAACTTAAGATATTATAATGTAATTCCCAAACTTCTTATAAGCAATTAAAGAAATTATGCTTATATAAGTAACTTCCTATAAATAAGCATAAAAATAAGCAAAAGTAAATAAGAGCCTTAAATATTGTAAAGTAAAATAAAACTTTTGCTAAAAGTTAAAAAGCTATTAGGATTTATAAAAGAATAAAATCGTAAAAGGAGCCTTTATAACTACTTATAATGGCTTAAATAGCCATAATAATAAAAATAAGGATGCCTATATTATTAAAAATTTAAAAGCCTTGCGGTGAGGTATAAATAAATTCCGTAAGAAGAAGCATAAATGAGTTCCTTTAGGAAAATCCTTAAAGGTAAAGCAATGTACTGTATATGAATACCCTTACGCCCTTATTAAATGCTTTTATATATTTCTTAAAAAGGCTTATAAAAATTAAAAGCTAAATAAGAGAATTTAATAAATAATATAATATATACTTAATAATAAAGCTAACCTTTAAGCTAAGGTTTAAGCTTTCCGTAAGCCGAAATTTAAATCCAAGTCCTAAACTTTAAAGCTAATTAAAGAGAAGTTAATATAAAAGGTTAATAATTAACTACCAAGATATTATATAGCTAATATTAAGGCTAAGGAAGCTTTTATTATAAATGTTATAAGAGAATACCCTTTAAAGCACTTAATAATATTAAACTTAATAAGTATAATCTTTATTAGCTGGGTTATGTATTGCAATACGACGTTTAGTTGATGTAGTGGTTGATTATTGTTAACTATAAAAGGAAGGAAGGTAAAAGGCCTAACTATGCTAGCTATTTTATATGCAGCGCTAAGGCTGCTGCCTATCGGGCATTTTAACGGGTTAAAGCTACCTAATCCCAAACAATCCTCTATATAAACAATACCCATTATTCCCACACTAGCAGTTTCTATTTTATAAGTACATACCTTTTTTAAAAAGTATAAAAGAAAGAAAGGTATTAAATTAAATTAAACTTAAAGTTAAGAAGCAATTAATTAATTACATATGCAAGTTAAATTACAAATATGCTATTATTTCACTGCGCCATACTATTATAAAAGGCAAGCATACGAAAAGACCTAAGTCATCATTAAGGGGTTAAAGGTTAATCGGTTTATTAAAATATACAATTAATAGAAAAAGATTAATTAAGTATACATATACATTAAAACATTCTAATTATATAAAGTTAAAAAGCTTAAAAGGTTATAATTATCATATAAACATTTCATTTACAATGCATTTTATAAACTTATGCTTTCATCGCTTATAGCGCTTAGGTTAAACAAAGACTAAATCAAACCTTTGGACTGCTAACATAATTATTTAATCTCTAAACAACCAGAATTTCCCGTTTCAGCTTAGCCTAAGCTTCGCCATGCCTAATGCCGCTTATTAAATAAAGAAATCAAGGAATATAATTAAAAAATAGGTTAAAATAAAGATTAATAAGTTATAAGGATTAGCGAATAAGGTATTTAAATAAAGGGAAAGTAAGATGCAAAATAAAGAATATTAATTAAGTTAATAAATAGCAACACTCTTAATTTTAATATACAAGTATTAAACCGCGAAATTCAATTAAGGACGCTCATTAAATATAAGCTGGCAACTTAAATACCTATAAAATAATGATAACCCTCGTTACCTAAACCCTTAATGCATAAGCACCACTATAAAAATCTTAAATATAAGGTTCGCCCTTAAAAGGAATATAATTTAAAGTTAGCCAATTGCATCACACTATAAGGTAATTCACAGATAACCAATAAAATATAAACTAAACTTTTACACTTTTGCTATACATTGCCTTTAATTAAAGAAATTATCTTATTATCCCTTATCTTATTATTCCTTATTAAAAACCTTTAGCAGTCTTTTTATCTTTATAATCACGCAATACGCATACTTAAGTTAATCGCGTTAATATTAATATAATAACCCTATAACGTATAATGTAATAATAACATCCAGGGTTATATTAGCGCAGTTTGCTAATAAGTCATTAAACCATGCTTTAACGATTTAAATTTAAGCCTCAATGCATTATAATTTTCCTAACTTTTTACTGCATTTAAACAATTACCTTATCTTCTTAGCCGCAATCCACATAACCCTATACCTTAATTATAATATTATTTATACTTACAAAGCGCTAAAAAGTGCTATTAAGGGCACTCTTCGTAAAAGCGTTAATTAAGTTGCAATCCCTAGCAATTCAATAAATCTTAAAGATCTTATGCTTCTTATATAACTATCAAAGAGCCATAACGTTAATTATAAGGCGCTTCTCTTTTATCATGCCAAGCTTAATTAGGCACTTATATAAAAAGTATAAGTTAATGCATACCATAAAAGAAATTATTGCAATGTTTAAACATATAGTAATTTAGCGCAAAGTAGCCGCTAGCATTATAGCCATATTAAAGCCATTAATTATGCCGTAAATCTCTAAAGCCAGAACGCTTTAGGTTACTCTTTAACACTTCATTAAAAACTAATAAATAATATTGCCTTTAATATTCCACTTAAAAGCCTATTAAGTTTATATCTTGTTTATAAGTGCAATAATAAAACCAATTTATAAGCTAAGGTCCTTATTATTAATAAATAAGCCATCAATAAAGACCATTAATTTAGCTTAAGATAGATTTAAGGATATATATTAAAGTCCTTGCTTTAAGTTATCGGCTTGCCATTGCAACTAGCAATTCAGCTTATTGCAGTTCTCATGGGAAGGCTCTTAAATTTAAGCTGCCACTAATAAGTTAAACGCTGCCTTAAGTTAATAAATAAAAGTAAAATATACTCCCCATATACATTGCTCTATATATTATTAAGCATAATTATTAATCTTATCATTAATAAGCATAATCTTCTTACCTTAGCCCTTTTAATAAAGATATAAAGTACCTTCATTAAAAATACTTATAATTATACCATTAAAGATAAGTAACTTATTAAGAGTAAATATCTCTTTTAGCTTGCATTAAATATTTACCTCCTTAATCTTCTATTCTTTTAGCTTTAAAAATGCCAAA